TTAATTCTGTATTACTGATTTTTGATGATATTGCACAGGTACCAGAAAAATAATTTAATTGACCTGTAGCTTTGTACCTTGCAGTCTTGCTAAATTTCTTTATTGTATTTCCTCTAAATTCTTTAAACCTTTCTATGTAGGTGATTATAAGCAAAAGTTTTACTTTTTTTTTTTTTCAACTAATACTTTTTTTCTTATTGGCACCTTTTTATTTTTATCTATTTATTTATTTTTTGCAGGGGGCGTATTGTTACCTTTTTAAATAGTACAGTGTTGAATCGAAGTGATGAGATTGGATGTCCTTGTTTATAGGAAAAAATAGGCCTTCATAGTTACACCTTCTGTTAGCTGTAGCTAGGTTTCTTACTTAAAAAAAAAAAATGTTCAGAGGTTCCCTTTTCTTTCTTTCTTGTTTTTTTTTTTTTTTTCCTCTTTTTTTGTTTTTTTGAGACACGGTCTCATTCTGTAGTTCAAACTAGCCTTGACCTTACTCTGTAGGCCAGGCTGGCCTCAAACTTGCAGTGATCCTCCTGTCTCAGCGTCCTGAGTTCTGGGATTACAGGTGTGCACTACCAGGCCTGTTGTCCTACCTGTGAGTTGTATAGCCGTGTCCTCCACCTCTTCCAGATATTGGCAAGTTTTCTTTCCTTCTTTTCCCCATTTGATTAACTTAGCTAATTTTAGTTTTATCATTTACCTAACCAATTTACTGTGGCCTGTGTTATTATGGCTTAGGCTTATTCTTAGCAAATATGCCATTTGGACTGGAAAAGAATGCGCAGTTTGTAGTTGTTGGTCCCAGCATTCTGTATATATCCCCACTTGATCTTTGTTTTCTATCATTGATTGTTGCTCTTTATTATTTTCTTTCTTCTACTTTAGGTTTCCTTTTCTTTTCTTTTTCTAGTTTCTTAAAGTAGAAGTTCAAGAAGTGATTTTTTAAAAAAAATTTTATTTGAGAAAAAAAAACAAGGGTACAAATTATACAGAATTTCAAAAGAAAAATAAACAGTAGGAAATCACTAGTTAATAGATTACATATTGTCATCTTAAAAATAGTTGTTCAAGTTACAAAATTAAAGCATGCAAAATAGTGAGACTGCAAACAATTCTGTTCAATGATCCAACAAAAACTCAGTAATATGGTTATCTATCTTATATGCTTAAATATATATGCAGTTATATCCTTTAGAGCACTTTCTTTTCCTCTCTTTTTTACAATGACAATTACACATTTTGGGTTTTATTACTCCCACAGTTCTTATTACTTTTTTTGGGAAGAGAATAAAACCAAATGTGACATAACAAAACAGAGTCAGTCAAATCAAAAGGATGGACACAGTACATAATGTAAAAACAGAATACAAGGTGATCAACAGTGGTTACCATAATGCCTCTTGGTATCTTAAAAAGAATTGCCTATATCATCAGTTATAATAAAATTGAACAAAACAGTAAAGAACAAAACCAATAAACCCAAAACATTGGCGATATTACGGGACTTCAAAAGAAGATAATAGTCAAACCAGAATGGGCATCATAGTGAATCTTATTGTCTTCACAGTTGTTGCGTATACACTCAAACTTGGTAGTATCAAGCAAAACATTATAGAGGAAAATCAGTCAAAACAAGATGGTGAGAGCAATACAGGGTTTCAAATCAAGTTAATTAGGAAATCAAAGTGGGTTGCTATAATATATCCTTTTTTTATTAATTTTTTCCTTAATTAAAAAGATAAAAATAAAAAAAAATAATAAAAAGAGATTGAGACAAAAGAGGACATAACAGCAATAACAGCACAGGTCAGAACATAACCATTTAAGCAAAATAGTGTTTCACCACAAGATATACCGACATAAAAGTAGTTACCATAGTGTCTCTTTCCTTGAAATCTTTGAGTATAACTTCATATACTGTAGCATCAAACATATCAAGACAATGTAAAACCATTCAAGAGAATGATAGTATTACAGGGCATTTAGAACCATCTAACAGAAAATGTTTCTGTATAATCTCCTTGTCTATAAAAGCTTTTGTTTATATTATCACATATAATAAAATCCAATAAGATACAACCTGTTAAGACCAATGGAGACAGAAGAACAAAAGCTTGATGGGACTTCAAAACAAGATGATATTAAATCAGCACTAGCTATTAAGATGTCTTGTTTTCTCCAAAATAGCTGTTCCTACCATCCAACCTTCTCTGCCTCATTTCTGTTGAGCTCTTTTTCTGTCGTTTGTTGTCAGCTTGTCTTCTTCATTTCGCTTTCAGTTCATTTCATTGTGGCCGCTCTGCCACTATTTCTGGAGTCTTGCTATTTTTTCTCTTTTAGAATGTCCTGCAGTATTCTCTGTAGAGTTGAATTGGTGATTGCAAAGTCCCCTAGTTCCTCTTTATCCTGGAAGCGCCTTGTTTCTCCATTAATTTCTAGGGAGAGTTGTGCAGGATATATCAATCTTGGCCTGAGGTTATTGTCTTTCAAAGCTTGAATTATTTCCCCCCATGCTCTTCGTGATTTGATGGTTTGTGCCGAGAAGTCTGCTGTAATTCTGATGGGTGTTCCCTTGTAAGTGATCTGTTTCTTGTCTCTGACGGCTTTTAATATTCTGTTCTTATACTGGATTTCTGGAATTTTGATTATTATATGCCTGGGTGTAGTTCTATTTCTGTTGTAGGTGGCTGGGGTCCTGGATGCCTCATAGATCTGAGTATCTTTACCTTTTCCCATATTAGGGAAGTTCTCCTTGATTATTTGTGTGAATAGCCTTTGCAGTTCATTTGTTTGTATTCCTGCTTCTTCCTTTACATTCTTAATTCTTAAGTTGTAGATCCTCTTATCATCTTCTAGCCTTTGTTTTGTTACTGCTTGTTTCCTTGTTATTTTTAAGAAGTTTTCCATTTCATGTTCCCATATTACAAATCTGTCCTCCAGTTCAGATATTCTATCCTTAGTTTCTTTCAAGCTGTTATACCGCTTTCAATAAAGTTTTTAGTGTCCTGATAATCTCTTTGAACCTGCTTCACATATTCTATGTTTTCTCCATCAAACAATTCTCCCCTTTTTTTCTGTTCTTCCATTCTACTATCTGCTTTTTCTTGGGAGGTGCTTAGCATTTCTTTAACTGTTCTACTTGTATCTTGCTTTACTTGGTTAAAATACTTTACTTTTGAACTCGTCTATGAGGTCCTGGAGGTATTGCTTTATGTCTTTAGTGCCGTGCCTGATGTTGCATGTTTTCTGTCTTCATTCTCCTTGCATTTACCTTTCCTGGATCAGTGTTCTCAGGATTGGGGACTGAGGACCCTTTCTTGTTGCTCCCTCTTCCCATACTTTTTGTTCCTTCCATACAAGGGTATATAGGAGGCCTAGTTTCTTTCTTTGTTGGTTACAGTTTGTTTGAATTGCACTGGCTAGGTGTTCTTGCCCACTGCAGTGTACTAGGGAGACACAGACAGGGACAGCCTATGCTGGGCCCGCCCCTCCAGGTCAGTCAACCTGCTGAAGGCTTCACTGCATTAGGGTGCACTGCCAGGTGCAGGGACCTGGTTTTGGCTAGCCTACTGGGTCTTAGTCCGCAGTGTCACCCAGGTCAAGTGCTGCCCACCAATCCCGCTTGAGAGGGGAATATGTGACTGAAGTCACTGCAGCATCCTGTTCCGGCTAGTCTGCCCAGTCCCAAATGTCCTCTGTGGGAGCCTTCTCGTCTATGGAAGGGTCCCTGTTCATCTCATTCACCGCAGGTCGATGCAGGGCTCCCCGCCAGCTCTGCTCTCAATTTGGTTTGCTGATTCCTGCTCTCAGAGCTTTTGCGTCTCTATCCATGCTGCGCTGATTCAGATGCAGCAGCGGTGGCAGGAAATTCAAAAATTCAAGCCGTGGTTTCCAGAGGCGCGGGTTCCAGCTTCGGCACTGAGATTTTAGGTGTTACAGTCGTAGCACCTGGATTGCATTTCTAGTTGGTTTCTCTCAGCTTAGTTGGTTCCTGGGCTGGCAGGGTATATGTCCCCTTGCTTAGGACTCCCCACACTGCACCATTCCTGGAATCTAAGCTGGCTATCTCAGAGAACCTCCCTAGCTGCTGTTATCTATCTGCCATGTTCTCCTGGAAGTCCAAGAAGTGATTTTTAATCTTCATTCTTTTCCAAGTAAGCATTTCATGGTACATATTTATTTCCTGCTGAGCATTATTTTTAAGTATGAATTTATGTGTGAATGAATTTTCTTTTCCTTTTTTGTCTTTCGAGTCAGGGTCTCACTATGTAGTCTGGGCTGGCCTTGAACTCACTGTTGGCCCAACCTGGCCTCAAACTCACAGCTGTCCTCCTGCCAGCACTGCCTCCAGAGTGCTGGAAGTACAGGTGGACACCACCCCATTCTGCCCTGTCTGATTGAACTTTAAGATATTATTTTTATCACTTCGGTGCAGATATTTCTCCGTTTCCCTTATGGTTTCTTTTTTGACCCGTAGGTTATTTAGAAGTGTTTAATTTTCAAGCATTTGGGGATTTTCCACTATCACCTTGATAGTGGTTCTGACTGAACTGTGTAACTGTCATAGAATATGCTCTGTGTAACTTTTAGGGTGTTTTGTTTTTTTTGTCTTTTTGAGACAGGGTCTCGCTCCGCAGTTCAGGCTGGCCTTGAGCTCACTTTGTAGCCCAGGCTGGTCTTAAACTCTCAACAGTCCTCCTGCCTCAGCCTCCCGAGTGCTGGGATTGCAGATGTCACCACCACGCCTGGCTTGGTTTTTGTTGTTTTATTGACTCATGAGCAGTGTGTGGTGGCGCACCCCTGTAATTCCAGCACCTTGGAGGCTGAGGTGGAAGGGTGGCTGCAAGTCTGAGGTCAGCTTGGGCTACATAATAAGACTCTGTCTCAAAAATCCTAAATAGATAATAAATAAATACATTCATGAAACTTTTGGGAACCTGAGATAACTTTTTGGGTAAAATTAGGTAAGTAGTGGAGCTGCTAAGTGGTTTTCCTTCCTCCAGGTAAGAGATCAAGCTCAGCGCTGTTCTCGGGTTCTCCTGGATATTGAGGCTGGTGCTCCTGTTCTTCTAATCCCAGAAAGTTCCAGATCAAATAACCTGATTGTAGCAAACTTGGGGAAGTTGAAAGTCAAGAACAAGTTTCTCTTCGCTGGTTTTCCTGGAACCTTTTCCTTACAAGACAAGGTGAGTACTGAGTGTCCATTCCCTGTTCAGCTGGACTAGTGTTTGGACCTGACTGAAGAATCCGTGTGCTGCCGTAAGAGATCTGTAACTGCTCTTACTTTTGCAGATTGTTTGGAAGTAATTAGGATGCACATTGCTGTCATTTTCATTTTCCATTCGGGCAAACTAAAACTCTTTGGGATAAACAGTAAAAGTGGAAACAGTGAATCAGGAGGTTGGGAGGACCTTGGAGAGGCTTGATCAGGCCCCTTCGCCCATGTTGCATTTTGGAGACCAGGTGACATTTCTGCAACTGCAGGTGTCACTTTTGGTGTTTTTTTTAATCACTCCTTACTACTTTCCAGAGTAGCTCTTCAGGCTGTGCTTATTCAGTGCAGACCAGTGGTAGCATTCCGGGGAAGCACTAACTGACGTGTGTCTGTTTTTAGCTTAATGACTAATAACATGGGAGAGGTTGCCTTTGAGATGTATGTAAGGTTTGATTGTAAGATCGTAAGACTGACAAAAATAAAGATAAATAGCTGGTATTTGTCGAATGCCTGTTATCCATCAGTTAGTACTAAGTTCTTTCTTTACACATGGAAAGGAAGCCTGTGTTCACAACGCTGGTGACACCACCTGTGTGGGTCCCCGCCCCCTGACTAGACTTCAGTTCTCTATAGATAGCACCTGGGTCTCCCGTAGTTCAGTTGTGACACTTGCTGGGCACAGTTTGCACAGCCCCCACTGACACCCTTTGGTTTCCCACAAGACTGACCCCACTTTGTATACCAGTCACGAGCCCAAGTCTTCTGTACTTCTGAGCAAGGAGCCATGAATTGGGGGTGCTCACTGTCCCTCCCTCAGGTTCAATAATTGTCTGCAGTGGCCCACAGAGCTCAGGGGAGACACAGTGCTGGTTCAGTGTAGCAGATTTAACAAAGACACCAGTGAACAGCCGGATGAGTAGGTGCAAAGGCGAGGCCTAGTCAGGTCCTGAGTGCAGAGGCTTCTGTCCCCGTGGATCGGAGTGTCTGTCCTCCTGGTATGAAGATGCAGTTACCAATTCGTAACCTGCTGAACCCAGGCATTTACTGTGGGCTTTTGTTTGTTTTCTTTTTTTGGGGGGAGGGCAGGATCTCGCTACATAGTTCAGGCTGGCCTTAAGCTCACTTTGTAGCCCAGGCTGGTCTCGAACTTGCAATGGTCCTCCTGCCTCGGCTGAGCATTTACTGTTTTTAATGGAGGTTCCATTACATAGGCATGATAGAGGAAGCCACGGGCTGTTGGTGATTTGACCAGCTTTTGAGGGCTTCCCTTCTTTTGAGGGTGGGGAGTATAACTGGTAGTTCTGACCTTTGAATTACATAATAATTTTGTCGGTCATAAACCTTTATTTTGAGGCCACGCTAAGTTTTTTAGTAAGAGCTCAGTTGTAGCCAGAATGGGTGATCAGATTCAGTAATACTTTTGTTTCTCTGTGATCCCTAAAAAGGACAGTGGGCTGATTTTCTGTATCAGATAGGTCTATATAGGCTCAGCATCCTTTGAAGTTAGCCTTGGAAGAATTGCCAAGATATTTAGACATATGTGCAAAAAGATTTCTCTTTTTTTTTTTTTTTGGTCTTTTTCGTTTTTATCAGTACTAGGGATCAAACTCAGGACTGCCTGCTTATAAGACAGGCACTTATGCCGCTGAGCTAAATCCCCAGCCCAAAAAAGATTTCTCTTTAGCTGGGGATTTAGCTCAGCGGCGTAAGCGCCTGCCTTGCAAGCAGGTAGTCATGAGTTTGATCCCTGGTACCGATAAAAAAAAAAAAGAAAAAAAAGATTTCTCTTTTGTTAAGCCATGTAATCTGCATAGTTTGTAATATTTTAATGAAAACATTTCCCTGTATTTGTTTTTGAGGATTTGATTTTAAGTGGCAGTGCATACAAGGATCACTTTTTCTTCAAGGTATTACATGTTGTTGTTGTTTTGTGTCCTGGTTATTCTGCAAAACCTTATGGGATTCAGCAGTCAATTTTCATTTATATATTTAAAAAAGAAAATGGAAAAAACTAACCATTTATAGTATTTTATTATTTGAGGAAGCCTGCTTATTTTAATTTTTTTTTTTTTTTTTTTTTTGGTGATTTGCTTTTGTGAATTCCTTCCTATATAAAAAAAGTTCTTTTTGTGTTTTTGAGACAGGGTCTTGGTATGCAGCTTAGGCTGGCCGTGAGCTCACTTTGTAGTCTAGGCTGGTCTTGAACTTGCAATGATCCTCCTGCCTCAGACTCCCAAAAAAGTTCTTTTTATGACGCATTAAAAAGAATTTTTTTTCTTTTTCCTTTTTTAAAGCCCTGGTTGAACTTTCTTATGTGTCTTATGTCCGGGAATCCTAGGAAGACGGTTGTTACTTACCAGAGCTTGTTCTGTAGAATTCCATAAGGGCTGTTTGGAGTGTGCTATTTGATCAAGTGTTGTAACTAGGTAAACTTGTCAGTGAAGTTTACCTCCCCATGTGTCCAGTTCAGCTTAACTGATTGGAGCCTTTGTAATCTTCCGCAGCAGTGGTCACTTTGCATTGTACTCTCCTGAGTGAGCTTTGTGTAGTGCACGTTCCAGTAGTTCAGGACAGGAAACGCGCCTCACTCAGCCCTCACAGGGAGGCTGTTTTCCCTCAACTCTTTTTTCTCTCTTTTCATACCAGAATCGAACTCAGGCACTTGTGTGTGCCAAACCAACACTGTGCTGCTGAGCTGCACCTGGCCCTCCCTCGGCTTTCATGACTCCGCGTGTTTGGAATTGTTTTATGTAGATCATGTCTTGATGAATGCACCTTTGAGTTTGTTGCCTGTGTTTGCCTTTTACTTTTCTTGGTCATAGCTTGTGCGCCAACCATCATTTCTAAGTCTGTCTTTCAAAGGCTTTGAGCTAATTGCTTCAAGCCACTGATTTATTTATTTAAACCAGCTACAGAAAGGATGTGGAGATAAATCAAATGAAAGAGAAACAAACATTCTCCAGAATTTAAATAAACTAAGCAAGAGGACAGGTTTAATATTGAAATACTAAATAATAGCATTTACATAGTAATCTGCTTTGCAAAAAAAAAAAGTAGGAAATAAGAAATGGTTTCTTTAGTATTTCTTGTAATTGCTGCTCAAGGTAACCGTGAGACAAAGCAGTAAACACCACAAGCGGTGCTAAAGGGAGACTCATGCTTCCTGCCCTCCCCGGCTACAGGGACAGCGGCTGGGCAGGAGCAGGACTGTGTGCACAAACCACCAGAGGGGGATCCCAGGGAAGATTCAGAGCCAATTATTAACTCATCCTGGTGAAATAGACTTTTTCCCTGTTAGCAGTGAACTAAACCACCAAGAATGTAAGAAAGGAGTAGGCTTTTCAATAGAGTCACAGTATCTGTTCTATTCTGTATTAGCCTTTCTTAATTTATAGCCAAAGCCATATTCCATTTTGGGGTGGTGATGCTGAGACACGGGGTCTCACAGTGTGGTTCAGGCTGGCCTTAAATTCACTATGTGGCCCAGGCTGGCCTCCAGCTAGTGATCTTCTGCCTCAGCTTCCTGGTACTGGGATTGCAGGCACATTACCACCCTACATAGCTCCACTTTGTGTTCATTTCCATGGTTTCTTAGAGAAATGAGAAGTGTAACCCCATGTGGGCAGAACTTCTGAACTTCTAGAAAGTTCAGACGCACTGCCATGGCCCCGCCCCATCGGAGTCATGCTGTTGTCGTATGTGTTTTCTCAAGCAGTAAGCTCCCCTCCCCTGAAAGTTGTGGACAGATTTGCTTTTGTTGAATCCAACCACGTGAAGCATTTAGCATCTTGGCATTTGCTCTTGAGCCAAAAGGCGGTGTCTCCCTGTAACAGTGGAATAGGTTTTAACAGGGATAAGTCACCTATAATGTCCCTGCTGATAATCAGTGGTAGGAGTGCCATGACGCCATTGCTGTCTTCTTCATGGGGTCGGGAGGCTGAGAGAGTCGCAGTCCTTGAGAGGCTAGAGATAGGGACAGGACTCCCAGGGTGTGATAATATTGTCACCTCCACCTTTCGTTTCTGCATTCAGGTTTTATTTTGTGCTTTCCAGGAGTCTGTGCCTTCAGCTTCCCCAACGGGCACCCCCAAGCACACTGTGAGGAAAACGACAAGCACAGAGGACCCCAAGGGGCTGTTCATGATGCCCCCTGCTGAAAAGAGCCCGGGTAGCCTGAAGAGTGAGTTTGTGCCCAGCACCTCCACCAGGCAGCGAGGGCAGCAAGCTGTGCCACCTGTCGGCCACAGTTCCAGTAGTCCAGGTAAAAGAGGAGGAAATTAAACACGCATGCACGTGTGCGTGCACGCACACACACACACACACACACATGGGCACACACACACACATGGGCACACACACACGGGCACACACAGGAGGAAACTGCTGCATAATGAAGATGGGAACATTTACTTCCCTGGAACCCAAGAGGGAAATGCATTGTGTTCCATCAGAGGTCAGCAGGGATTTCGCATGTCTTTACTAAGTTTCGCTGTGCTTTGAAGACTCATGAACATAGGAATTAGTCACTCTGAGGAAGGACCCAGTTAAGCCTCTCTAGTTTTCTGTTGCTGCGCGGATTGAGGATGTATTGTGGAAGCGAGGTGCTGCTTTTAAGGAGCTAGAGAGGAGGTAAATGTGGTGTGCCACAGGGAGCAGTCCAGTGTGACAGGATTTGGAGAGGGGAGGACAGCAGTGGAGGCTGGCTCTGAAAGACCTGTGCAAGATAGAGTCAAGAAATAGCGAACTCCCTATGGTACCCTGGAGTCTTAGAGATGACAACGACATGCTTTACAGCTGTGTTGACTAAATGAGATCATCTTTTTTTTTGGTGTGTGTGTGTGTGTGTGAGAGAGAGAGAGAGAGAGAGAGAGAGAGAGAGAGAGAGAGAAAGAGAGAGAGAGAGAGAAACAAGGTCTGGTTAAGACCCCAGGCTGGCCTCGAACTCAGTGATTCTCCTCCTTCAGCTTCCCAAGTGTTGGGATTATAGGTGTGCACCACCATGCCTGGCTTCATCTTTGATTTTAATAATTTTTTTTTTTTTTTGTCTTTTGTCTTTTTCATTTTTATCGGTACCGGGGATCGAACTCACGACTGCACACTTGCAAGGCAGGCGCTTATGCTGCTGAGCTAAATCCCCAGCCCCTGATTTAATACTTTTTTATTGAAGAATATACTATTCAGAAAAGTATGTGGCTTAGTTAGTTTTCATACATTTTACATATTCTTGGAAGTGGTATCCAGAGAAAGAAAGAACATTACTGGTATGGCAAAAGAGTGAGAAATTCTCTCGTCTCCTCTCCTCTCTTCTCCCTCTCTTTCTCTCCATCTTTCTTTCTCTATGTCTATCTCTGTCTCTGTCTCTGTCTGTGTCTGTCTCTCTCTCTTTCAATGTAACATTAAGGTGAAAAGAGAAAGTTAGAAATTTTGGATTTGCTGTTTTGGCCCCTCTGAAATGCGTTTATTGGTGATACATTGCTTTGAATTAATGCAGTGCTTTTCACGCTGTTCCTCCATGTTGCTAGATTCTGGGACAGTACCCTAGGAAATCTCTGAAGCCACTCCATTTCTCCTCTTTACATTTTCCCTTTGATCTGTTTCTTCTGTTTATCAGGGTAATGAACCAAGCAAGAACTACATTTATTGTATTCCTGCTTAATACCAGGTATTACCGTATTTCACTCCCTGGTAAACTAACATGCTGTTATACGATTTCCTACCCTGATTATATTATAGACTAATGAGAAAGACATTAAATGAATGTATAAATATTGATAGATGACGGTAAGTTTCATGGGGAAGATAAAGACCACGGAGGATCCAATTTAGATGTGGGTAGTAAGGTCGCGGCTGCCCATGAGGCTGTTGGGAAGCAGGGAGCCTGCGCCTGCGGGAGACAGAGGCCTGAGGGTTAGTGAGCGCGTGTGCGGGTGGCTTGAGGTGGGGCTGGGAAACTAGGCGGTGGGCCTTCGCGTGGCCTTGCAGGGATCTGGGGAATTTTACCGACACTTTTAGATTTAAAAAATAGCCATTAAATTGTATAAAGGAAAGGAATGGGCTGTTTCTTCTTTCTTTCTTTTTTGTTTAGCTGCTGCTCAGGTGTTTTGTGAGGGCTGCAGTGGAGTCACACGGGTGCATCGAGGAGTGTTGGTAGTCGCGGCTTGGACTTGAGTCGTGGGAGTGGAAAGGGTTAAGCTAGTGTTTGGAAGCGAATTCTGCTGCTGGGATAAGTGTGGAATCATAACCTCTGCAGCCTCACGGTCAGGCAGGCGCGTGGTCCGCAGGGGCTGTGACAGTGCGTGTCTGGTGACCGGGACGGTAGGGTGTGTTGTGCACACAGAGCTCAGTGCAGGGAGGTCTTGAGTAACGGAGAGCGGGGACGGGACGGGGAAGCAGGCAGTTCTGTGTCCCCCAAAGACGCAGTGTACTTGTTTTGACCTTTTCATTTTGTGTATCTCCTCCCTTTTGGGTTCTCTTTTCATCACTCTTTTCTTTCGGGTCCTTGTAGAAGACCACATCTGCCTGCTGGACTGTATTGTCGTGGACCTACAGGACATGGACATCTTTGCTGCAGAGAGACGCCCACGAGAGGACTCGAAAGCTTCCGAGGACAACAGTGGAGATCTGATCTTCCCCTCCTACTGTGTGCGACACACAGGCGGAAGCCTCTTGACTGAACCTTGTAGGCTGAAATTGCAGGTGGAAAGAAATTTGGACAAGTGAGTATTTTATCTGAATGTCTGTATATTACACAAAGATTTAGTACAGCACCTCAGAAATCAGTGCTGCTACAGTAAGTCAGGAGGAACACAGTTCCTTATTTATTTACCTGTTTACCGTATATTGATTGAATCCCTACTGTGTGCTGGAGATGAAGGTTTCTAGGATGCAGGAGAAGACTTCTGCTCTCGGGAGCTTAGGTTCTGTGAGGGACACAGGGTGGTAACTGGTGCTTCTGATTTGGTGTTTCACTCAGTGATTGCAACTGTTATAAGATTTATAGCAGTGCCTTGGGAACGAAGCAGGGACACGAATTTAGCATGGCTGTAGGAAGTGAGGCTGGAGTGACCATGGGCAAAGTATTCCGAAAGAGGTGGACGTTTGGATTACATGTCCCAGATGTCCTGGAGGCGTGGCCTGGTGCAGCTGCGTTGACAGCTCCATTTCATTCCCAGAAGTTCGCCCTTTCTGTCCCCAGAAGCAGTTTGGGTGGACTGGTGTGTGAAGGGGAGACTGCTGCTGGACGGTATGTGACTGACCCCCCGACCTGCCCTTGCTGTTGGCCTGGCGCACACTGTGCTTGCTCCATAGTTGGGAGCGTTGCTCCCGGTGCCAGCGGTTCCGTATCTGCCTGGGAAGGGTCCTCTGAGTGAACCTGCTGGATCCTACCTGAGACGGCAGAATGGGACTCTTAGGGCCGTCACTCAGGTGTGCATTTAACCAGGCCCTGTAGGGGAGCTTCCGCTTGCCGGGGTCCCGCACCTGGACCGAACTGCTGAGTTCATTGTGTGGCATCTTTCAGGGTGAGGTGTGCGTTTTGAAGAAATCAGCATTTCACATTCCCAGGGAAAGATGAGATGTGACCGTGTAATAAAGAAGGGTTTTCCTTCGTGGCATTTTGGAAAGCAGCCTTGTTACTCGCACAGAGTGTGGTTTGATCTCTGTTCCACTCCCTCCCCAGTTCCTGGGCCTGAGCGGTCTTTCCATGTCACTTGTGAGTTTCTTGCCGAGCGAGTGCACAATTTAGCCCTTCTCACTGGGGCGCTTGTGTTTCACTCTGACTTGTTATTCAAGTGCTCCCTGGCTGGCGTTCAGTTAGGGTTGGCATGGGCTATATTTGGTTTTACTAGCTTAACAGTCTTAAGAAGAACTTCATTATTTAGAAATTGAACACTCTGTTTTCTTTTCAAGTAATGCGTTAAAAAATGTGCTTTGCTACTCTGCTTATCTAAACTTCCCCCCTCCTCTCCAGCATTTATGTGTAGATAATTATGCTCAGCACAGGTCGAAGGCGACACTGAACACGGAGTATGCTGTCAGCCGCTCATCCCACAGACAAGAAACCCGGATGGCCCTTGATAGCCCTTCCCCTGTTTCCTTTATTAATTGTCGTTGGTCTTTAAAACTTTATTGTGTGTAGATTTATCTCTGTAGACAAAGTGAAAAGGCCCTGGCGAGTGAACCCAGCAGGTCCTCATGTATGCTTTCTAGCCCGTTTAGCTCATGCCAGGATTTTCTACATGGTATTTAGGAGAAAAGGCTTTTTTTGGGAGTTGAAGCATGAAGTCATATACCAACTTTCCTCTTTTTTCTCCATTTTGCCCTTTTTCTGGAACATTTTTGTTATTAGTTAAAAATTTGGTGATTAGTAATGCAAATGAGTACGTTTGAGCCCTTATATTTGGATATGAGCTGTGTCATAGTTAAGGTAGTAAGTGACTTCTAAAGTGATCTTTTCCTTTTTTCATAGAGAAATAAGTCACAGTGTTCCAGACATATCTATCCACGGCAATCTATCTTCTGTCCACTGTTCCCTGGATCTGTATAAATATAAGCTGATCCGAGGCTTGCTAGAGAACAACCTTGGGGAGCCCATAGAGGAATTTATGCGGCCTTATGATTTACAGGATCCAAGAATTCATGTGAGTGAGACCTCTGTTATTTAGTGACTTTCGCAGTCACAGCTGATGGTTGCCCTTTGTGTGTAATCCTCAAGTTGACCTGTGGGAAAAAGGCAAAACCACAGGCAAATTAGATTTCTTGACCCGCGAGTCTGTGTTTCGGTTGGCATCATCCACCAGAGGTTGATTGGCGCTTTCCTCTTTCAGACTATTCTGAGTGGAGAAGTGTACACTTGCATGTGCTTCCTCATTGACATGGTCAATGTAAGTCTGGAGCTTAAAGATCCAAAAGGAAAAGAAGGTGCTGGATCCCTTGCCAGGTATGGGTTTAATATTATTTCAGTCCCAGTAATGGTAATACAAGACAGCACAGTACAATACAGTACAATACAGTACAGTACAATACAGTACCGCTCATTTGTGCGTTACCATAGGGCAGAGGGTGCAGGATGGTGGTACACAGCCAAAGGAGGTCTGTGAGTGCTTTTTGGTTGGTCCATAGTGTGCTTATTTCTTTTTGCAGTGCTCCTGAGCTAAGCATATTCTCTCCTCACTGAGCTTCGCCTCCAGACCCCAGAGGGCTGTTTTATAAAGTTTAAATTTGAGACGCTGTCAGCCAGTGATGGTTTAGGTTTGCTTTATTTTTTATTTTTTGGTCTTTTTGAGACAGGGTCTCACTATGCAGTTCAGGCTGGCCTTGAGTTCACTTTGTAACCCAGGCTGGTCTCGAACTCACCACGATCCTCCTACATTAGCCTCTCGAATGCTGAGATTACAGGTGTGCACCACCATGCCCAGCTAGGTTTTGCTTTAATACCCCAAATATCAGTGATTTAGAGCAGGGAAATCGTGTTTCTCCCTCAAGTTCAGTGGCCACTGTGGGTGGCTGCTCTGCTTATTTAGTCTGCCACGATACGGTGTTTTATGTGGTTTGGTTTTGTTTGTTATGCTTCCTGTGTTGAGCGGGGTCTCCCTGTGTTGCCTAGGCTGATCTCACACTCTAGCCTCAAACGATCTGCCCATCCCACTCTCCCACCATCAGGGCCCGCTGGCAGACTGTCATAATGTGCCAGAGAGAAGAGTAGGAGGCACGACCTGTCCTGCTGTGGCCACTGAAAGTGGGGCTGGAACATGGTCCCACCAGCATGAAGGGCTTGGCGAGGGCCGTGCCACCATGTGTCTGCATAGTTCTAGGGGTGGCAGCATGGATGAAGGTCTCACTGGTGAATGTTGTAAATTTGGCAGATTTCACACCAAAGTAATTTTAAATAATTCCAGCTTCTTTTGAAAAATTGGAAGCTTTGGCAGTGCTAGGCCTCAGTACTTCTCGGAGACATCTGGAAGCCGAGCGGCACCTGTTCCTTTTAGATAACAGGTCACATACTTAGTCCCTTGCTTGGTCAGTGTAGATGTGTACGTTTGTGATTACTGGTGCAGAACTCATTACTTTCACACTGGATAGATAAATTTTATTTTTTGTGTGTGATCTCCTCACAGCCCTATAATATTGGCCAGCAATTACACATATTTTCCAGGTAGAATTTCCAACTATCATAAGATTATGTGACTGGAAAAGTGATTCCATAGTGGAAAACAGAACTTTGAGGCTAGAAATGTCCCTGTGAAACTCTCGGTCTCCTAGTCTGTGCTGTGTCAAAGGTCTTCAGGGACCTGCCCCTCAGCTGACGAGTGTGTGCTGCAGTGAATCTGGGGTCCTACTGAATTGTTTGTAAGCCAGAAGTTTTTCTGATGCCTGACTGTGCCTTGGTTTTTCTCAATATAAAGCAGTTCTGTGTGGATTGTCACAGTGGTACTGAATAATTACAAATTTCTCGGAATTTTCTTCTCTTACCAAAATGTTGATTTCAAATGCATTTCCTGTTGGAAGATGGATTGAATTCTTTCCCTGTGTGAAGACTACTATGCATTCTGGGCACTTCCAGTGAGCTTTAATGATTTTACAGAGAAATCTGGACAAACTCTGGAGAGAAAGACCTCCAGGCAGGCAGGAAGTTAACAGATGAAGGTCTAAAGCAGGGATGGAAAACCTTTTAGGGCTTTCAGTGATGCAAACAGCCCACTGTGGCACATGTGCCATTCATTTGCTGCCACTGGTTAAGGGGACATTTGACGTCTCTTGGGGATTGTTATAAATAGACAAGCATCTTAGATTTATGATGGGAAATTAGAATGACAGTGAATCAAGAAAATTATATATTTATGGTATTGCTATTCCTCAGGAAGGTCCCATGAACAAGATCATCTCTTTGGAAATGGAAAAGTAAGATACCAGCCGTCAGGCCACTGAATCCATCTTGAGGGATCTGTTCATAAAATCAGTCCGAGATCTCAGACTAAAAGTTACTCACCTTCATTCAGCTTGGCAGTAGTGATGATTTTGCTCTTTTTGTTCTGATTTGTATGTAATTTTGTAAAGCAGAATTGTGCTTAACATTTTCTTTGCTTTCTCCCTTTAGATTTGACTTCAAGAAATGTAAACTGCTCTATGAAAGTTTTTCCAATCAAACCAAGTCCATTAACTTGGTTTCTCATTCCATGATGGCTTTCGACACCCGCTACACCGGGCAGAAGACCAGCCCTGGCCCTGCCAATGTGTTCAGCTGCATATTTCAGCCGTCCAAGAATAGCAGCACCACCCAGGGGTCCATTCAGATTGAACTGCATTTCAGGTGGTAGAGCCAGACCTGCCTCTCTCTTTCTTCATGGAGACATTTCTTTTCATGCTAGAGGATCAGATCTGCACTGGCTTTAGAACATAAAAGGACGCAGGAATCACTGAAGAGACGGACAGACAGTGGCGTGTTAGCACAAGGCACTGTCTGTTGACAGATAGACTGCATGCTTGCAGTTTCACTATTGGCCAAAAGATGTCTCTATTGCCTTAAAAAAAAAAAAAGTGCAGAATTAAACCAAGTCCTTAAACTTGGCCTTCCAGTAAGCTTTAATTGTAAATTAAATTGAGAAAGGAAGAAATCATGCTGGTTTGAGGGAGAATAGAAAAAGAACCTTCTGGTTTACGATGAAAGGAAGGTGGTTTTGGTTTGCTCACCTGCTTGCCTGCTGAGGTCTCACTGACACTTGTACATGACTGGAGTCTATACCCTTTTTGAATGAGATCATGTTTTCCTCTTTTGTGTTACAGGAGGCAGCGCTGTGTGTGGAGAGAGGGTGTTTGGGAGTTACAGCTAAACCTTTATCTGTTCTTCCTTGCTGTGTGTTCTAGGGCAAGTTGTTTAGCCTTTTGAAGCTCATTTTTCTCTTTTATAAAACAGAAAAGACTGTGCCCCCCTAATTGGATGGAGATAAGAAAAAACAAAATGATTTTGGTGTATTGCAAAGTACAGAGGTAGCTTGTTACTTTGTGATACACTCTTAGGAGTGTATCACAAAGTAACCTAAGTGTGCCTAAGTGTGCACAGCCCTGAACTGAAACATTAGGCTGACCTGAAGAAGCCTTCGGTGAAAATCTCAGAGACCCTGGCAGCCAATGCCAGTTTCATCCTGTGCTCAGTATCATCAGCTGTGTTTCAAATATAAACCACTAAGTAGAAAGGATGGGGGAACTTAGTATTTAAACACAAAAAGAAAAACTAATCATCAAATAATCATACTGTGTTTATGTCCCTGACATTGCAGTGTGCTGTTCAGAATTCGTCAGAGTTCAGTTTTTTTTTAGATGGGGATCATGGTGTCCCCGAATGCCTGTAGGAAGCCTAGCTGACGTTTAAGCTTTTGTGTGCACCCTTACCTCAAAGTTCAGTAGTAGCAAGTCTAACTGCCTCTCCCTGGGCCCCGCCATGCGCGAGGCACCTTACCTACTGTCATTTGAATCCTTCCGTGAAGTTCGAAGAGCAGGTGACTTCTCTCCCCTTTTACAGATGCAGATAGATGCCTGGAGAGTTCCAGTCACTCAGGCAAGGTCACACAGTAGGAAGTCAGTAGTCCAAGCGAGCCTGGGCCTCTGACTTCAAAGCCGCGAACTCTTCCTGCCCACGAGCTCTCTAGTCATTGGCTGAGTGCAGCCAGGTGCAAAGGTTGTATCTTGCAGCTCTTTGGTGTGAAGGTGTTTGTGGGAACCAGGAGGCTTGCATGTATTTGGTCCTTCTGTAGAGATAATTTACTTTTCGGGTTTGTTTTATTAGCATTATTATTTCTAATAGTGACTTTCGTGTCTGTGACATTTTATCACGGAGCTGTAACCCCTGTCCTTTTAGTTTTGTTTTCTCTTTTTAAAATTTCTTACTCATGTTGCCTGGGCTGACCTGAAAGTCAGGATGCTTCTGCCTCAGCCTCCCAGATAGCTGGGATTAGAAGTGTGCACCGTGCACTGTGCTCCTTGCTTTATTGTTATTGATCTGACTTCCTAAACTGTCCGTGAGTTGTCCCACACATTATGGTTTTACAGTACAAGGAACGTTGCAGTGTTATTCTGTTCATATACTAAAGTTGTCTAGTTTCTTGGAATCAAATGTATAACGTCTTACCTTGGCTCTGGTAACAGAAATTCTATTGTTAGTGAGAGAAGCAAACGTCTCTTGATTGAACTTTTGAATGCTTTCTGTGTCTCAAGAAGAATTGCTCTTCTGTTGGGACTTTGTGTGTCAAATATAAATCACTTCACAGTGTTTAAAAGCTTGAAATATTTTCCAGCAAAGCGATCTGACATACTGTGACTTTCCAGTTAGTGCAGAGTTCTGACAAATTCTGTTCAGAACGGGGTGGAAAAATTTTCCTGAGGGTAGGATTTCTTCTGTCCTACAGAAGGGTGGAGTGTTTCTGGGGCAATTGCTATGTTTGTAGGAAGGAGACACGCATCATGTGCCCTTTTATTTGAGGCAGTGAGCCAGGTGTAGAAGACACGAGTGACTGGCGGATCAGCCTCAGAAACACCCCAGTTAGCCTTTCCCTAGCGGGGCGAGGGACAGGTGCATACAGCAGCTAGAGCCCGCAGTCTTGCTTTTGGCCCGTCAGTACCAGGTCCAACCCAGAAAAACCTGAAGAAGTGGCCCTCGCCCTAACGAAGAGGTCTTGCCCACCTCTGCCTGCCGCTGTACTAACGGCCTGGGTAACACCCGAGTATGCCATGGTTTGAAGCCAGCCCTGAGCGGCCTTGGGAGCTCACCTAAATGGGAAATTTGAAACAACGAGTACTCTGAAAGTTTCTCCCGGGCTCCAGCCACTGCCCCAACTCCGTGGGCTCTCGGGTGCTAGAGGAAGGCCCGCAGGAAGTGTCATCTCATTTGTTCGCTCTCAGGCTGAAGATCTAGGCTCTCAGGTTAATTTCAGCTAGAGAACCCACCAGCGCCAGAGTGTAGGCTTGGCGTTTATGAAGGAGCCGTCCTAGATCCCAAAGAAGGGGCGCCACAGCCATCTCAGTGCTGCCTGCAGGGGTTGCTGTTCGGTAGGTGCCCACTGTGTATCCGCTGCTTGCTTTCTCAGTGTTAGTGCCCCTCATTTTTAATGAGGGCATATGCTGGGAGAACGGAGGGGACCTCGCTAGGAGAACACGGTTTGTAAGTAGCAGTATTTAAGTCTGGTTGCCAGTGTTAGACGCTGTGCTTTTCTGCTCCGCTGGAGTTTTCCAGCCGCAGCACCCCATCTTAAGTATCCCTTACCTGGGGTGTTTCTAATGCTTGGAAGGCCATGGGCTTTTCCCAGAGTTCAGACTCTTTTGCAACGACTTTGCCAGTTAAGCATCCCTAACCCCAGATTCCAAACTATGAAATGCCCTCAGTTTCAGATTTGGGAGCATTTCAAATATTTGGCCTAGGGATGCACAGAAGAAAAATCCTGGCTTTTGCCCCCCAGATGCCAGTGGCAGCCCCACAATTATGATAGCCGAGAATGTTTCCAGATGCTGCCAAGTGTGTCCTGGAGATCACTGGGCTGCAGTTTGCTGCTTTCTGAAGTCCATTTCATTTTGTTTTAAAAAAGTGATTAACTTTCAGAAATTATGTACTGCCTATGTCCTTAAAACAGTGTTGAGCACTTAAACTGCCAGCTTAAAAAATACTAGAATAGAAGCTGTGTATTGGTGTGGGCCTGTAGCCCAGCTGCTTGGGCAGGAGGCTGAAGCAGGGGGGTTGTTTGTGTCCAGGATTTTGAGGCCAGCTTGGGCAATACCGTCTCAGAATAAAAACAAAAACATTGGAGTACCCCCTGCCCAAGCGGAATAACATATTTGCAGCTTATTTAAATGCGATGTTTCTGTTTCTGTTTCTGACTTCATTGTTTTCGTCTTTTTTCTTGTAGATCTACAAAAGATTCCTCCAGCTTCACAGTAGTCCTCAACAATCTCCGGGTGTTTCTCATATTTGACTGGCTACTGTTAGTCCACGATTTTCTCCACACACCCAGTGATATTAAGAAACAAAGTGTTCCTCCTGCTCGCCACCGTAACTGCAGCAGCGAATCTGTTGTCATTCCCAAAACCGTGAAGAGTGGAGTGGTTACCAAGCGGTCTTCCCTTCCTGTGTCCAATGAAAGGCACTTGGAGGTCAAGGTCAACGTCACAGGTGACTGTGCGGAGCCGTGCCTCACTGGGAGTGTGCGGGTCCACCCCGTGTGGCTCACAGGGTGATTCCTGTGTGGTGTCTCAGTTTGAGATGTCAACGCTTACACATTTGCAGCCTTTGCAGCCAAGGAGCGTCAGGGTTCTTGACCTCCCTTTTCAGCTGTGAGCTGCCGACAGCTGTGTGGTCTCTCAGCCTCTCCTCTGCCCTTGTAGCACGTGTGCCCAGCCTCAGGCCCTGTCTGGCCAGCTGTCTTGTCCCTAACCAGAAATCTGGCTTCAATTTTCTGTTTGGTCTAGGGCCCCAACAGTGTAGGCAGATTTGGTCTGTGAAAGTCTCGGTTTTGAAGATAAGTGACAGGATTGTTATTTTCCTTACAGAAACAGGATTTTCCTTTGTAGATGGATTTATTGTTTCTTACAGCTGATGGACTCTTGTGCAGCTGAATTGTGTTTGTGGGCTTACTGTTGGGTTTGTGTTATCTTCTGCCTACTTCTCAGTGGTTTTGATGAAGCTGCCTAAACACACTTTTCTTTAACGTGTTTATTTATTTATTTATTTTTGGTGCCGGGATCGAACTCACAACCTTGCACTTCCCAGGCAGGTGTTTATGCCACTCAGTTAAATCTCCATCCCTGTGGTCACATTTTAGGTGGATTCAGTTGCAAAAGCTTGTTCTGCACTCAGTGCAGAACTTGTTTAATGAAAATGCAGTCGGAAGCGGAGTATTTTGGCTGTATATAAATTAGGCACTGATTTAAAAAATCTTGACATGAATCAGTCTGTGTTTTTCATGCAGCTTGAACGCCTGCTTAGGTGTTGTTACAGTGTGTGACACCGCCTAACAATGTTATCGTTGAGTACACTTCCTGGATTTAAAATCAGGCCATCACTTGGAGATGGGGTGCTGTTCTGAACTTCTGAGTGTTGGATGGGCCTTCGGGATGGCAGGAGCGCAGTTTCTCTCCTGGAACAAGCATGCTGAGGAGAGAGACGCATCCGGTCCTCCCGCCGGCGCAGTGCTCTGCTGGCGCAGCAGTGCCTGGCCAGGTGGGGTTTGTCTGGGCTGGGGAGGAGCTGAGCTCAGTGGCACACCCCATGGGGCACCGAGGCCTCGGCAGCGTGCCCGCCTCGCGGAAGCGCTGCCGCCCTTGCCACTGCGTCTGGCTCTGCCCTGACGTGCGATGCTGTCCTTTCCAGGCACGGAGTTTGTGGTCGTTGAAGACGTGTCCTGCTTTGACACCAATGCCGTTATTCTGAAAGGCACCACGGTGCTCACCTACAAGCCCCGCTTTGCCGATCGCCCGTTTTCAGGAAGTCTGTTTGGCATTGAGGTAAGAAGTCTTGTGTGTCCACCACAGCACTGCATTTTGGGCTCCACAGAGAAGCATTTAGACAAGAATTTGCTTCCTGTTCTCTGATCAGGGAAAATTGCTCACGGATCGGAAGACCCTTCACTTCCTCCCCTGTGACGCACTTACCCAGTGTATGCTCTGCAGCACGTGGAGGGACGTTTTCTCTTACCGCCCCCCCAAGAGTTCACGGAGTCCGCTCTAGTCCCGGTCCCCGGCGGGTACCTGTGTCGAGCCCTTGGCACCTTCCCGGCATGCTCCTTTCCCCACAGTGGTGTGCTCTGTGATGAGCCAGGGCGTGGGTTAATGGAGACCTGAGCAGAAGCAGTGCCCTGGATTTTATGTGTCGCTGGTGAAGAGGCTCCCGTCGGTACGAGGGAGCGCCACAGAAGAGAGCCACGTCTCCAGCGAGGTGGATAATTTGCACTGGTGTGAATCTGCACTTGATAGCCTGAAAATTTTGCAATATTACATAAAAATCACTCTCTCTTGCCGGGGATTTACCTCAGTGGCGTAAGTGCCTCCCTGGCAAGGGCGAGGTCGTGAGTTTAATCTCCGGTACCAAAAAAAAAAAATTGCCCTCTCTTGTTTTAAGCCACGGCAGTAGAGACAGCAAGGGACGCCTGGCAGACGGTTGCCTTGATCAAACGCTCTTAATTCATGGAAGATCCTCTCGTTACAATGTTAAAATAGTCACAGTTCTTTCCACCTTAGGACTGCACTTTTGTGCTTTATTTTTCCCAGTGGTATTGCTCAGGGGTTGAATGAATACAGCTCATTTTCACTGTCAGCAGCGGATGGTACGTTTTTAGGAGTCCAATACAGCTGACTGAGGCAGGGAGAGATTTCATTCACTTAACCATTTGTTTCTGTAAGGTAAAGAAAGCTCAGTTGGTGTGAATGTGGGCTGAGCATCAAGTCCCAATTCACCTGCTTTCCAGGTGATTGATTAATGAACTGTCAGGTACAATTGGGTTTTGTTTAGTAGCAGCCCCTGAAGGAGCAACGGAAATGAAACTTTCCTGCTTCCAAGTCTTAGGAAAACGACATGGCAAAATATTTGAGCTTCCTGGAAGCTCCTGTTAGTCTCATTCTTAAGACAGAGCAGCTGACTCTGAACCCTGATACGTCTTGACAAGTCCTGGGGATGAATTACAAGGCACAGTGTGTTGGTTTTGAATGTGGCGTGGAACCGTGGTGACGTGGAACCGTGGTGGCACAGTGTTTTTGGTAGCACTGTGAAGTGCCGCACAGTGACAGGGTGAGCGTCCAAGGACCCCAAAGGAATGTTGTCTTCTTTCCTTCGTACTCTCCTTGAACGTACAACATAATTTGGTCTAGAATGGGGACACATGCTCCCTTCCATCTTCCACAAATGTGTTTATTTATTTTTTAACATTTCATAGAACATTTCAAACGTACGAAGTAATCAACTCCTGTACCCCTATCGCCTAGCTTCAGTAGTTAGTGTACTGTTAATTGTATAATTGGGAAAGGAAAAAAAAAGTCACCTGCCCCCTCCCCCCCCATTTTATAATTCTGTTGACATTTTGCTGTTTCTTTCTTTAAAAAAAGTGATGGGGCTGTGTTTTCATATAATGTGTGTTGTAACTGCTTGTGTTCGGGGTGATCATTTAAAAATGACGGCAGAATGTTGCATTTAGAGTGATAGAACCTTTGTTGCTCTCTTAATTTTTAATAATAAAAAATAGTTCACTGAGATTTTCTGTATTTTGGCTTCTTTCCTTAGGCTACTTCCCAGAAAGAAGTCTGGCGGGTAAAGGTGTGGGCTCTTTCAGCCTGGGGGTGAAATGTTAACTCCTCTCCTCTTGTTCTTGGCAGTGAGTGAGAGCCGCCTCACTGGTTTTGGTCTTCATTTCAGCCCTTGCGGGGCTGTGACAGCGCGGGGCCAACTGCTCCGGAGGTGGTCTCCCCGTGTGGCTGGTCAGGGCAGGGCCAGGCTCGGTCACCCCGTCACCCTCCCGTGTTGCCTTTCGTTTTCTAGGTGTTTTCGTGCCGACTGGGGAATGAGCAGGACACCGCTCTTTCCATTGTTGACCCGGTGCAAATTCAAGTGGAGCTGGTGGGGAATTCCTCTTACCAGAATAGCTCCGGCTTGATGGATGCGTTCAATAGCGAAGATTTCCCTCCGGTCCTGGAGGTAATGATGGAAACCTCTAATGCGTCCGCACACCTTCAAACGCTGTCCGCTGCAGGTGCCTGCTTAATCAGAGCCAAAAGCATGTCAGTGACTTCAGCAGCTCACAAATTAAATCTTGTGTTATCTCTGTTGTGGGTGATCTTGCAGTCTTAGGGAAGATAAAAGGCCTTTTCATTGTCTGGTATCATCTTGAAGTTCTGTATAACTGTGCAGGAAGCCAAACTCCAGCTAGGCAGGGAAACTCATCAGGGTAGAGTGCAGACCAGGGCCGTCAGGAGGAAGCGCAGGGTGGAGAGCAGTGTCCTGGCAGAGGGAGGTTTGCAGGGCGGAGAGGAAGGAGAAGGGAAAGCCGGGTGAGTGGGGCTCAGGAGGTACGTGCTTGTGTGTCGGTAGGAAGGGTGTAATTAATTAATCAGGGTACATTTGGATCAAAGGAGATTGAAGATGAAAAACTGTCTTCTCAGAGAAGTAAAAAACAAAATAGGTGAATGAAGAAAGCCCCGTGTCCTCATTGGTGCCATCCTCCAGGGTCACCCTTTACAGTGGCCTGGCACTGGGGGGCCTGTGCTGCCCTCACCCTTGGGAGCTGTGTCACTAATCTCGGAGGGAGTACTGTGGCCAAACATGACTCATGGAAGGTTGTGCCTGAGGGAAGAAGAGAGAAACTTTGTTGGTTAGTTTGTTTCAGAGATTTTAAAAAGTTAAATAGGCCAATGCAAAAATAAGTTAGCAAAATATTGTAATAGCTTGTCCTGTCTTCTCCTGAGCACTTCTCTGATTGAGATGTAGCGTTTAATACATTTGTATAAAGTTCATCCTGCTGAAGTATTAATTGCTATAATTATTTTAGCTAAGTGTGCATGTGTATTTATTTTATTCCTTTGTGACTTTTTTTTTAAATTTAGTGCACTTTGTGGCCATTTCATTTTATTACTGAGATATCTTACCTCATGGTTATTTGTGCTTCATTCATGGTCTTTGCAGTCATTCATTCATGAGACAGGTCTCACTATGTAATTCAGGTTGGCTTTGAACTCACTGTGTAGCTCAACCTGACCTCAAACTCATGGTGATCTTCTGCCTTAGTTTCCTAAGTGCTGGGATACTAGGCTTGCACTCCATGCCTGGCTCTTTGCAGCCTTTTAAATGAGAAACTTGCTATAGTGTCTGTTGGACTTTAGGACTTAGTAGAAATTACTTCTATAAGAGGTGTGGATACAAAACCAAAAACATTAAAAAATTGCTACCTTTTAAATTTTGTTAGATTCAGTTACAAACCCTGGATATCAGACTCTCCTATAATGATGTTCAGCTGTTTCTTGCCATTGCCAAATCCATCCCAGAGCAAGCGAATGCTGCAGCGCCAGACTCAGCAGCCTTGGGGGCAGACTCTGCTAGCAGTCACCTTCCAGGTGCATCTCACGTCGGAGAGGAGAGTGGGGAAGGGGCGAGACATGCCTTAGATCCTGTCCTGGGTAGGTGTTTAACTGCATACCCACACGGTCTTCTGAATAACCCTTCTTCTTCTGAACTTTCACAGTTTTGTTTTTGCACAATTAAATTGTTCAGAGTCTAAAGATTTGTTATTAAGTATAACTGGAGTCCTCACTATGACTCTGATTTGTATTTAAAACAAAACACCCCAAACCCAAGTGCTGTGGCCTACACTGCAACTGCTGTTTACCTGTTACAGTTCACTTTCACAGTGGCTGATGCTTCCATCTGCTTTAAATGTTTTCCTTAGTCAGGTTACACCTGGCAGAAGTCTGCATGAGGGGCTCTTTTTAGCCTACAGAAATGAAACGCTTTAATCACTATTTCTGAGTTTCTTTTCTCTTAAATTGGACTGTGGGTTAATTTGCGAATTTATCTTCCAGAGTTACAGCTGGCCAGACTGCAGGAGCTGGGGTTCAGCATGGATGACTGTCGCAAAGCTCTCTTGGTGTGTCAAGGTAATTTGAATGAAGTTCCGTGATCTGTTGTTCTTCTTGACCACGTGCTTCCTTCCTGTTTCCTCCTCCACACCCGCAAGTTGACTTGCAGAGCGGGGGCATATTTAGAAGCTCCTTCATGTGTCTTCTGGGAGCTGAATAGATTTTCAGTGGATGAAAGGTGGGCTCTGGAGTTGACTTCCTGGGTCCCCTTTTTAGCTGTGAATTAGTAACTTCTGGGCAAGCAAATGTCCCAGCCCTTCCTTAGCTGTGAATGGAGGAGAAAGGGCCTGGCGGACCGGTACTCAGTAAGTGAGAGCTGGTGGCTCTCCTAATCCTGACCATTCACTGAACATGCTAGGGTTTCTGTGGGCGTTTCATAGCCTTCGGAAGTAGCAGTTATTATCCTGCTTGAGATGAGGAAGCTAAAGATAGGTTAAGTAAATTTGTCTGCAATCACCCATTTAGTGAGGGCCTAAGATAGACTTAAAGCCAGGTCCGCCTGATTCCAAAACCCAGGTCTTCCCGCTGTATCACACTGTACCACACTCTGGGATCCGATTTCTCTTAACAATGACAAATGTAGCCCATGCTGTGTTTCCTTCAAAACGCACTCACTTTCTGTTTTTCTGTGTATTGTGCATACCCATGCATACATACTTACAGGTATGGTACAGTTACAGATTATACAGCAGTCCCCTCTTATCTATGGCTTCACTTTCTGTGGTTTTGGTTTCCTGTGCCCAGCCTTTATCTGAAAAGATTAAATACAAAACCCTAGAAATAAGTATATGTAAGTTGTGTGTATGTATGTATGTATGTATGTATGTGTTCATTTATTCATTTATTTATTTGGTCTTTTTTTTTTGAGGCAGGCAGTTCAGACTGGCCTTGAACTCATTTTGTAGCCCAAACTGGCTTTGAATTTGCAGTAACCCTCCTGTCTCGCCTTCCAAGTGCAGGGATTACAGGCATACACCACCATGGTGTCATAAATCCTAACACACACACCCGTCCAAGGAGTATGATGAAACCTGTCCTCCCAGGACACGAATCTTCTCTTTGTCCTGCCTTTCCACACAGTGTGTGCTCCCTGTTTATTTAGTAGACACATAGCTGGCTCATTTGGCTGATCTGTGGCAGTACTGCGGTGCTGTGTTCCAGAAAGCCTTGTCTAACTTAGTAGTGGCTCAAAGCAGAGGAGCAGTGATGATGACAGTTCAGATATGCTGAAGAGAAGCTGGAAAGTACTTCCTATAAGTGAAAAGGTGAATATTCCTGACTTGGTATGGAAAGAAAAAAGTTATATTCTGGTGTTGCTGAATCTCCTATTCATTAAATTAAGGGGAATTAAGAACTGCTGCTTTTCCTGTTGTAGCTCAAGTTGTGAAAGTTGTGGGACAGAAATTCTTAGCTAAAAGATGGAGAAGGTATTAAATTGTAGGGTTTGGTACTGTAGAGGGTTTCTGGCATCCACTGGAGGAGTCGGAGCCCCCTTCCTTGACAAGTGGGGACTGTTCTGTTGCATAGCTAATTTTATAGCTGGGTGCATTGGGGCTCACCTGTAATCCCAGCTACTCAGGAGGCAGAGGCAGGAGTTTGAGGCCGGCCTGGGCAAGTCAGTGAGGCCCTGTCTCAAAATAAAAAGTGCTAGGAAAGTAGCTCAGTGGTAGAGTGCCCCTGTGTCAATCACAAAATGAGCAAAGCCTTTTAAATAACATTGTGTAGAGTTGTAATTTTATTATGATTTACTTAATATTGCATAAGTATCATCTTTCCATGACATTAAAATTATTTGCAAACACCTTTTTCTAAACATTGGTTCTACAGATATAATTTATTTGACCATTAGCTTGTGTTTTATTTTTCCAATATTCATCTTGAAGCATTACCTTGGTTGAGACACAACTGTTGTAAATGGTAGACCTGAGGGTGGAGGCGTATTTTTCAGGCTCCTCATTCAAATTGACAACTCCTTTTCTAAAAAGATCATACTGGTTACACTCTAACCAGTTACATGTGAAATATTTGTCTCATAACATAATGCTTTGCATCAGTTTCATCTTGACAAAATGAAGATGTAGTCATTATCTTATGTTCCTTAGTTTCCTTTTTAACCAGGCATCATTGCTTTTTTAAGTGTTTTTTTTTTTTGTATTTGTATTTTTACCAGTACCAGGGATTGAACTCATGACCACAGGCTTGCAAGGCAGGCGCTTATGCCACTGAGCTAAATCTCCAGCCCCTGCTTTTGTAAGTTTTAGTTAAGTTTATACACCTTAGTGTTTATTTTTTCTGTGGTTTTTACTGTATCATTAGCAATTCAAGCACATTTTTAAAAATTCCCTTTTTATTTTTTTGTTTTTTAAGACAGTCTTACTATGTGGTACAGATGGCCTTGCCTCCCTAGATAGCCCATGTTAACCTTGAACTTATGGCAATCTTCCTGCCTCAGCCTCCCAGACCTATTTTTTTAGAGTTCTCAGAGTCTTTTAATTTGCTAACTAAAACTACTTAGTTAGTTTGCTAACTAAAACTACTTAGTGGCGCTTATGCCACTGAGCTAAATCTCCAGCCCCTGCTTTTGTAAGTTTTAGTTAAGTTTATACACCTTAGTGTTTATTTTTTCTGTGGTTTTTACTGTATCATTAGCAATTCAAGCACATTTTTAAAAATTCCCTTTTTATTTTTTTGTTTTTTAAGACAGTCTTACTATGTGGTACAGATGGCCTTGCCTCCCTAGATAGCCCATGTTAACCTTGAACTTATGGCAATCTTCCTGCCTCAGCCTCCCAGACGTATTTTTTTAGAGTTCTCAGAGTCTTTTAATTTGCTAACTAAAACTACTTAGTTCCATTAGTAGTAAAGATAAATAAGGGTTTCTTGAATATGAACTCTCCAGTACCGCCACAGATCTGACAAATAAGCCAGCTGCTAAGTAATAACAAGTAAGTTGGAGACATTGGAGTTGCAGACTTTGACAGGTGCACTGTGTGAGCCTCACTGTCAGCTTAGGAACGAATCTGACTCCTGAGCAGGTCTCCTGGAACGGAACTTGGTCCTAAATTGGGGTCTTACTATGTCCCCAGCCGGGTTCTGCTTGGAGGACTCCCTCATTTCCTGTTCATAGCAGTCCTCTAAGTGCAACAGGGCACAGAGGATCAGGTGGCTCACCTGAGAACCTGCAGCACTGCAGAGCCCAGGCCCGGAGCTGCTCTCCCTGTGCCTGGCCTCTGGTGACCAGTGACTGTGGGCTGCACTGCTGCCCTCTCGCCCTTTCCTTGGGCACCATTCTTGGCATTAGCAATCTGGCTGTGTTCAGGCAGCTGCTGTTTAACAGTTCTATGTTTCACACATGCGGCTCTTTTTTTGCTCTCTCCAAGAGGAAACATTTGAAGACAATTCACAAAGTAGCATAAACTACATAGCAAAGATGAGTAAGTCCTTAGGCACTGGGTGGCATCTAGAATCTCAGTGTCTTCTCCAGCAGATGACAGAGGAGAAGAATGGCCCCCCGGAGGCACTGGGTCAGATCGGGAGAGGTCTGCTAGACCTTAGGAAGGGTGTGCAGCAAAGAGAGCCTTGTTCTCTCGGCTCAGAGACAGAATTCCTCTTACTGTGCTGGCAACCACCCCACATCTATAGATGCTTACAGCTGAAGGCCTTCTTGGGCTGTCCAGTAGTTCCTGTGAAACCCTTTCTGCTGCCAGTACCCAGAGTAGCTACAGAAACTGGTGAAATCACTCACGTTTTAATTTCTTTGAAGGCCAATTGAAAAAGGCAGCCAGTTGGTTGTTCAAGAATGCAGAGCCGCTGAAATCTCTTTCCCTGGCCGCTGGCAGCCGAGAGAGCCCAGGGGCCGTGTCAGCACCGAGGATCTCGGGCGTGGAGATCAGAGCCGAGAGCGTGTGCATCTGCTTCATTGATGACTGCATGGACTGTGACGTGCCTCTCGCTGAGCTCACCTTCTCCCGTGAGTGCTCAGCTGACTTTGGGGCTTGTTGGTGGGGCATCGGTGATTTTTGCATTATTTAGACCTCTTAAAAAATGTTAGGGTCCAGGGATACAGCTCAGCAGCTCAGTGCCTGTCTGGCAAGTGCAAAGTTCTGAGTTCGATTCCCAGTACCCGCCCCCCCAAGTCAAAAAAGTTATTTTTGCTGTCTTTTGCTTAGTAATATAAGTGATAATGGTTTTACATAAGTTTTTCATTTGTATATTTTACAGAGATTTGTATTTATTTGCCATATGTGGCCGTCAAGTTTAGGATTAACAGAAGTTGTCATTGATGAAATTTCCATTACACTAACAGCTCTAGCTAAGTAATTCCTGACCTCCCCATCTTGCTTATTCCTTTGTGTATCTCAGTGTTGACGTGAATACTAGTACTAGAAGCATTTAAGAGATAAACTAAAGAGCCAGGTGTGGCCCGTGCTTCAAGCCCAGCTACTTGGGAGGCCCAGATTCAAGGCCAGCCTGGCCATACAGCAAGACCCTACCTCAAAATAAAGTGAAAAGCCGCAGGTGCCCTGCTTTCGGTCCTCAGCACAGACCGCTTCTCCCTGAGCAGAGAGACACTCTGAGAGGATGTTGCTTCTGCCTTGGTGCTTGCTTAAAAAACAGACGAGCCTCTTGTAAGAAACCTCCTTCCGAGGACACGGAGAGGTGACTCATGGATAGGGCTTTATTGGTAGAATGGGGACCAGAGCAGGGCGCTGTGTCCTTCAGGGCGTCCTTGAAGCAGGTCATTGAGCTGCTGGGAGAGTGGATGGAAGCTGGCTGCTGGGAGTGCTTTGTGTTTCCCGTTGTCCGTCTTACTGGCTCTCCTCCCTGTGAGAGAGTTTGGTTCTGGGACTTCAATCCAGCCCTTTGCACGTGATCGATGTCACCCTTTTCCCTGTGCTCTCAGGCCTTGCTGGGCCGCTGCTTAAAAGCTGGCATCTTTTCTCTAGAGGATTAGAGGATTTCTTATTTTTCCAAGGTGGTTGTAAATTTCTGAGCTAACATCAGGACGCGCTTGCCCTTATCATCCTGTCCTCTTTCATGTATCCAGGTAGAAATACCTTTGTGTGTTCCCGAAGGCCTTGGAATCCTGTGCCTGAGCAGGGGCTTGGTAGGCAATTGAGGCCCTTGTACTTGGCACCCCATTGGATGGGCCACTGCCAAAATGCTTAGTGATCAAGATACATAAGACTTCCATACAGTCTTCTGTAAAAGAATTGCTGGGAGCCATCGAATAAACAGTGTCACGATTTTGTGTGCTGTCCTGCAAGATCACAGGTGTGGCTGTGACCTCCGTCTCTGCTGTGCTTGTCGGCACAGCCCGCCTGCAGCTGCAGTGACATTTGCTTTCATTGCAGGTCTGAACTTCCTTCAGCATGTGAGATCCAGTCCTGAAGGCTATGCCCACTTCACCCTGTCTGGAGATTACTATAACCGTGCTCTGTCAGGTCAGTGCACGGCACGTGCTATAGGGGACTTAAAAGTTCAATTTAGGTGTTCACCTGGGCCCATTGCTGCGAGGTTCTACCTGAGGGAAAGGGCAAAGGTGGGGCGGGATGGAAGATGGAAACCAAGTGACCACATAAGCACACCAGATCCAGGCCATCTGTTTTTTGTAGAACTGTATCTTATAAACTGCAACTGAATTATTTAAAAAATAAGTTTTCATAGTTAATTCTCTTTGATTCTAAAGTTTGGCTCATTCTGAAACTTGATATTGTTCAGTAGTAAAGGATCTTTCGTTTGGTCCTTGTTTAGCTATTTGGTGGTAGTAGCTAAATTTCATGGGATATTTATGTCCATAACTTTTTCTGTTTGCTTTTTGAGACAAAGTCTCACTGTTGTAGTTTAATCTGGTCTTGAACTCAAGGTGATCCCTCCTCCCTCAGCCTCGCGAGTGCTGGCATTACAGGTGTGCACCATAATGCCCTGCAGCATCTTAAGCTTTAAGTCCCTACTTTGCACTGGGCCGCTATGTCCCCTGGAAGCCTCCTGAGGCAGGAAAAAATGTGTAATCTGCCTTACTTACATCCTAAACAAAATACAGTTGATCTGAGCAAGCTGTCTTTCTGGAGATAGGAACCTGGATGAAGATACTATACTGCAGGCCTTTTCTTCAGGTTTTTCTTCTCCTTTTGGAAAGACCGAAAGACCTTAACAGCCCACATTTTATTCCTATAACATACCTGAGACAGGTTACTTTATAAAGAAAAGAGGATTATTTAACATAGAGGTTTTTTTTGTTTTGTTTTGTTTTTTCGTCCGTTTGAGACAGGGTTTCCCTGTGCAGTTCAGGCTGGCCTTGAGCTCACTTTGTAACCCGGGCTGTCCTTGAACTCGCAATGATCCTCCTGCCTCAGCCTCCCGAGTGCTGAGATTACAGTCTTGTGCCACCATGCCTGGCTTTCATGTGGGTTTTTAGGGCTGAAGACTGGACAGGCCACCCTCGTGAGGAGGCCTGTGGGTCGGGGTTGACGTTGGCGTCCTGGCAGGAGAGCCTGTGAGAGCCAGTGCTGGCACGACAGTCGGAAGGCTGGAGCGCGCCTCGGGCCAGCTTCTCAGCACCGCTGCCCCGGGAGAACTGCGGGAACTACAGTCATCTCTTCAGGGGCGTGTGCGTAGCAGCCGCCACCTCAGCGATCCCACTGCTCTCACACTGCCAAGCGGGCACCTGCTTTCCACCATGGGAGGCTTTGGGGAAGAACTATAGCGAAATGAAAGCAGCCTAAAGCAGGTTGGCGTTGGGAAGGCAGCGTCCATGAGGCTCAAGTGTCCCGCGCAGACGCCTGTGCCTTTAGAAGAGGTTATGGAGTGCCATCCCGTCCAGTCCCGTCCCGTCCCGTCCCGTCCGCGTCCTGACCCTGCCGGGAGCGCACCGAGCATAGGAGCGCTGTGCCCGCAGGCTGCAGCCGGGGCAGCGAGTCCTCCCGTGACTCCGGTGAGCGCACAGCGCGAGGAGCTACTCTAGGCTCCCAACGTTTTCCTTTGTTCTGGATTCACGTGAAGGCAGCACCCTTACTTTCTCGCCCTTCACAATGATTAGCTTTAGAACAGTGGCTTCTCGGGTCTTCCTCGAGGAAAGAAACTCTACCAGGGCACGTGGCATGTATTTTTTGGGAATCGTTTATTTTCCCGGTTAACCTCCTTTTACATTTGTATGAACATGCTCCATTCCCCTCACTAAGCACCAAATGGCATAAGGAAACTGATCCCCTGCTCTGCGTGCGTGGACTGCATTTGCACTGTGGCTGATTGAATGACTATTTAAAAATTAGTTAAAAGTTTAAAAAATTCTTTATTAGTGTGTTTAAAGTACATAAATAATGATTACTTCCATCCTGGGGAGTTTGTACAGGTTTATAACACCTTTTCATCCCCGCCCCTCCCCTTCAAAATCTTCAAATTTTCAGAGTTAATTGGCTTTCAAAAATAGAATCTTTTAAATCACAGAGAGCTCCCGCATTAAGTTTGGGAACTCCCTCATGCTAGGCAAGCAGACTACCCATTAGCCCCCAGCCCTTTATTTTATTTATTTTTTAATTAATTTTTAAAAGTGTTGGAGATTGAACATAGGACCTTTGCACCAAACTACATTCTCAATGTTTTTTAATCTTTAATTTTTTTTTTTTTTTTTTTTTTTTTTGAGGTAGGGTCTTGGTATGGTGCTGAATTGTCTGGGCCGGGCTTGAATTTCTGCTCTTCCTGCCCAACTCGCCTAGAGTGCTGGGGTTACAGACAAGTGCCACCATACCTGGCTGCTTTATTTTGAAACAAGATCTCACTGAGTTGCCCAGGTTGACCTTGAACTTGTGATCCTCCTCCCTTAGCCTCCCAAGTAGCTGGAATTACAGATGTGTGTCACCATCCCTGCTAGTAACCATTTTTTTTAGCAAATTAAGTGTGGCACTACTATGTATTTGTGCAGATATGAACCATAGTTCCTGCTACTAGAATTGTTTGGGTTTTTTTGGTCTTTTTAAGACAAGGTCTCATTATATAGTTCAGGCTGACCTTGAGCTTACCTTGTAGCCCACTCTGGTGTTGAATTTGCAGCAATCCTCCTGCCCCCACCTCCTGTGAGCTGGGATTACAGGTTTGCACCACCATACCCAGCTACTACTAGAATTATAAATCAGTACAACCACTTAGGAAGAGAAATGGCTATAACCTCATAGAGTTGAGACTCAGCATGCTAAATAACTGACCTGTACACTGCTTTTCAGATCTTTACCATAGAGATTCCCTTGGCTATGTATAGGGGACTTGTACATATGGTATATTCTTCCTAGTAGATTAAGTCAGTGTCTTTCAGAAGAAGAATCGCTAAGTGAACTATGTATGCATAGACGGTTACCAGCTTCCCTCTCTATGCTCAGTGATAAGCCCAAAGGCTTGTTAGTCAAAGTAGCAACTTGAAAAGATGATGGCTTCCACTTAGGTGAAGGTCAGGTACAGGACAGATAATTAATATGTTTGTAAGAAACTTATATATGTGTGGTAAGATTATAGTGCAGAGCAAGGGAATGATTAAGGACTCAAACAAATGTTTGCCCGCAGGTGGGCAGGAGCGGGCTGGTGGGAGGAAGTGGAGGCTTGGCGTTTTCAAAGGAACTTGTAATTTTCTGTTTCTTAAATTGAATAGTGGGTATGTGAGTATTCCTAGCAGAATTTTCTTTAAACTGTATGTGTGTTTAAGTTCCTTTTGTGCATATGATATATTTTAAGATACATATTTTAGAATTTTAAGCTAGAATTTTAAGCCTCCACATGCACCTGTGTGTTTACCAACTGATTGTTCATGTAATCAGGAGAATCAAATACCCTCCTTCATAGGTCACAGTGCTGCTTTTCTGGCCAGAGTTTGAGACTCCTTTTTTATCTTAAGTGGTACAAGAACAGGTGCTGCCCGCTGTTCAGTGGTTCAGGGTGTGTGTGTGCTGCCCTGCTGTCCCCCACTGAACCCTTCCACTCATATCCCTGGAGCGGCACAGACACTGTAGGTGTCCTGAGCCAAAAGTGGTGTGTTCGTTTGGAGCAATTAAGCTCTGCTCTGTCCTTGGTGACGTTGGTGAACTGTGTTCCCTGTACACTCTTGATATCTGCCAAACAGATGTCTTACTTCCTGTGTTCTTTAGGCTGGGAACCATTTATTGAGCCATGGCCATGCTCTGTATCCTGGCAACAACAGGCCGCGAGCCGGCTCCATCCTCCTCGACTGAAGCTGGAGGCCAAGGCCAAACCCCGTTTGGATATCAACATCACCTCTGTGCTTATCGGTGAGTAGAGAGCGGGCTGCAGTACGCTGGTCCCCAGCTGTATACAAGCTCCTAGGCTGGACACCGTTACTCCTGGGCAAGCAAATGTTTGGTGCCATGCCTGGCGCGCTTACCCATCGTGGCCACTTTCCTAGTAAACCCTGACGTGGACAGGGTTCTTCTCCACCGCCCTTCCAGAGTTGGCACCCATGTTGATGCTCTCAGTAGACCAGCAGGAGGCCAGGCGCCTTGGGAAACGTAAAGGGCTATGGTGCACTTTCTTCTTGTAGTGCTTGGTCACTGGGGCTAATTAAATGCCCTGAAAACAAATTTAGATTTTTCTCCCAGCCTTTACATGGAATACCTCTTTTAAATATGATTTTTGACGTTGGTTTTATAGCACAGGAAGTTACCTATGCTGTTTCCTATCAAGTATAAATCTTACCTAATTTCCACAATGAATTCACTTACGGAATTGGTTGGTTCATGTGTGCGTTCCGAAAGTTCGTCATTCTGACATACGCCTTTCTGGATTTCATGTTGTAATTGAGAACCACTGTCATATTTTTTTGTTTTGATCATTGAACAACAGAGTAGCAGTATCATACTATCAGGTAATTTATACATTTGTTATGAAAACTCAGATTCACTGATTTATTGTTCGACGTGATCTAATTTTGGCAGTATTATAATTATCTTTGAGCAACAGCATATACTGTTGCAAATGGTGAACTTTCTTCAGTGTATATGGCAATTGACACTGTTAGCATATCTGTAACTTTACCCCCACCAGAGTAAGGTGTAGATAGTGACAGTTGTGAGGAGGCTGAGCAGGAACATTACTGTGAGTTTGAGACCAGCCTGAATTAACGGCAAGACCCTGTCCCAACAAACAAACAAAAAAAAAAACAGCGTACAGTGAAATGGGACAGTAAATTTTTGGATCCCCTAAATTTAAAACTATTGTTTAAAGAAATTCCATATGTTAATTTACTCAGATACTAACATCACCTAGTCACATAAATTATCCATAAGATCCTTTTGCATTGTTTTAATTTGACCCTTCTGTTGTTTTCACATATCTGCTTAATCTGGAAGGTTAGACAGTTTGTTTCAGTCCTTCAGAAAGTTCTAGTAAACAAAAGTACCTCAAAGGGACTCTTGTTAGTATTTCTGATGAGCATTTTTCCATTTAAAAATATCCTCCAAAAGACCCTTTGGTCAGTGTTTTTAAAAAAATTTGTTGGTTAGGCTGGGGATTTAGCTCAGAGGCACAAGCACCTGCCTGGCAAGCACAAGGTCATGAGTTAAATCCCCAGGACCAAAAAAAAAAAAAAAAAAAAAAAAAAAAAAAATTTTGTTGATTTAAACTTTTAATTCCCTCTTCCTAAGTGTTTGGAAATCCAGAAACATTGCTAGAACCTCTTAGTGTTAAAATAAATCTCATTTAAGTACCCAAGTATTGGAATTGAAAACTAAAGACTTAACAATTTTTGTTTCAAAAAATATAGTTACTGAGTGTAAAAGATCTTCGTTTAGGTGTAGGGCCTCATAATTATTTCATTAGTTTGCTATTTCCATTATAATTGTCTTTAAAAAATAAAAACTCCTCATGAGAAATTGCCGCAGGAGTTTTGAGTTTATTTCTTGGTGAATTCCTGAATGGAGTCCGTATCTCCATATCCTCTCTCAGCATGCGCATCATGTTCTTCACACACTAAATCCTTTCTTTTCTAGATTGCTGGACTGTGCCCCTGCATCCATATGCTGTGTGAAAGTCTCACACGAATACTCAGGACTTGCCTGGTTTAAAGTTTTTGCATGTGCTGTTCCCTCTGTCTGACTATTCCTCCATGCCTAGGCTCAGTCCGTCAGCAAATGCTGAGCCAAGTGTGTCCAGGCCATCGCCTGTGGTCCTGGACAGCTAGCAATGTGGCTCCCACAGATCATGAGCGCTGAGCATCAGCGTGTGACTGTTGGCAGTATTTTTCATGGCCTGAATGTGTGAGCACAGACTGTGTGGTGACAGTGGAACTACACGGGAGGCACTGGTTTCACTAAATAAGGCTCTCATCCATGTAAACCTGGCTGTGTATTTTGTGTGTGGCCCAAGACAGTTCCTCTTCACTCAGTGCAAGCCAGGCAGGCCAGAAGATGGGACAGCGTGCTCTGTACTGTTCTCTGTGTAAGATTCACACAGTGGCCTCCACCTCTCTGAACACTTTCCTGGACCTTGGTGTACACGCCTGCATTTCTGCCAAAGCAGAATTAATCTCCCCACTTCTGTGCCACGGGGCTTTTTTAAAAAAAATCTTCCTTGTGGCACCTTTCACACCCTGGCATAGCTTTGTGTTGATGGTTGTTTGTGCCCATTACCGTCAGCCCTGGAGCTGAGGCCCGGCAGGACACTGACCCCCTCGGCATCCGCGGAGGCCTGGCACACGGGGATCACTGTTTGACCTGAACGCGCAATCCTTCCTACTTCTCTTAATACCCTCTTGGGTTCTTTCTAGACCAGTATGTAAGTACCAAGGAATCCTGGCTGGCGGATTACTGCAGAGAAGACAAGGAACCGGATTCGACTCACTCGGAGGACTGGATTGGCTCGTCAGTGGACCCTCCGTGCTTTGGGCAGAGTAAGACTTCTGTCTGCTGGTGTCTGTCTGAGTCATTGCTGGTTTACAGAGCAGTGCCTTCCTGCTGTAGAGCTGTTGTTCCTTGTGGAAAAAAGTCTGTGGGCCATTTTCTCCTCTATCGATCTGTTTTAATCTTTGCAGCAGACAGTTTTCTGGCACCAACTCCCGTGCTCTCAGTGTGGGCTCTACCTCTGCCTACACGTGGGAGACGGAGCCCAGTGCCTGATCCCTAAATTCTGGGACCTCTGTGGGTGACCTGGGGCCCCTCAGAGTGTGTTAGGACCAGGGATTCTCAGCAAAACATTGTTTTTCCAATTGCTTTGATTTTTAAAAACATCTTTTCCACCAATTGAAGCTAGAGGATAAAGGGTTTGTGTGTGTTGTTGAAAAGAGGGAGGGCAGGATCCCATGTGGAAAACGTTTTTAAATGAGAGCCTTGTATTGTTCATTAAAGTAAAAAGAATTGAATGCTCGGCCTGTGGAGGGAGGAGCAGTCGGGGTGTTCTCTGCTGCCTGGGTTTTCTTCCCCTGTTTAACACTCACCACGGCTCTGCAGCCGGCGGAGCTGGGGGCTGTGATGGACAGCTGCAGGGCCGCGGCTGTTCCACAAGCCATCGGCATCCACATTCAGCTGGGGACTCTTTTCAGTGCCTTTTCTTTGAGGAGTCTTGGCTGGACTTCACATAGCTTGTGAATACTTGAGCACTCCATCTGGTCTGCGAACACGGCACGGAGGGTGGGTTTTCTGTCTATGAAGTGTTTGCCTCCGTCAGGGCGCGGAAGCGGACATTCTGTCTGCCTGGTGCGACTTGTCCCGGGGAGACAAAGAGACATCAGCTGTGCTCGCTCGCCGGGTTCCCAGGCTGTTGCTTCTGAATCTCAAGATGGTTGCTTAGGAGCCAGGGCTCTCAGACAGCGTCCGCTTCCATTCTGCTCCTCCTCTGCCCTGCCCTGCCCAGTTTGTGCCTCAAGAGAACATTATAATAAAACTGTTGAGTCTTATTTGAGAAAGCTTAGTCCTATTCCCCAGAAGTTGTGCTTTAAACTAAAACCCTTGAATACTGTTAGTATGAGGTTCACCCTAAGGAAACTGCTAACTTCTTGCTATTTCCTTAGTGGAGAAAAGAAAATATGGGCCTCATTTTGACATAATTGTATCCTTTGCTGAGTAAGGACTGAGACTTTGCAAGTCAATCTGGATGGCATGACACTTTCTGGAATGTATTGTTTTGTATTCCAGGTTATTTTATGAAAATATCAGATATAAATGTCCTGAAAATCTCAATGATTAATTTAGAACGTAAACAATACTATGAGGTAATTAATCCCTTACGAGAGCTTGTTTCGAGTTGGAACCTGGATGGTGTCTTCCCCTGCATGTTTGAGAGAACGGCCACCCAGGGAGCAGCAGCCCACTGCTACAGTGTTTTCCAGTTGGAAAGGAGCAACTCCCACTAAAATTTGCACTGATTGGCTTTTGTCACTTTCCTGTGCCAGTAAAGAACATTAAACTTTAAAAAAAATTCAAAAGTGCCTATCATCCCAGTACCCTAGAAGGCTGAGGCAGGAGGTTTCTAAATTGGAGCCCAGCCTCGGTATTTTAGGGACTTGGCAAGACCCTTTGGCAAAAGTACAAACATGTAGGGATGTAACTCTGCGCAGAGGCCCTGTTCGATTGATATTAAAAGCTAAAACCTCACAAGGCTTGTCATTTCTGTGAAAGACCATTTAATAATACTGGAAAAGGAGGAGCACACTGCTTTGACGCGGCCTCCACAGCGTGAGCCTGCGTAAAAAACGCCGCGCTCACTCTGCCAGTCCTCTCCTGTCTCCTCGTGGTTATGGGAGGGTGCGCCTGTAATTCCCGGATGCCTGCTCTTCTGTAACGTTTCCTTGTTGTGCTGGCCGTGCGGAGGTGAGTCTTCTGTGCACTGTACTTTCTCTCACCCTCTAACTGTGTCTCTCCTGTCTACCAGGCCTCCCCCTTGTCTACCTTAGAACTAGGAGCACAGCCAGTCTGACTAACCTAGAGCACCAGACCTATGCTAGAGGTACAGTACAGCCAGGAGAGGGCTGGCGTCCTTTCCTGTTTTAAGAACTGCCTTGTGCATCAGTGCTTTGTTTTCTTTTGTTGTTTTGTGAATGTGACTTGAGGGGGGATACCCTACGCTTCGAGGCCCTGGCTTGGTATCAGAAAAGAGTGTTTCCAGTTAACCAATGGAATTGCACTTGATGTTAAGCGCGAGTGATGTGCTGGTTCTTCATCCTCTCTTCCCTCTCCCTTAACTATTGGTGGAAGTGGTGTAAACTCCTTGCTGTGATGCAGAACCACCTACTGCCAACAAGAGGAGACTTGTCCTGAAGAGGCAGTAGGTGGAGGAACTCCTTCCTCCGTCAAGCAGCGCCACAAGTTCTTATTTACAGACCGCTCAGGAGCGTTTATTCTCATGAGAATTAGGCTCCATAATAATCATGAATAGAACTAAGAAAAAATCTTCTCAGTTCTTATTCAGATCTGAACTTTTTTTCTTTTTCTTTTTGTCTTTTTCCTTTTTATCGGTACTGGGGGTGGAACTCACGACTGCCTGCTTGCAAGGCAGGTGCTTATGCCGCTGAGCCAAATCCCCAGCCCCAGATCTGAACTTTTAATTTCACTAGATATAAATTTATTTGTTTAGGAAAAAGAAAATAATTTTTATTTATATCTCTGACCCTGTAAGATTCCTTGAGAATTTGCCTAGTAAGTGAATGTGGGAAAAAATGTCACACATGTTGAGGAATTGGAACCCCAAGATGTTCATTTCTACTTTGCTTTGAGGAGCATGATTAGTCTATTTCCGGATCTGGGGTCATGGTACTTTTTTTCATGGTACATTTTTATACAAAGGGCATTTGAGCCTCCCCGAGCAGAAGTACAGAATAGGGAACTACACAAATACACAGGGATGTATATTACTAGGGCTTTGCTTATTTCTTCCTGGAAGATTTTATGGGGGTTATGTTTGAAGGAGGGCTCATAAAATAAGTCTATGGCTAAACTTTCATTTATTAGTGAACTTATACCTCTGAGCTTTCAAATGTGTTATTAACCACTCAGGCAGAGCCCACCATTATTCCTTTGTAGCTGATCAAGACAGTGAGGCTCAGACAGACAGGGTGCTTCGCCTTCATTCACTGACTGGCTAGCAGCGGACTCAGGACTTCATAAGTATTTGTGAACAAGGTCCTTTCTAATAGATTGAGTTGCTGTGTGGCATGAGCTCTACACACTGTGAATAACGGCTGAACTTCTTTGGGAAACAACTTTAAAAGGGTAGACGTTTCCTAAGCTGGAGCCATTTAAGGCTGAACTTGGATGTGAGAAGCTTTAGGTTAGCTCAGCTCATGAAAAGTTGGATCTGGTCACCAGAGGCAGCCATCAGGGAATAATGTTCTCTTTGATGGATTTGGGAACTTTTTCTCTGCTGCTGTGCCAAAAGCAAGGACAGTTGATTTGGACCCTGGTGCAGGAGATGTTGGATCTGTTGCTGGACGCTCCATTTGGATTTGTGTGCATGCCGTGTATTTTATCCTCTGAGAAGTAGGTTACTGCAGTTTGCGGGGTTCTGTCTGTTCACGCAGGAAGCCTGGGGACCCGAGCAGTATGTCCGATCGTGCTGTTGAATTCCAGAGCAGATGCTGTGGGCATCCGTGTATGGATTCCTACTATGTTATTCTATATCACAAAGTGATCAAAGCCGTCTGCCACCTGTCCTTTCTGAATCTAATTTGCAAATGGAAACTTCTAGTCCAGCTCACCGTGGATGGGGAGAGCACATCTGGCTCCCTTCCCCTTGGCCCTTTAACCGCTGTAATAGAAGCAGCTTTCCTTGTTCCCATGGCGGGAGGCGCCTTCCAAAGCCCACAGTAAATTCTGTTTACCCTGCAGATGGCTCTTAAATTTTTTACTCCCCCTTCGCTCTTGTCAGCAGCCTCACAGCTAGCTACTCCTTAGTTTTCTACTTGATGAGCACTGTCTTGTTTGTAAGGCGGATGGGGACCGGAGTGAGGCTTGGGACAGGGAGTGGGCATGTCCCTGACGGAGGCTGCCTTTAAAGGCACTCAGTGGCTCTCTCTCATCGACTGACTGCACTCCAGAGACTCCTCTCCTGCACGATCCCCGATCCCCGTGCTCAAGACTCTGCTGAGCCACCTTACCAAATGCTTTCACCCCAAATAGTGTTAATGCCGGGGGACTGTGAAAGATTCAAAGGCGGGAAGTGACTGCCTTTCAAAGATGCTGATCACCACTGACTCTCAGGGGTCACGGCAGGCAGGATGGATCATGGTTTGCCTCCTCGATTTTGGGTGGCTGTGTAAGATGAAGTTGGGTTGCCCCTGAACTGTCTTCTGGTAGCGTTCGCCTCTGTCTAGATGCCAGAGCGTTCAGGCTGCGGTCTTTTCAGGCTGTCATCGTGGTTTTAGGCGGGTCACAGAAGGGGATGGGGTCATGTCCTGCGCCCTTTGTGGTTAGCAGGGTGTGTGTTGCGAGCTGCTCATTCAGGATCCTCATTGTCACTGCCTGCTGGTCCTGCTGCTGCCACCCTCAGTGGAGGCCACAGAGGCCCTCGCCAGAGGGGCCTGCAGAGGGTGCTGGGGCAGCGGGGGTGCTCGGGTTTCTTACAGTCCTAACCCACAGTGCCTCGCTGTAGAAGATAGCTCCTGACAGTTTTGGACTGGTTGTTGTTTCTCTGCAGTTTGCCTGAGGAAAGGCTCATTTGTGGAGCCCCAGTTCCGTTCCTTTTTAGCTTTCATGGGGTCCTCCAGTTGGTGGTGATGTCTGTATTACAAAATGGACTAATGCTTCCATTTTAAAAGCTCTGATTTTCCAGGGAGAACGAAGTCAGCTATTACAATGGGAGCATGTCAATGGATATTTTTATTTTGATATATTACGCATACTGTGGCTGAAAGATGTTTATCTAAACAGAGGCTTTCTTAAATAAAGGCTTTCGAACAAAGCTGTAGTAAGCGTCCGTGGTGTATCTTGCTACCACCTGTGTTATCTGTTTAGAACAGACATCTTGGGAGGAGGAGTTCATTTCAGGGTTTCCTGATTCCGCCAGTTGTGTTCCTGATTTCCTCTTCTAAGGCCAGTAAGAATTGTGGGAGGCTTGGGGCTACCTGGGGGGGAGGGGGCTACGTATGGGGGCGAATCCCATGGCAGACAGCAGACACAGTGAGCTTCTGTTTGTTCTTTTAATAAACCTGGGATTGCGGCTTCTCTCTTCCCTGTGCCTTTAATCCCTTCACACAAGACACAGCTTTGGGCCCTGCCTCCAAGTACAGGGAGGGTCGCCCCACACAGACAGACACCTGCATTAATAACCTTTTCCGTTTGTCATAGCAGAGGTGAAAACCCCCAAGCGCCGGCAGCCATTTGTCCCTTTTGCTCTGAGGAACCACACGGGGTGCACTTTGTGGTTTGCCACCCTGACCACCACGCCCACTAGGTAAGAGCCTTCGGAGCTGTCCCCGGAGTCATCTCTGCCCCTAAAGTGTTGCAGCCAAGTATACTGGGGCCCTTCTGAGGCCTCTGGGATTATATTGGAGTCAGTAACATGGTGCCGTCCTGACATCAATGGTGGAGGCTCTCGTTCTGTGTGGGATCTGCGTCTCAAACTGTCACACTTTGATGTTGGCCTGGTATGCACCATGTTTGAACTATAAGTCAAACCATGGACACGTGTGGGAAGTGGTTCTCCTCGGTCTCTGCCCGCCCAATACTCTTTTTGAAGACGCTAGATGTGGCCACTAAGCTAATCATTTTGTAGTTTTTTCCATGACTTATTTGAGAGTGTTCTCCATCCTCTTCCGCCCCTAAAGAATTATTTTTCTTACCTAAAACATACTTCAACCCAGGTGGAATTAGGCAGTTTGAGAACAAATGAGAGTTTACCAAAACTAAACGACAACTTTTTCTGGCACCTCTCTGCCTGCGTGGATCTTGGCTCAGTGCTCCAAATACACGGTAATCTTAGGGTCTGAAGTTCATAAAATGAGAATCAGCAGCATAAAAATGGGATTACCTCCACCTTCTAATAAGCATGGGAATGTCCTGTTGGCGAAGGTAAACTTGTTACTTAAATTCTGCTTCAGAAAGTCATGTTAACTTAGCAGGGCGTGGTGCGAACCTGTGATCCCAGCACTCTGATAGGCTGAGTTAAAAGTATTGCAAGTTCGAGGCCAGCCTGGTCAGCTAAGTGACTAAAGTGTCTCAAAAGAAAAAATTTAAAGGAGGCTGGGGAGGTAGCTCAGTGTGAGGCCTAGCTTCAACCACTAATACTGAAAAAAATGATGGACACATCCCGGATGCTCTGCTAGAGTAGTGAGTGGGTTGTGACAATTTCCAGCTCTTTGTAATAATTCAGCTAAGTTGTGATTGAGCGTGAAGATATCCGTGGTGACCGCCTTTTATGTCAACTTTCCCAGCAAGGTTGTGCTGCCTGTTTCTGCTCTCAGCCCTGAGATCTCATGAGAGGAGCGAGGAGCAGGGTGGCCAGCAAGGTCCTTCTCTTTCCCCTGTGCTGCAGGGCAGCGCTGTCGCACAGTGGGAGTCCAGGGGTGGTTCCCGAAGGCAACGGGGCTTTTCTGGGGGAAGCGCACAATGTCAGCGAGTGGCGAGAAGTCCTCACCGGGGAAGAGATTCCCTTCGAGTTTGAAGCCAGAGGAAAGTTGAGACACAGGTAAAGTATGATTGTTTATTCTTTTCCTTAAAACTATGAAAGTAAACATAAATGATTATCTCTAGTATTTTGTCTTTTCACTTAATGATTTTAATGTTTTATTTTTAAAACATTTTAAAAATCACTTTCCTTCTAAAAATATAGACTGGCTTGCCATCTTGGAAATACACTTCTTCTTTCCACTGATTATCCATTTACTCACCATGTGAGGAGATAACTTGTGTGTGTCATTTGGTCAAAGCCTGGTTCAGGGAAGTATCCAAGTTCATTGCGTCCTGGCCTGGTTTCCACATCCAGTGGTGATGTGCTGTTCTGAAATATTTTCAAAGCCTGGAGAGTTTAATTTTAATATTGTTAAGTTCCATGCGACACTTCAGCTGATAGTCTCAGGAAGCAGAGGCACTAAGACGGCGGAGAGCAGTTCATCCAGCGGGGACTGCCGGCTGCAGTGCCCCCAAAGTAGCCAGCCAGAGAGCTGGGATAAATATGGGGAAGGTTGTGCCTCTGCTTACTGAGAGCTCATGCATCCAGTAAGATATCCCATCGTTTGCAAACCCTTTTCAAGGGAAGGGCCATGTAGCAGCTATGAATGGGTTGAGTCCGGTGTGCAGAAAGGTGAAGCTCTTAGTGCTTGAGCCTCTGACAGTTGTCAGGCTGAGCTGAAAACCCAAGAGACTGGCCTCAGGCTTCTGTCACCCTGTGCTCCTGCTGGAGCTGATGTCCCCATGCCATGTGCTGCTGCTGCTTGCGTAGCTTCGCCCTTGCTGGCCAGGACCCGGGCTCTCGGAAGCTGCACAGCGGGAGCAGGAGCCCAGTGCTGGGTGTGTGTCCCTGGTCCGCACAGGAGTGTTTCTAGGGCCGAGTGGCGAAAGCCGAGTGTCTTTGCGCCCCATTGTTGCAGGAGCAACAGGCCCGCTGAGGGGATCTCAGAATGAGGGCAGCCTCTCGTCTCAGAGAGGGCTTGGCCTCTTCGTCATTTCTGTTTTCGTTTCCCTGTTTTGTAACCCATTTCAAGTCCCACTATTCTGGCTGAGTTATCAAAATAGATGTCTTTTCTGGCGTTTCTGCTTTTTGGCACCACTGTGCCCCATCCGTGTCTCCCTCCTTTCTTCCCGTTAGCCTCAAATTCAGTTCCCCATTGCAGGCTTCTGGCTTGAATTAGGCAAAACCTAAAATAGAATTAAATGTGCAATTTCCTCTTGCTCCTCCTGTTCTGCCCACTGCCTTCCACTCCAATTTAAGCTGAACACTTGAGCCCCAAGCTCTGAGGGTTCCGCTCTGCATAGCCCACCCCATCTGTGTCCTGCTGGGCCCGAGCCAACTCAGTGTGGTTCTGAGAGAAGCAGGGTATTCAACAAAGGAACCAAGAAGGAGAAAAGTTACGCGTTTTTGAGAGTATGGTTATATGTATGATCTAACTGCTGCATTTTACCACCCCAGTGAAATGATTTGCACTGACATCATTCCTTTATAGAGGTTGGAGTAGGTGCTGGTGGGGGAAGGCCTGGCCAGCGTGCAGGTTTCACGCTGCCTATGAGGGGAGGGTAAATGCTCAAACCTCCAGATCTTGAAATTTGTGCCGTAAGCGTAAGACCCGCTTAAACCAGTCTCTTAATTTCCCAAGAGCTAGTTAATCCCCAGGAGGCTTAGCTGCCGGGTTTTACGTCATCACACAGTAACCAGGTGGGGTCTCGGCTTCTGCTGTCCCTCGCCTGTGACTGCACTGTATACCCTTGTCTGTGTTCTGCCTGACAGACACACCCACGACCTGCGCATCCACCAGCTGCAAGTGAGAGTGAACGGCTGGGAGCAAGTGAGCCCGGTGTCGGTGGACAAAGTCGGGACCTTCTTCCGATACGCAGCACCAGATAAAAATTCATCTTCCTCTACGGTGAGTGGCTGTGGAGTGAGTGTGGAGCGGCACAGCTGTGTGGCGTTGCAGCCACTGCCCCCTGGTGCAGTCTGCAGTGAGAGCCGTGCTCTGTTGACGTTCTCCTCCTCCTCACTTCCCCAGGTCTAGCAAGAAGACTTAGCGATTGTTTTGGCTCAGTCATGGGCCTTAGGCAGCAGTATATGGACAAGCCAAGCAGTAGTTAAGTGTGGTAGAAAATAGAATTAAAACTGGCAGCAACCCTTTATCTCACCTAGGAGATCTCTCATACTCAGCTGGCCTGATTGGCCACCCCTTAGGGCCCACTGGGGCCGGCCCAGGACCCCAGTCCGCCTTCTGATCCCAGAATCTCCAGTGTCCACCCTAAAGTGGTGCGGCGATTGCACACGGCCTGCACGCATCCTCCCGTGTAAATTTCCTCTGGGTTTTTCCTCATACAATGTGAATGCTGAATGAATTGTCACTGTGTGGTGTTGTTCAGAGAATAAGGAAAGGAGAAGGGAGCCTGTACACGTTCAGTGCAGGTTGGCATCATCGGCCTGATCACACAGTGGGTGATCCACATGGGTGAATCTGTGACCCCAGAGCTGTCTGTGAAGGGCAGGCCCTGCTGAGCATGTTTGATACTGTGTTATGGCTCCTAATTTGGGAGAGAGGTCCTTATGCTTTTTTTTAAAGTGTAATTTTGGTAGTACCTGTTAATGTTATAAAATCCTGGTTTCAATGCCTGTATTTTGATAGTATCCATCCCTTTATTCCCTCCCTGAGGCCTTGGCCTCTCTCCTCCTTGCTTACTCACTCTCTCTCATCTACAGTCTCCCTTCTGTTTTTATGTCCTTTGTTTTTAGGTTCCACATATTAGAAAAATCATGTGATGCTTTTTTTTCTGAGTCTGTTTTCTGTCAATTCACATGGTGATCTCTAATTCCGTGGATTCTTCTTCATGGCTGAGTAATATTCCCTGGTGTGTTTACACCACATTTTTTTTTTATCCATTCATCCCTTGATGAGCACCTAAGCTGGTTCCATACCTTGGCTGTTGTGAATTGTACTGCAGTATCTCTATAGTATGCTGACTTTAATTCTTCTGACATAGACCAATAAGTGGTATAGTTAGGACTTCCGGGAGAACATGGCGGACAGATAACAGCAACTACTGAAGGCTCTCTGAAAGACTCGGCTCAGAAGCCAGGAATGGTGCAGACTAAGGAGACATAAGTCGGTGGAGATATGCTCTGCTGACTCAGGAACGAACTGGGCTGAGAGAAGCCAACTTGGAATGCAGTCCTGCTGCTAAAACAGGAACAGAAAAGACTCGGTGTGGAGGCTGGAACCGCGCCATTGTAAGCCGCGATTTGGGTTTCCCGCCGCGCGGCGGCTGGCTGCCTCTACAGCGGCGCGGCAAGGAGAGAGACGCGCGGAAGCTCTGAGAACGGCAATCTGCGAACGGCAGGGAGGCGTGCACTGACTTGTGGTGAGGTGAGTGAGAGAAACTGACACACTACCACAGTTTGACTCCAGCGGAGGACTTTCTGGGCCCGAGCAGTCCAGCGGGAGCAGGGTGCGGTGGCGACTCCAGTCACACATCCCCCTCTCGGGCAGGATTGGTGAAAAGTGCCTGGCCTGCGTGACGCTGCCGGCGGACCTGGTAGGCTGTCCCAACCCAGATCCCAGAGCCTGACGGTGGCCGGGAGGGGAGACGCGTAGGCTGCCTGGTCCGTAACTCCCTGGTGCGCAGCGGTGAGCGGGAACACCTAACTGGCGCAATTCAATCAGGCTGTGGCTGACTGGGAGAGAAGCTGGGCCTCTTATATAAGCTTGCATATATAAGGAACAGAGAAGAAGAGGCAGCATGGGAAGAGGCAGCAACAAGAAAGGCTCCTCGGCCCCCAATTCTGAGAAACAGGCAATATCAGACACCGCACCAATACACATAAGGCACCATATAGAGAGCCTCATAGACCAATTCAGGAATGAAGTTATCAATGACCTGAAGCTAGAAGTATGCAGAATAGTTAGAGAAATGCTAAGTACCACCCAAGAAAAAACAGGTGGTGGAATGGAAGAACAGAAAAAAAGGGGAGAATTGTTTGATGGAGAAAACAGAGAAAGCATAGAATACGTGAAGCAGGTTCAAAGGGACTACCAAGATACTAAGAAGTCTATAGAAGACTGGCATAACAGCTTGAAAGAAACTAAGGACAGACTATCTGAACTGGAGGGCAGACTTGTAATATGGGAGAATGAAATGAAAAACTTCTTAAAAATAACAAAGAAACAAACAGCAATAATACAAAGACAAGAAGATGATAAGAGGATCCATAACTTAAGGATTAAGAACATAAAAGAAGAAGTAGGGACACAAACAAGTGAACTACAAAAGCTACTCACAGAAATAATCCAGGAGAATTTTCCTAATTTAGCAAAAGGTAAAGATACTCAGATGTATGAGGCATACAGGACCCCAGCTACCTACAACCCAAACAGAGCAACACCCAGGCATATAATAATAAAAATTCCAGAAATTCAATACAAGAACAGAATATTAAAAGCTGTAAGAGACAAGAAACAGACCACTTACAAGGGAACACCCATCAGAATTACAGCAGATTTCTCTGCACAAACCATCAAATCACGAAGAGCGTGGGGGGAAATAATTCAAGCATTGAAAGATAATAATCTCCAGCCAAGATTGAGATATCCTGCACAACTGTCCCTGGAAATTGATGGAAAAACAAGGTGCTTCCAGGATAAAGAGGAACTGGGGGAATTTGCAACCACCAATTCAACTCTACAGAGAGTATTGCAGGATATTCTAAAAAAAGAAAAATACAAAGAATCCAGAAATAATGGCAGAGAGGCCACAACGAATGGAGCAGAGAACAAAATGAAGAAGACAAACTGACAGCTACGGACAGAAAAAGAGCTTAACAGAAATGAGGCAGAGAAGATTGGATGATAGGAACAGCTATTTTGGAGAAAATGACATCTTAATAGGTAATACAGATTTAGTATCATCTTGTTTTGAAGTCTCATCTAGCTTTTGTCCTTCTGTCTCCAATGGTCTAAATAGGCTGTATCTTATTGGATTTTATTATGTACGATAGTATAAGCAAAAACCTTTTAAAGACAAGGAGATTATACAGAAACCATTGTTCATTTTGTTAGTCGATTCTAAATACTCTGTAATGCTGTCATTCTCTTGAATGGTTTTACATTGCTTTGATATACTTAATGCTACAGTATACGAAGTTGTACTCAAGGATTTCAAAGAAAGAAACAATATGGTAACTACTTTTAGGTTAGGATTATCTGGTGGTGAAACACTATTCTGCTTAAATGGTTATGTTTTGATCTGCGCTGTTTCGTTGTTATGCCCTCTTTTATCTCAATCTCCACTCCATTATTTACTTTTTTATCTTTATCCTTTTAATTAAAGGAAAAAAAATAGCAGGATATATTATAGTAACCCACTTTGACTTTTCATTACCTTGATTTAAAGCCCTGTATTACTCTCACCATCTGGTTTTTAACTGATGTTCCCCTATTCTGTTTTGCTGGATAGTATCAGGTTCGAAAGTTTAGGCATCAGCTGTGAAGATAATGAGATTCATTATGACGCCCATTCTTGTTGACTTTTATCTACTTTTGAAGACCTACAATGTCTCCAATGTTTTGGTTTTGTCGGTTTTATTCTTTACTGTTTTGTTCAATTGTATTATAACTAATGATATAGGCAATTCTATTAGAGATAGCGGGAGGCATTATGGTAACCATTGTTGATCACCTTGTATTATGTTTTTACATTATCTATTATGTCCACCCTTTTGACTTGACTGATTCTGTTCTGTTATGTCACATTTGGTTTTACTCTCTTCCAAAAAAGTAATAAGAACCGCGGGAGCAATGAAACCCAAAATGTGTAATAGTCATGGTACAAAAGAGAGGAAAAGAAAGTGCTCCAAACTATATAACTGCATGTATATTTAAGTGTATAAGATAGAAAATGATATCACAGAGTTTTATTGGATCAATGAACAGAACTGTTTGCAGTATCATTGATGGAATGTCCACTTTACAAGCTTTAATTTTGTGACTTGAACAATTATTTCTAAGATGACAATATGTAATCCATTAACTAGTGATTTCCTACTGTTCATTTTTTTTCTGTAAATCTGTATAACTTGTACCCTTTCCCTGCTTTTTTTTTCTTTTCTCCTTAAATAAAATTAAAAAAAAAATGCTATAACGTACACAGAGAAAAAAAAAAAAAAAGTGGTATAGTTAGGTCGTAAGGTAGCTGTTTAGGACCCTTCCAACTGATTTCCTCAGGGGCTGTGTTAATTTACATCCCCACCAGCAGTGTTCCCTTTTTCCTCCTGCATCCTCACCATCCTGTTGATTATTTATTCTGTGTGTGTGTGTGTGTGTGTGTGTGTCCATTTTGAACTGACTTTGTACAGAGTGACAGGTCGGGCTCTTGGTTTGTCTTCTGGCCAGCCTCCAGTTGTCCCAGCACCGTTTATCAAAGCCGCTCTTTCTCCAAGAAGTGTCTGCTTCTCTGTCAACAGTTGGTGCCTGTAGCTGCGTGATGTCATTTCTGTGTTCTGTCATCTGTCACATTGTTTTTTTGTACTTATTTTTATGCTTTTTTCGTTACTATAACTTTGTAGTATTATTTGAAGCTGGATGTTGTGATTCCTCTATCTTTGTTCTTTTTGCTAAGCATTGTTTGGGGCATGCTGTTTCGTGTTTCCATGTAAATTAAAGAATTTTTTTCTAATTCTGTGAGAAATGTTCTTGGAATTTTTTTGGAGATTACGTTGAATCTGTAGATTACTTTTGGTATTTTGTATGCAGCCATTTTAATATTAATTCTGCCTAAGAATGTAGAGAATCTTTTTATCTCCTATCTCATCTTCAGTTTCTTCCTTTAGTGTTCTGTAATTTTCATTGTAGAGGTCTTTCACCTGTTCAGTTAGGTTTACCTGTAAATTTTTTTTTTTTTTTTTGGGTAGGGGGAAGCTATTGTGAATGGAATTATTTTCCTGATTTTACAGTTCATTATTGGTACATAGAAAAGTTGATTTTTAAAAAAATGCTGATTTTGCATTCTGCACTTCCTAATTTTTATGCTGCTTCTTGATCTTTCTATCTCTCTGTTCCCAAGTCCTTTTCTGTTGCAGAAAGAAAGATGCCTTTCATCAGCTATTTCCTGATCACACATACACTTGCAGAAGCCTGCCTTAATTTTACCCAGCCTGTAGTCCGGGGGCTGCAGGACCGGCCGGGCAGTGTGTGGGCAGCGTCCCTGGCCCTTGTGTGCAGGTGGAGGTGGGCATCATGGCTGATGCAGCAGCCGTGACTGTGTTGGGCAGGTGCTTGTCTGTGGATAACTGCACTCATGTGTGGACAGCAGTGACAGGGCAGAAGCCGTGAGTTTGCAGAGCTGTGACGACTCTCCTCAGGTCTCGTCCTCCTTCCGGAGTGCACCTTTGGAGGACACTGCTCTACAGTGATCTACAGATGTTCACTTTTGGGGCAATGCTCTGATGCCCTGCTCTCCTCGCCAAGGAGAAAATTGTTTTCCCCCAGGTTACTTTTCTCCCTGAATTCATGTCTGGATTGACTGCTCAGCACTTTCTTACTGATGTGTCCTGGAGAGATTTTGTATACATCAGATGGCTGTAGAGTTAGGATGGTTTTACCCCTGTCTTTCAAAAGATGTTTTAACTTGATAGTGGCGTGCTTTACCTGGAAGTATTTTCAAACGTGGTCCTTTCAAACAAGTTACATTGTCACTGATTTTAATGTTACCTGTTGTCTTACGTCTATATGACTCTGACTTTCCCTCTTTCTTCTTAGATTGGCAGCCCAGGCAGCAGAACCAATATCATACATCCTCAGGTTTATGTGAGTATGATTTCCCTCTGGTTGTGTTGCGTATGTTCAGTGTAGCCGTTCCGTGTACCTGTGTGTGTCCTGGTGATAGAGGGCTCTTCAGATGTGTGATTGGGACTTCTCTCTGCCCTTTGTGACTGATGACTGCCTGCCTTTTCCAAGAATGTACCAGAAAGTATCTTCTCCCAACTCAGTGCATGTGACTAAGTACCGATATTACAGTAGAATAAGCAGATGTTTTAGTCCAAGGGCTCCTTTTCTTCCTAAGTTACAATAGAAACGTGACCCTGCATGGCTATGAATTGCGTATGTTTGGGTAACGCAAGTAAATAAGAAGGACAAGTAGCAAGCCTTCTTTTCCCCCATTGGCTTTGAAACATAAAGTGATATTAAAAAAACTTTTTCAGGTTTTTGCTTATTATTTCTTCTCCTTGAGGACCCAAGTTTTGTCTGTGTGTGTTTTTTTCTTTTTTTTGGAGACAGGGTCTCGCCATATAGTTCAGGCTGCCCCTGAGCTCACTTTGTAGCCCAGGCTGGTCTTGAACTTGCAACGATCTTCTTGCCTCAGCCTCCCAAATGCTGAGATTACAGACCTGTGCCAGAGGACACAAGTTTTGAAATGTGAATCAATCTTTCTTCTTCTTCTTTTTTTAAAGTCATGGTGTGGCCATGTAGTTCAGGATAGCCTTGAACTTACAGCGATCCTCCTGTCTGGGCTTCCGGGGTGCTGAGATGACAGCTGTGTGCTACTGTGCTTGGCAGAAATAGGAAGTTTAAGATAAGCTCGAAAGCAGCAGTGTGGCAGTTTTAAACAGTCCCTGGTGGCTTTGACTTTTATTCGGACCTGTGTTTGAGCTTTGTGGCTGACATGTACCTATGTTTATGTCAGTCCAAAAACACTTCAGAAAATTACCTGGTGCTGTTTCATTTGGACTTGCTGGAAGCGTTCGTTTTCTTGTTCATTTAGGTTGATTTTCATACGGTTTGCTTTAATAGAAAAATTGGGAGGATGAAACACGTTACTGTGATGTTGCTCACTTCTGCAGTGAGAAGCGCTGTTGCTGCGTCCTGGCCCTGGAGAGCAGCGCTTTCAGAGGCCTGCTCTTCGGTGTGCTTCGTGTGGGATCTTGGGTCAAAAGGTGTCCTGTCACATGGTGATGGTCCAAGACGTGTGTGTGTGTGTGTGTGTGTGTCTGTGTGATTAGACATATGTAAGTATATTGTAGTGTTGTTACCTGGGACCAAAAATAAATAATTTTCTTCACTGGGTTGAGCTTTCTGAACCTTGGTATCCTGTTTATAAGAGAATGATTATGGAAACAGAATTTAGTCTGCATTTAAAAGTCTTTGAAAACATGTTAGTTTGTTGTAGGCATGTCAGCACATAGTGTGTGGGGTCCTGAACCATGACCTGAGTGACACTTAGAGAAAAAGAAAGTATTTGTGGCTGGGAATGAAACATCAGTACAGACTACTCTTGCCTTTTCTGGGTTTTTTTTTTTTTTTTTTTTTTTTTTTTTTTTTTTACAAAGACCAGTTTTGATCTCAAAAGACTTCCTTCTGTTTTTCTCTATGCTTTCGGGCAGTACCAAACTCACTGTTAGTATTCTAGGAAAACTTTCTTAACCTGTCATTAATCTGGGAGGAGAATGCCCCAGGTGACGTCATTTCGAGACTGCAGAGTCCCACCTCAGTGTTTGCAGCTGTGCTTGCTTCGGGTGGTCTTTGCTTAACCCCTCCGATAGGGTTGGAGCTAAGTCCTGTCCGAGTTTCTGTGCAAGGGCTGATGTGTGGAAGCCCAGAGGCGTCACGTGTGCTGGTAGCTTGCAGCAGGTGCTGTCTGAGCAAATAGCAGGGAGCCTGGGAACCGGGGAGGCTCGCACTGCAGTCCTAGCTGAAGTTCCCTGCCATGGGTCTGGAGGGCAGGAGTGGTTTTCTTTGCAAACAGTTGCTGTCACATCTGAGTCCGATACCTTTGTGGAAGCCCGTGGAGTTGGTTTTGCGTCCTGTGCTTCTGTAGCTGGTTTACTCCCGAGAGCCGGTGGTGTCAGGGTAGAGTGGTGAGAGCCCTGAAGAGCTGGGGCAGTTGCTGCGCCTTGCTTTAGACGTTCGGTGGTGTTGCTCAGAAGCTCAGCCCCTCTGTTCCCGCTTTCCTTCCCAGTTCTCCTCACTCCCACCTGTGCGGGTGGTCTTCGCGGTGACCATGGAAGGCAGCGCTCGCAAGGTCATCACTGTCCGATCGGCTCTCATGGTGAGGAACAGACTTGAGACACCAATGGAACTGAGACTGGACAGCCCGTCAGCACCAGACAGTACGTTCAGTTTCTAGAATGTAGTAAATGTTCCATAATAATTGTTTTTTTTTGTTTTTGGTTTTGTTTTCTTTGAGATAGGGTCCCAACTATATAGTGCAGACTGGCCCTAAACTTGCTTATGCAACCTAGACTGGTCTCGAACTCACAGGGATCCTCCTGCCTCAGCCTCCTGAGTGCTGGGATTACAGGTGTATGCAGCCCCACCTGGATCATGAACACTTGTTAGCTGCAGTCTGCCTTTGCAGTCTGTCCTGAGCTAGCCTTTGGGGAGGAGGACTGTTGTCTGAAAGTGCTAACCCTTGTTTCTGTGGCAGAGCCAGTGGTGCTTCCCGCTGTCATGCCAGGGGACTCGTTTGCTGTGCCTTTACACCTCACTTCTTGGCGACTGCAGGCCCGGCCCAAAGGATTGGGTGTGTTTTTCTGTAAGGCCCCGATTCACTGGACCAACGTAGTGAAGGCGGCAGAGGTCAGTAGCAGCAAGCGAGAGTGCCACTCCATGGACACGGAGAAGAGCCGCTTCTTCAGGTAGGCGTGGCCGCCGCTAGGTCCTAACGCGAAGTCAGTCCTTAGTGCTTAGGTTCCCGATGAGAGTTCATGAGAACCCGAGGGTAACATCTGTCGGTTACTTACTTCCTATTTAGGGGAGAAGCCGCCGCCCAGCGTGTCCTTCACAGGCGTGTGATCAGCATAAAGGGAGGGCATAATGGGAGGGGAACTCACCAGCCCCTGTGTCTAATGGGGGAACAAAACCCTGGGCCTGCGAGTATTTTGAATGACAGAGTTTAAATACTTTGGATGAAGGTTCACACTGTTATTGTTGACTATCTAGAACACTTAAGAAAATTGCCTGCTGCTTAAGTTAGTGTTTTTCAGTAATAAAGATTGTAAGTAATGTGGTACTAGATTCCATGTTGGAAAAAAATGCTAGATTGTTACCCTTAGACCTTAATAAATTTAGACTTTAAACTTAGAGATTGTTTGCATTAGTTTTCTTTATAATGAAGACAGGCACTCATTTAGTTTAAATTTGAATAAGTATCAGAATAGTGTAAAGAATTCCAGTCGACCCTGTCCCCAGACTTGACAGTTGTTAATACGCTTAAGAGAATAGGTTTGTGCACACCCAGAGTTGGGTATTTAATAGTTTCTTTGAGTAATTTGTAGAACAAATTAAAAAAGACACAAAAGATTTGAACAGTGCTGTTAGCAAGCTGATTCCAGTTGGCACTCAGAGAACATTTTGCCAACAACTCCAGATGGTACCTTCTTTTCAAGAACGTGTATAACATTCATAAAGGGTTATTATCTGCTGGGCCATAAAACAAAGATCAATAAATATTAAAGAACCGAGATACAGAATGTATTTTCTGATCACAGTAGAACTAAACTAGAAATCAACAACAATCAATGCCTAGCAAATTCCCAGTGGGATCAAAGAATCAGTGACAAAAGAAAGCAGGTGTTCAGAATCCAGTAGCAGGCCAAGTCCCCAGAGCAGCAGCAGACGTGTTACCACGTGGGGTGCACCGCAGACGCAGGTCCTGTGGGGAAGGTTAGTTTCACCATCCTCCCAGAAGATAAGAAAGTATGCTCTTTTACGTTAAGAAGCTAGAGAGGAGCGCACATGATGGCACACGCCTGTACTCCCAGAAGATAAGAAAGTATGCTCTTTTACGTTAAGAAGCTAGAGAGGAGCACACATGATGGCACATGCCTGTACTCCCAGCACTCCGGGGCTGACAGAGGAGTATCACTGCAGGTTTGAGGCCCGCCTGAGCTGAAAGCCTGTCTCAAAACACAAAACAAAAAAATAACAAAAATGAAAGTTGAAAAAGCCTGTTACCCCAGTATTCTGGGAGGCTGAGATAGGAGGATTATACACTAAGGTCCAGTCCAGGCAATGTAGCACTTAGTGAAACTGTCTCTAAAAAAGCAGAAAGGCTAAAGGAGAGCAAATTAAAAACCAAGAAATAGAAAAAAAAGAAACAATAGTTCTGGCCATTGCAGTAAAGAATAAATAAATAATAAGGAATTCAAAATACATGAAGATTTGAGAAATGCAATTGTTATCTTCAAATGACACACTTGCATACATGGAATATGGACGAAATGACTAGCTAGCTTTATCAAGGTTTCAGGGTATAAGATCATATAGAAATCAGATGTTGCCAAGTGAGGTGGCCTACACCTGTAATCCCAGCATGTGGGAGGCCGAGATAGGAGGGTTGCCATGATGTCAAGGCCATCCTGAGCTACACAAGTGAGTTCAAGGGCAGCTTGCACTACATACTGTGACCCTGTCAAAAAAAAAAAAAAAAAAAAATTCTGTTGTATTCTAGCTATGAACATGTAGAAAATGTACTTTAGAAAAATACCATGTACTGTTGTATCAGAAAACATTAAATATCCATGACTTAATCTAACAAATGAAGTACAGATGTTCCACCCTAGAAATTACAAAACTTTTCTGAGAGAAAGAAGACCTAATAAGTGGAAAGTCATACCAAATTAATGGAATGAATGACTTGGTATTGCTAGGATTTCCATTCTCAATAATTTGGTCTAAAGACACAATAGTATAATCCTAGTATAAACTGTGATGGCCTGTTTTAAGGAAATTATAAATTTATATGAAAATATAGAACTTTAATGCTATCTTGAAAAAGAACAAAGCTAGAAGATTTACAAAACCTGTTCTCAAGAGTCACGGTCTAGTGTTAGTAGTTATCAAGTGTGTTGTTAGCGTGAAAACAATTAGGGACCAATGGGAGATAAAGGGAATTCAGAAATGGACCCACGTCTAGAAGATGCTAGGTCAATCTGGGGTGAAAGACAAGTCTTCCAGACAGATACTGATGAACAAGTGAATGTCCATATGAAAGCATGAACTCTAACCCCTGTCTTACTTCATTTGGAAAAATTAATCAAATGGATCATAGACCTAAATTCAAAATTCTGAACTATTGTTTCTAGAGACTTTGGGGCAGGTAAAGATTTTCTGTTACACAAAAAACACTACAACAACAAAGAAAAATTTCAGAAATGCAGTAAGAAAAGGAGTAAATGACACAATTGGAAAAATATATGTGTCTGAAAAAGGTTTCGTACATAGAATACCAACAGTAGGAAAGAGAGCCTACTGATTAGAGTAGGCAAAAGGCTGAACTGCTGATTTAGTGAAGAAAATGCGGTAGTCAAAAGAAGCCCGGCATCATTAATCGTTCGGGAAGGTTATCGAGTCCTGCTGTACCCTTACTCCACGGGATGAAGTGAGGAAGGGGGATAGTCCCAGATGGTGGCGACAGACAGCTCCCCTAAGGAGCTGATGAGAATGTAAAAGTGTACAGCCAATTTGAGAAGTGTTTGGAAATTTCATCACAAGACAGAGGACCAGCAAGTCCATTAGTCGGAATTGGCCTAAACTGAAATGAAGATACATGTTCAGGAAAGTATTCTACAAGAAATTTTATGTATCCCTGAACTAGAAGCAGCCCTACTGGATATAACAAGCTAATGAATAAACAATAATTCACCCCACAGCATACTATAGGCAGCAGCACCTCAAGAGAAATAAGGCCTACACACAAGAGTAGTACTCACCGTCAGACCCTTTAGATGCAGTTCAAGGTCAGGTGCAACTAATCTATAATAATTACTAGGGAATGATTACTTGATTGATAGGAAGAGGACATAAAGGGGCTTTCAGGAGAGAAAAATAATTCTGTTTTGAGTGGTGGTTATAGAGGTGTGAGTAGTCCTGTAACTCATCGTCTGAACATTTAAAATCATACAGTTTTATTGCCTGTTACATCTCAATAGACGTATTTGATTAAAACACAAATACCTCCCTGACTTCGGAACCATGTTAACGTTATTCAGCTATGGTAAAAGACTTCAAGTATTTCATTCAGGTTGATAATTTTCATATCATTTTGTCTTTATAGGTTTTGTGTGGCTATAAAGAAAGAGAACTATCCGGATTATATGCCCTCCAGCATATTTTCTGACAGTGCAAAACAGATCTTCAGACAGCCCGGGCACACCATATATCTCCTGCCCACGGCGGTGGTCTGCAACCTGCTGCCTTGCGAGCTTGATTTTTATGTGAAAGGGATGCCGATCAACGGGACCCTGAAGCCTGGCAAAGAGGTGGCGCTCCACACGGCCGACACATCCCAGAACATCGAGCTAGGTAAGCTGTGCATGGGCTCATTTGTGTGACCCTGTGAGAAAAATTTTACCAGTGTCTAGCTTGTGATGGTAAACATCTAGGAGAAACTGAGGCACCTGTGGTAGCTCAGAAGCCCCTCAATACAGTTACGAGTTGGAAAGAAAAACACCTGGATAAGCCAGAAGGGTTACAGAGGAAGAACTCCAGAGAGCCCGTTCTGTTCTCTCATCACTCACACTCGTAGCACATACTGGCCTGATGCATGTTCGGGGGTTCGTTCCACCCCCTCCAGCAGTGCCTTCCCTGGCGGTAAGGTGAGCAGAGCTGTGTGTCCCTCGTTTCCGAGAGGGATCACACACTCGCTAAGTGGCCCTGTTTCCAGACATGAGCCGGCTGCTTCACACGTGTGACCCCTTGAGGACTAGTTCATCCGTCGTCCCATTTTGCTGAGGGTCTGGAGGTTAGGCTGCTTAAGCACCGAGTGATTCTCAGTTCTGAGGTGAAGGAAGGAGTTCCAGAAACGTCCCGTTTGCAGCCCTCAAAGGGCTGCTTCTGCAGCTGCAGCGGGAAGAGTTTCCTTGCGACTGCCACGGACGCGCTGCAGTAGTACCGTCTCGGGTACTGATCTCTGTCCAGTGTTGCGGCTGCCTTCACCGCGTTACCTCTTTACCTTACAGATGTGTTTCAGGCTCAGACAGGTGGCGTCCGTGTTTTGTGGTGGAGGAAACGGGACTCATTGAACTTGAGCGCTGTGTCCCACGGTGGCAGGATTGTACCTCAGTGACCGTTTTAACCCCCCAAGCTTAATTTAGAAATGAGAAATGGTGCATGATACTCAGTGCTAAAGAAAATAGGTCTTCAATGCTTATATTTCTTCAAATGCTTCCTAAGCCCCTCTCCCCTGGCTCAGTGCTGCTGGTCTTCAGTGCTGTGCTCTACCCGAGTCTCCATTGTTCGTTATGGTCCTGCTGCGCATTTGCTGTTTTCTGTTTGTTTGTTTTTGTGGCTTTTTGAGACCAGGGTCTCACTATGCAGTTTGCGCAGGTTTTGAACTTGCAACAGTCCTCCTGCCTCAGTGTCCCTAGTGCTGAGATTATAGGTGTGCACTACCAGGTCCGGCTCAAATGCAATGATTCTTTTTTTTTTTTTTTTTTTTTTTTTTTGTACCAGAGCTTGCCAGGCAGGTGCTTGTGCTGCCAAGCTAAACCCCAGCCTGCATTTGCTGCTGTCTCTGCAGCTTGCAGATGAGACCTAGAGAGCTTAGAGAGCTTAGAGAGATCGTTCCACATCACACAGGTGATACGGCCAGACTGGGGTGTGAAGCCAGGCACTTTGGCGGAGAACCCTGTGCTGCTTTTCCTGTATTTCAAGCTTCAGACACAGGGCCCAGCACATAGCAAGCCCCTGATGAGCGTCACCAACACTGGTGGCTTCTCGGACTTGATCCTCGTGATGTGCTATCCTTCACTTCAGGCCTTCTCATTTGCTTCATGGTTTCCATCATCCCAGCTAGAGAAAAAAGATGGCCTTTGAGATTTTTTTACCAGATAGATTCTTAATGATTTTTCCAAAATAAATCCAATATAGTTTCGATTTTAGTTTATTTTGGCAAGTTCAAGTGAGGCTCCAGAAAGACAGTGGCTTGTACCTTCCCTAGGTGTGTCACTGGAGAACTTTCCTCTCTGCAAAGAGTTGTTGATTCCACCTGGGACTCAGAACTACATGGTGAGGATGCGACTCTACGACGTCAACCGGCGGCAGCTAAACCTCACCATCCGGATTGTGTGCCGAGCAGAAGGGTCCTTAAAGATCTTCATTTCCGCCCCCTATTGGCTCATTAACAAAACAGGTATGCCGAGAGGCTGTTCAGGACCTCTGGCACTGGTCATGGGAATTTGGATATATTTGTTCAGCTAAGTGAAGCCAATGCAAATAGATGACTTCAGCAGTCCAAACTGCTAAACTCTCCTGCCGCCATAATCCATGCTTCATCATGGTTAGAACTGTCCTGGCAGATAATGGACTGAGCCCACTAAATAAACTCAGTTTACACTATTTTTCCCCTGGGTGGTTTTTTTCATTTATCATTTATGTCTTTCACGGGTAGACTGGGTGGGATCGATATAAACTTTTCCCCTCCTTCCTAAAGGGTTACCACTGATCTTCAGACAGGACAATGCAAAGACAGATACTGCCGGCCAGTTTGAGGAGCATGAGTTGGCCCGAAGCCTGAGCCCTCTCTTATTCTGCTATGCTGACAAAGAGCAGCCAAACCTGTGAGTACGGTTATTTATGGGAAGGGGAAATAAGCTTCTAGGCAAGGGGAGAAATTAGCGAAGGCTATAATATATCTGTGTAAGTAGAAATATACTGTAGATAACAATCCTGACTTGGCAGAGAAGTAGAACCATGACCTAATGGGATTTGGGGGATCTAATTTCTGTGTTATTTGATACTAAAAATAAACCATTTGTTGGTTTATAATGAGAACTAGTTTTATTTTACAAGTATTGAAGCAGTTCTCCTACTCAGAACTGCCAATGGAGAGAAGCCTACACATTCCCCATCTCTGCCTGCAGTTTCCCTTCCCCTGGGAACGTTTAGCACAGCAGAGGGACTGGCACGAAAGAGGAGCCAGCCTGGCCCTGGGGAAAGCCTTCAGCCTGTTAATCCAGCTGGGGCTGTTTGTAAAAGGTTTTGAACTCCATAGGGTACCCTTGGGTGTTTCGTGGCAGGGAAAAAGAACAATTGTGAGGATTAGGTGACATGTCTTTTTAATGTGTACAGGCACATTACTTTTGTTTTGGTTTTGACATTCTGTTTTTTGTAGGAGTCTTCTAACTTATATCCGTAATGCAAAGATAAATGGGCGTGTTTCATACACTGTTATCTGTAGAGTTCTGCTGAGAGCGCAGAGGCTGCCTGTCAGCAGTGTGTTTACCGAGGAGGGCGGCTGCGGGGCAGTGCTGGAGTCAGTCAGGGTTCTGGCTAGTGTAGGAGGCACAGCCAGCAGCCTGACACGGTCAGCAAGCTCAGTCCCATTTTGTTTCTGAAAGGATTTTGACAGTCTGAGGTCTAAGACTTGGCATTTGTCACAGACTTTATCTTATCCGTGGAATTCACAGTTCCCAAAGTGTTTCTGTGTTGACCGTCTCATTGGATGCTCCCTGCCCCACCCAGTGTTTCGAGGAGAACAGGAATTACCACTATATTTTAGGATGAGGAAACTGAGGCTCAGGGCGAGAATCACCTGCCCAAGGGCACACTGCTCGCTAGTGGCAGAGCCGGAGCGAGCACACATTCAGGAGCTGGTGCTGGAGTCTGCCAGCTGCACAGGGCTTTGCCAGTGTGATGTGTTAGTCCTTAGAAACAACGCACTGTAGCTCTGTATCTTTACCCACTTTGATCAGGCTCATTTTTTCTTGAGTCTTTGATTTTTAGAGGAAAAGCAGAAATTGTGGCATTTCCTCAGTGTCACTCTCATAGAATCCCGATGCTCTACAGTGTGTAGAGGGAGATGTCAGTGCCTTTCATGCACCATTCTGTTTTGACCCCCAATTAATCTTTTCGCTGTGCTTGGTAATTACGTGAGAGTGAGGGTGAGTGTCGGTGATGGAGCACTTCCTGATCAGAACAGGTAGATAAGACTTCTTGTGGGTGAATGTATCGTCTCTGCTTTTCTGCCCCACAGCTGTACGATGAGAGTTGGAAGAGGGATTCATCCGGAAGGCATGCCGGGCTGGTGTCAGGGCTTCTCCCTGGATGGTGGTAGTGGTGTCCGAGCCTTAAAGGTCATCCAGCAAGGAAACCGCCCGGGGCTGATCTATAACATCGGTGAGTTACATGTGGGGCAAGGGGAGGAGCCGAACCACTGGCCAATGGCCTCAGCCTTGCAGGACACTGGCCCAGTATTTTGGCCTGGTTGCCAGCACTGACTTTCTCATTTAACAGTGGGTCAGATATCTGTTCTCTGAATGCTTGGTTGGTGTCAGCACAGCTCGATTCTCCCAGGGATCTGAGGAGCCACCTAAGCACTGCCATTTTGAGCTCTGTTTCACTGTTTAATTTCAGGCTCACCTGTGTCAGGAAAGTATCAGTTTGGCTTGACTCCTTGTTTTTCAAGGGAATAATGGGAACACTTAGAATGGTTTTCAGTCTCCAAGTATTCCCACGCATTCATTAAAATCCGCAGGCTCTAAAAGGGGCAGAGCATTGTTCTCTCTGAAACTAAAGCAGAGAGGTTAAGTGATTTGGCCAGATGTAAAGGGGATGTCTGGGTTAGAAGTAGGTTTAAGATAGGGGGGCTGCACATTTGAAGCAGAAAATAGTAAAACGCGCTTGATGGTTGTCATTAGAAGCTTCCAGCTCATTGGCTTCTGGAGGTAGAAAGGGCACGGGAGGCACCGTATCCCTGTGCTTCCAAGGCCACTTGAGAACCTGAAAGGGTTTCGAAGGGTTAGCGCAGTTTGATTTAAATAGGCCTCAGGGTTAAAGTGTTAGCAGTGCCTCCTCCTTGAAAGGTGTAGTTTCCAGGGGCCTCAGAGTCGTGGCGAGACTGGAGTGCTGGAATGGCTGTCACACAGCTGCTGTGGTGACCGAAATGCTGTGTTAGCACTGCCCGAGACAAGAGTCACTAACCACACGTGGCTGCTGAGCAGCTGAGGGCACTTTCCTGAGAAGCACAGCAAGCAAAGCTGAGGACGTGGAATCTTTCAGTTTAATTTAAATTTAAATAGCCACATTTGGCTCAGAGATGCTATATTGCACAGTACAAATATAGACAGCCACGCTATAGGAAGAAGAGCCGAGAGGAGAGCATTGATGTTCTCACCCAGAATCCTGCGCACAGCTGGGGGCGTGTAGAAGGGTTCTAAGATTTCTTATTCAAAGAATCTTTCGAGTGTAGTTTCCTTTTCAGATTGTTTAAGACATGGATTCATATTGATGTTCTTGTGATATGTAAGCTGCCTCCTTACAGCTAGTGTTAAGATTTTCTGAAGAAACAAACTTTATGTGATCCTCTAACTAAAGATACTTTTCCCTCACATTTGTTTGCTCCACCCTTTGAATAGGAAAGTACCACTTCATGCTGGGTTTGGCCTTCTGCGGGGGTTTCTTGCCTCTGATACATTCTCCAAGACACGCTGTATAGATCAGCTGGAGATGTTAGCAGGCACAGCTTTTGGGAACAGGGAGGAGAATGGAACTTGTTCCGTTAGAGCAGTTGCTACAAGAACCCTTACGGAGAAGCAAAGGGAGCAGACCAGTTCAAAGCGTGCAATAGTTTCATGTACGAATTTCTGTGCTAAGCACATTGATTAAAACTCACAGTGTATGTTTTTAGGACAATACTGCAGTTTGGATTTTGTCCTATTACCCAGGGGAAGGAATGAAAGAGTGGGCTAGGTAGGTCGTTGTAATGCTTGAGTTTTATGAGATTTGGAAAAATACCAGGGCAATTTGGGGAATCTCTTATTTGGACATTTTGAAGAATTAGGTAGCCACGTAGCCATCTATCAGGAACTTTTTTTTTTTTTTGGTACTGGGAATCGAACTCACAATCTTATGCTTACCAGGTAGGTGTGGTGCTGCTGAGTTGTATCACCGGCCCAGTGTCAGGATCTTTTAAAGCATGACTATAAACTGAAAAGCCAAGGGCGTCTGGCCATGTATCCTCACATGCACCACCAAAGGAAGTGGTTTTTTCACTTTGATCTTTGCAGTTCTTGACTTACTGTGGACTGCCAGGGCAATCTAAGATGAGACAGAAGACAAAACACCCCCCCCCTTTCCTAAAATTGAGTCTGTACCACTGAAAGGTATGCTGGACTCTTTGTATGCCTTTTGTAGGGAGACTTTGTGTTAGTTGAAGTTTCATGACTCTTTCAGAAAACTTTCTCTGTATACCACAGAAGGAAACATGAAAGGTGCCTTCCTTACCCCAGTGCTATGTGTTGTTTCTTACTCGTTGTTCTTATGGTCTGTTCAGTCTTTAAGTATTTTTGAGGCCTATATTAAAGGAACACCAGCAATTTCAAGCCAGCACAGGCATATTGTTAACAACCAAATTCATTGTGATACTTATAATTGGTATTGTGTTGGAAAACCTAGGGTACCTGACTGTCATTTTAAAAGGCAGAGTCTTCTGTGTTTATGGCTGTCTCCATGCTTGCTGACTGCTGAGTTAGATCCTTAAATGAGTCCCATCACAGGCCAGGAGATGTGCGGCTGGAGGCGCTGCCTGGCTCTGAGTCCCAGCCAGGCTGTCTGCTAGCCGCACGATGGAGGGCAAGTCACCTAGCTTTGTGCACCTTGGTCTCCTCGTCTATGAAGTGTAGGCAATTACAATGCCCATCACAGATACTACATTTATAGCCTTTGGCAGAGGATCTAGCATATATGAAAAATTTGGTAAATGTTACTATTATTGTTTTTTACTATTTTTACCGTAAGTATTTTTCTTGTGTAGCTAGACCTCCGCTTTGAATGTAGTTGATATATATATATATATATATATATAGTCTGATTGTCTCCTTGAGTTTTGTAGTTTTAGAAATAATTATTAGATTTTTAAAGACAATTCAGTTTCATTTTTCTTAATTTGAACTTGTTGGTTTGAAATTTTCTTATTTTGCTGTTTTTTTGTAGTACATAGTAGAAACTGAAAACCTATTTTATGAATTAAAATTCTATACTATTTAGCATTTCAACTGGATTGTTATACTCAAGAAGGATTGACTGATTCAGGCAGTTCAAAATCCATCCACATACCCTAAAATTTCCACTGTATCCTGTAAAGGAGGCAAATTCTCTAGGGTGAAGTTTTATTTCCCAGGTGCAAACAAAAAAGGTGTCACACGAAGCTTTTGTAGTAATTAGTGTCATAAGCGGAAATGTGAGGTGGCCAAACCTGTATGAAGTTGCTGCTACACTGGTAAGCCCTTTGTGAAGGAACCAGAATTGTGGGGCTCTTGATATTGTCCCTGAGAGTTTTGAGGCTTCAGTGGGAATTAGGGATAATAATGTGTATGCAGTTGTTATTCTTGAAAGGCCTGCTGTCCTCTCTGGTGATATAATTGTTTTCTCAGAGAAACTAAGTGGTTGTGAAGTCTTTTTATTTTCGTCAGAATTTTCTCTCTTCTGGGTAATCCGGGGAAATAAATGGTTCTTGTTAATTGTAGGTATTGATGTCAAGAAAGGCAGAGGTCGCTATATTGATACCTGCATGGTCGTCTTTGCCCCCCGCTACCTGTTAGACAATAAATCATCTCACAAGCTCGCATTTGCACAAAGGGAATTTGCCCGGGGACAGGTAAGGAGTTTTGCTTTTGGAGAATAACTTATTTAAGAGCACGGTGAAGTGTAAGGCCCTGGCTTCTCTCCCATGCAGACTGCTCAGTGAGTGAGTAAGGCTCAGTAAACCTTGGCATCTTCCTGAAGAGCTGAACTGACTTGTTGACCAAAGCCAGTGGTCCTGTGTTGCAGGGAACAGCCAATCCTGAAGGCTACATTTCCACCCTGCCTGGCTCCAGCGTGGTGTTCCACTGGCCTCGCAATGACTACGATCAGCTGTTATGTGTCAGATTGATGGATGTTCCCAATTGTATTTGGTCTGGAGGCTTTGAAGTCAACAAAAATAATTCTTTCCATATCAATATGAGGTAAGCTTGAGGCTCTAAATACAGACAGAAAGGAGCCTTGTTGGAGGTGCAGTAATATAAACAGCAAACCCTCACTGCTCTTGCAGAGATATTTCTGGCCCAGACAAAGTTCTGAGTGAGTGTTTTGATGGAAAAAGTGAAAAAGGCTCTTGGCAGTTTTAGCACAGTTAGCCGCTGTGCAGAGGACTGTGGTCGGAGTGGCTGAGTCCAGCGGTAACGCTGCACTTACGTAACAGCTGGCTGCGGTTCTGAGAAGCCTGTCTGCATTCAGACGGTGACACTGATTACAGAGGTGTTTGTGTAGTCTCACACATTTACATACTCTTCTCTCATTTGGGGCTTGTCCAGTAAATCCTCTGGCTTCCTAAGACCAGCCCAGGGACCCTCAGTTTCTCGTTAAGAGAAAGCAACCAAAATGTAGCCTCAACTAGTCCAGGAAGACTTAACCTTTTTGCCTGCTTTTATCAAGTGCATTTTATTAAATTTTATTTTATTTTACTTTATTTTATTTTTGGTACTGCTGGAATTGAACTCAGAGCCTTCGAACAGAGCTAATCTCTAGTCATTTTTTAAAGTTTTAAAATTTGAAACAGGGTCTTTTTAAGTTGCCCTTAGACATTTATTTTTGTTTTTGTTTTGAGAGAGAAGAATCCTGCTGTGTTTCCCAGTTTGGCTTCAAATTCCTGGGCTCAAGTGGTTTTCCTTTCTGCCCCAGTCTCTCATGTACCTGGGTCTCGTGTGCCTGGCTTTAAAAAACCAAAACCAAAACAAAATATATATTATATATACACACTTATATATGTTACAGATTTATAATACATATAATTGTGTTAAACACACACACAAGATAAAACTTACCAGCTTAGTCATTTTTAAGCACATGGTTCTCTTTTCAGTGTACTCACATTTGTTGTACAATCTCAGTCTCTTTTTCTTTTGCAAAACTGACACTGTGATCCATTAACAGCAAATCCCCCTTCTCCTTGTCCCTGGCACCTGGCGGCCACCACCGTGCTCTGTGTCTCGCCTGCTGCTTTGTTTACCTGATGGCAGGAGAATCACGCAGCAGTTGTCCTTCCTGCATGGCTTGTTTCACTTAGCTAACTCCATTTAGTAGCGTGTGTCAGGGTTTCCTTCTTTTTAAGGCTGAATAATACTCCACTGTCTGTGTGTTTGTACACTTTGAGCATCTGTTCACCTGCTGATGGGCTTTGCATTGCTTTTTCCTTAGGTTATTGTGACTGATGCAGTGATGAACCTGGGTATTTAAATACCTGTTCAAAACTGCTTTCAGTTCTTTTGGATGTAGACCCTGAAATGGAATTGTTGGATTGTATGGTCATTCTGATTTTGATATTTTGAGAAATTACCATGCTGATTTGTTTTTTCTTGTCTTTTTGAGACAGAGTCTCACTATGCAGTCTAGGCTGGCCTTGAGCTCACTTTGTAGCCCAGGCTGATCTTGAACTCACCACGATCCTCCTGCCTCAGCCTCCCGAGTGCTGGGGTGACAGGCGTGCACCACCACGTCTGGCAACCATGCTGACTTTCATGGCAATTGTAGCGGACCAGGGTTTACGTTTCTCCATAACAGCACCAACATTTGTTGTTTTTCATTGCCTATGCTTTTGAAAATAACCACCTAAGAACAGGGGCACTTTCTCGAATAAATACTATTATTCCCTACTGAAGAAATTTAAGATGGATACAGTGTTTTCTAATGAACTGTCATCATAGATAGAATGCATATTGAAAGAACCTCCACATCCATACCTGTCCCCAGTGTGGGGTCTGGACTGGGACCTTGTGTCTTATCCTGGGATGTGCACTCTGGCTGTTCTTTCTTAATCTAGAGTGATCCTGTTTTCCCCTTTCTGTCATTATTGACATTGACATTTTTGGAGATTCCAGTGGCTTCTGTAGAACGTCCTCTGTCAGGCCTGGGGCCAGCCCTTCCTGTAAGAGCACCGCCCAGCAGGGGCTGTGCGTTTCCTGTTGCATTGCATCTCGAGGCCACCCGAGGGTGGCCCATCACTCAGAGCTCACTCACTCACTGGGTTATGATGGTATCCACCCGGGCTCTTTATTGTAAAGTTGTTTTTCTTTTTTTGTAAAGAGGACTAATCCATGGGGGATCATTTAAGACTAAATATTGTTTCCCAGAAGCCTGTCACTGGAAGTTTGATCTTTTTACGTAAATCATTTATTACACCGGTGGGGGCAAAACGGTGATCTTCTGGTTTTCTTATTTCTTCATTTGTTAGCTAAGACTCTTCTGTAAAGATGGGTTCATTTTCCTTTCACTCGAGGATAGTCTCCATGTACATGTATGTACCAGCACATGCACATGCATATGACACACGTACTTCTCTACAGAATAGTAGCAAATCTTAAGAGATGAAGGAATTAGAAAAATGACCAGTTGGTGGTTGTGCTGTCAACATGGTCACCTCCCCATGGCGGGACTGAGGCTCAGTGGGGTTGGACAAGGTCTGTGCAGTGCCTCCATTACGTGGTGTGTAGGGGGAGAAAACCTGCAGCTCCCCCCCTTTTGATGCAGCCTCTTGTTCCGTGTTGCACAGGGATACCCTGGGGAAGTGCTTCTTCCTGCGAGTGGAAATCACTCTCCGCGGAGCGACCTACAGGATCTCCTTCAGTGACACGGATCAGTTACCCCCTCCTTTCCGCATTGACAACTTTTCTCAGGTACCAGGTGGAGCTGAGAGCCAGTTGGGCTGCTTCACGTGTTGGGGGTGGGGTGTAAGCTGCCTCTAAGATAGAGGAGCGGTACGCTGACAGGAGGGCATGATAGCTCGGCAGCCCGAAATCGTGCTAGAAATCCTCAGCATCTGGAGCTGGTTTCTGCAGCTGTCTTAATAAGCATCACGCATCACATGATGCCCCTGGTTAGTCATTCCACGTGGGTAGAAGAAGGCATCAGAGGATCTGGTGAACGTGCAAATGGGCAATTGTGTTGGGTAGAGACAGTGAGCATTACTATAACTCATGCAGGTAAAGCCGAAATGGAAATCATGCGATTCTCTGAGTGAGAGCGTGGCTTAGAGTGTGTGACTCCCTAAAGCCCGATCCAAACCCTTTCTTCGCTTCTGTGCTCAGAGTGTAAGCACAGGAGCCTGGGCTAGGACAGGTGCACTTGGAGACCTGCTTCCCCGTGATCTTCGGCAAGCCTCCCGCAAGCTGTTTATCTAGAGACTCTCCCTTGTCCTCCAGTCGGTGGGAGCTTTGGAATTTGGGGCGGGTGGGGGAAGATTCGAGGGGGTGAGGCGATGGGCCTCGCCTGCCTGCCGTGTGTAGACTTCACTCGGGGAGGAGCTGGCACTTAAGCCTCCGGAGCCCTGTTCACTTCCTAGTCAGAGAACGTCTTTTTGTTCTCTGCCCTCATCCTGCAGGTCCCCGTGGTCTTCACGCAGCATGGCGTGGCGGAACCCCGGCTCCGAACTGAAGTGAAGCCCATGGTGTCCCTGGACTATGCCTGGGACGAGCCCAGCCTGCCGCCATTCATCACCCTGACGGTGAAGGGGGCGGGCTCCTCCGAGGTCAGCTGCAACATGAACGACTTCCAGGATAACCGACAGCTTTATTATGAAAATTTCATTTACATTGCCGCCACATACACATTCTCCGGGTAATTCTGGATGAGTCACTCTTCTCATGAAGTAGCAGAAGGGCCCCTATTAACTGGCTTGAAATTGGAAGCAGTTTCTGTGAGAATAAGCTGTGGCACATTTCTTCATCCTTTAGCAAACGCTAGGTCAGGAACTTAGAGGTCCGTTAGCCTAAATCCTTGTCTTTTGACTAGTATAAAGTTACCCAAAGAGGCAAGACTCTTCTTTCTAAAGACCTCCCCATTAATAATATTTAGTAATTTCTGCTGTTACATGTTATCTTTATATCTTAAATTTCTCTTGTGTGAAGATAATTTTTTTTTATTTCTTAAACTTTCTTTGTCTTTATTACTCTTTTGGCTGCTTTTCTTTTCTTTTCTTTTCACTCTGCAGTTCAGGCTGGCCTTGAACTCACTCTGTAGCCCAGGCTGGCCTCAAACTTGCAGTGATCCTCCTGCCTCAGCCTCCTGAGTGCAGGCGTTACAGGCCTGTACCACCACGTCCAGCTCATTACTCATTTGAAGCTGGCTAATCTTCATAATTGTTCACCATGATTCTGACTCCCGCCTCCATTGAGAGAACTGATTAATGAGAGGCAGAAGGGTTGATCTTAGGATTTACCTGAAGCCAAGTGTAAGTGACGTAATTCCATTTGCTTTAAGATTGTAATCTTCCAGGCCGCTAGAATAGTTACCTTTGGAAAACTCAGGTGAAGCATATTGAGCCTGTTCTAATTCTGCTGTTCATTTGGCACATGAAGAATTTTTAACCCTAGGCTTTCAAAAAGTGGCCATTCTACCAACTTGTAAATGCAGCTGTTTGAGTGCCAAAGTTACAGGGCCATCTTTATCTGTGAAGAAATGGGAAATAGCTGAATCTTTAACATGGTAAATATCAGTCACTTGATGAACAGCACATTGAAAGTCACGTTCCTTTCAAAACTGTTCTGAATAATTTTGCACCCTGAATGAAGTTCTTATTTGTCCTCTCGGCCCCAGAAGGACCTGTCTTTGTGTTGCCCTTCTTGCTTGCCTAGAGTTTGGATTTCAGGAGCAGTAGGTTGGCGCTGCAGAGGCGGCCCTTCTTCCCCTTGTCTGTTTCCGTTCCCTTTGGTAATGACGTGCTGGGGTGTTGATCTTGTTATAAGCCAGCCAGTAATGTTTGCTGGCTTCTCCTTTGTTTGTTTTTGAAGATTATGTCTCTTAACAGTGTCATGTGCTTAAGGTTGCACCTGCCTGAAAACCCAGCCCTGACCCTGGTTGGTAGCCAGCTTGCTCCTGTTCTGTCAGGGACAGCAGCTACTAAGCTCCTTAACTGAAGGGTCCTAATGGAGGGTTAGGAGCTCGGTGGGTGAAGTGACATGGAGCAGGGGAAAAAAGAAACTCCGGGGATACTGCTGTGCAGAATCTAACGGGAAGTGTGAATACTCCCGATGCCTAAGAGTTGAACAATCTTTTAAAATTTTCTTTAAATCGAGGTGAAATTTATACAACGTAAAGTATTGTAATGTGAACAGTTCAGTGGCATTCAGTATATTTTTGATGTTGTTGACTACCGTCTCTAGTTCCAAAAATCTGTCACTCCCAAAAGAAATCCCAAATTAATCAGTTACCCCATGTTCCCCTTCTCCCAGTCCTTGGGCACCACTAAGCTGACTTCAGTGGTACAGATTTACCTGTTCTGGCTACTTCTACTTCGTGGAGATGAAATCGTGTAAGTGGTCTTCGGGGTCTTTACTTAGCATGGTTTTTGAGGTTTAGCTATGTTGTAGCACGTACTGGTGCTTCCTTCTTATTATAAAAAGTATTTACTAACACGTCGTCTTATCAAGAGAAGGAAAAATATTTAATACTTTTTATGGCCAAGTAATGCTCTGTTGTAGGTATAGTGTTGTCTGTTTGTCCATGCATCTGCTGGTGGATATTGGAGTTGTTTTCACCTTTTGGTAATTGTAAGTAGTACTTTTTGAACATGCCAGTACACATATTTGTTTGAGTACCTCTTTTCAGTTCTCTCATGTTAATACCTAGGACTAGGATTGCTGGATTTTGTGCTAATTCTGTGTTTAAAGTTTTGAGAACCTGGTGACTGTTTTCTGCAGTGGCTGAGCCCAGAGTTCCAATTTCTGCAAATTTGTCCCCAACACCAGTATCTTACTTATTACCTCTCATTTTACCCATTTTACTTGGTGTGAGGTGGTTAGTTCATTTTGACTTTGACTTGCATTGTTTCTTTTTTATTAATGTGTGCTGTTGTACATTTCTTAGTAATGAGTAACGTTGCACATCTATTCCTGGGTGTATTAGCCATTTGTGTATTTTCTTTGGAGAAGTGTCAAGTCATGCCCTTTGCTTATCTTAAAATTACCTTATTTGCCTTTTTATTGCTGAGCTGTGAGAGTTCTTTATGTATTCTGGTACCAATTCCTTATCAGACATTGATTTACAAATAGTCTCCCGGGCCGTGAGCTGCCTGTTTTCTTCCGGCAGCGCCCTCTGCTTGGCTCCTGCTGGATAGTGGAGGCTGCCTTGGACTCACTGTGGGACTCGGCTGATTGCTACAGATTCTCCTTGGAGAAATAAAGTTTTCCAGTCTGATAACATCTGGTTTTTTCTTTTTAATACTTATGTTTTATGTCATGAAGACTAATTCTAAACTCTGGACTTATGAATATCTTTTGAGATAATAATGTAAATAATTCCCCACCAAACACCTTACAGGGTGGTGAGGCTGACAGATTCCCTCAAGCTCAGGATTTTAAAGCCACAGAGAAATGCGATAGATCAGATTGGGGGAAGGTAATTGTTAAGCCTGGATTTCATTGCATCAAGGGATTTGTGATTTCTTGCCATCTTGGGGATGCAGTGATGCCGATCTGCCTGGCAGAGTAGAGCTAATTGTTGATCCCTTAGACTGTCCACCTCGGGTTTTGTTTTTATCCCCTTCATTCCCCTCCCCCATGCCCAGTGAGCCTTTTATGTCTGAATTTTAAGGCCTAAATTATTAAGAGAAGGAAAAATTGGCATGTGTCTTCTTACACTGAGTCTTTGACGCATGCAGGAAAACAATACAATCTTAATCTTTCTACTCAAGTCCGACTTTCTCCTCTGTACCTTAAGAGATGTTCTTCTTGGGTAGAGGCTTCATGCATTTGCTTGTGAATGCTTGCACATGTGTGGTGTGCATGTGTAACATTCACTCATTTGTGTATCCTAGTTTGCATGAGGGAACAGGAAGACCTGTGGCCTCTAACAAGGCTGTTACCTGTGCAGAGCTCGTCTTGGATGTCTCACCAAAGACTCAGCGCGTCATCTTAAAGAAGAAGGTAAGAGCTTAGAAACTGGAATTTAAAATAAAGATTTTGTAGCATGGACAGGTGCTTAGATGTCCCTCTCCCTCCCTCCCTCCCTCCCTCCTTTTCTCCCTCCCTCCCTCCCTCCCTCCCTTTCTCCCTCCCTCCCTCCCTCCCTCCCTCCCTCCTTCCTTCCTTCCCTCTGTCTTTCTTCCGACAGGGCCTCACTGTGTAATTCAGGCTGCTTTGAGCTCCTGGCAAGGCCCTTATTCTTTTGGAGAACCTTTTCCTCGAATTTGTAGTTGGTGTTTTTCACTGCTTTATTTTTCTGTTGTAGTACTTCCCTCATCTTTTCCTTAAATTGATTTTTTTAAAAAAGTCACACTGACTAATATCCCCTTTTGTATTCTTGTTGCTAAACCAGCATAAAAATGGACAGAAATGTCAATTTGACCATCTTTTCAAGTGAGTTTAGGGAAATGTTTCTACCAGTGGACCTAGATTTGGAGAGAAAGGCCAAATTTGGAGAGAAAGACAGTAGAAAGACTGGTGATAAATTGTTGAAATTGACAGGATTTGGGGGACACAGAGCCACAGAAGCTGCTCTCAAGGGAGGGGAACGGCAGCTGTAATCACACATTTTTTCATGTGTGACTACTTGTACATGTACAGTGTGCATGTACTTTGAAATACATTGACCTGAGTAATGTCTTCAAAGAATTGTGTGTAATTTATGTCACATAATTCAAGGTGAGCTCCGACAGAAGATGTCTCTTTAAAGTGGTATCCCATGCAGTGGCTCTGTAGCTTGTTCTTAATTTGTATGGCTTTGGCTTTGAAGATATGAAGCTCTTGACAAGTTTTTGTTTTGTTTTGTTTTTGTCGTTTTGAGACAGAGTCTTACTATGTAGTACAGGCTGGCCCTGAGCTCACTTTGAAGCCCAGGCTTGAACTTGCAATGATCCTCCTGCCTCAGCCTCCTGAGTGCTAGGATTACAGGCGTGTGACACCATGCTTGGATTCTTGTCAAGCTTTTAATTGGCAGGAGCCAGAATAACCCTTTATCCCCCAACTCACACAGCCCCTGTGGACTTGTGCATTCCTTAGTCCCACGTAAAGTTTTGGGAGGAACTGGAAGGAGGATGTGCACCTTGGCCTTTAAATTTTGGTGGTTTCCAGCTTATGAGGGGCTTGTGCACAGGGCAGGTGGTGGAAGAGACTGTAGGAGGATTTGGTCTCACCTGGGCATCTGTGCTTTTGACTGACAGTCTGTCACATCTGCAGGATACTGGAGAGACGGCCTGTGTTGGTTCAGTACTGTTCATGTTGTATTCTCTTACTATGGACAAAGTGGCAGGCACATGGCGATGAGAGAGGGAGAAGCATGGCCCAATTTCTTCTCCCTGTAGACTCAGGAGCCAACAGCACCCATTAGAGAGAGCATCATGCCTTTCTCAGTTCGTGTTCTGGCACAGTGACTTTTGTTCTTGTTGTTTTGGGGAGACAGGTTCTTGTTATATGGTCCAAAATGGCCTTGAACTCACTATGTAGTCCAGGCCAGCTAGGTGTAGTGGCTCATGCCTGTGATTCTAGCTGCACAGAGGCTGAGGCAGGATCACAAGTTCAAGGCCCACCTGTGCCACATGATGAGATCCTACCACAAACTAAAATTACAATGGGTTGGGGCCGTAACTCCCTAGCACACATAAGGGATTCTGTCCTTAGCACACAGGAAGAGGGGTGGCGGTGCTCCGGTGTTTCCCATCCCTCTCTGAGCTTCATATCCTGCTGACCTCCCAGGTGTATTAGAAAGACTAAGATGACATGCACAGTGCTCTGCTGAGAGATGCAGTAGGGCTAATAGCATAGCAGATGGCTGGCAGGTCATACTCCTGCCAAGGGTGTGCGAAGCAGCCTTTGCTTGCTGCACCGAGGAGCTGAATTTCCCTCTTTGACAGATCGGTAAACAGGAGCTCTGCAGAGATCTGGTAACTTATCTGAGCTAACTCTGTAGAAGCCGTGCAGCTGGGCCTGAAATCCTGGCATTCTCACCATTCACTTTGGTGGTTGCTACTTTGGAGAGCATAGGATGCTAAATGTATCTTTCCAGAACATGGGGAGAATGTGAACGAGGTGTGGGGCCCTGACTTGCCTGTTGCTGTGCGGGGGCAGCTCCCTGATGGGAGCGCGTGATCCGATGGCTCTAGTTGGAGGAGAGGTGTCCCTGAAATGCTTGTGCTAGGAAGGTGGCACAGTAGAGAGGCGAAGGTTCAGGCTCTCGAGTTAGGCTGTGGAGACGGAGATCTCAGTCCCAGCACCTCCTCAGTCTGTGGCGTGGGAAATTCCTTCACGGAGCTTTGACTTGCGTGTCTATAAGTAAGCGTTGTAACAATGTCTGCCTCGGTGGATCATTTTCAGGTTAAGTGTGCTATTGTGTGTAACTCCCTGGGACCAATACCTGGCACATAATATATTTTTAATAAGTCTTATTATTAGTTCTAGTATATAATGGATTGCTTAAACTTTTATGACTCATCTGGAAGCCTTACTGCTGTTTACAGTATTCCTGAGGAGAAAATATACTTAAAATGAATGCCAGTCAAACTGGTAGAACATTAGACGCTAACTAATTTAGCATTCAAATATAATCAACTTGTAAAAATTGGAAGCCATCCCTGTGATATGCTTCCCTTCTGCACCCTGGGGAGGGATGGAGGACCTCTGGTAAATTCAGGGTGTCAGCCAGTTGCAAGGAAGACCCATCACCAGATTCCAAGAACGTCACATACTCCTTAGCAAACCAGGTCCTTCTCTAAGGTGAGGTGCCCAAGAGCCACCGTCTGGAAGAGCGGTGAGTGGTGGCAGAGCTGCAGAGCAGGTCACCCTGCCATTTGTTTCTAATCTTTTATACAAGTTAAAAATGCTAAGTGTATTAAAAAGAGTAAATTAAAAATTTATTTGTAATTTTGGGTCGTCTGGCTGAAAAGTTGAGCAGACTTCATCTGGCATGCAGCATCACAGACTAATAGCAGCGTACATTTAGAGTGAGCCTTTGCAGGACGTGGAAATGTCCGAACACATTTCCTCCCCCAGCGCCCCCTCGGCACTCGGAGCAAGCCCCTGCAGTGAGGAGCAGGCGTGGCTGCACATGGTGGCTCTTCCTATCTTCTGTGTCTCTGCTCAACAGGAGCCAGGCAAGCGTTCTCAGCTCTGGAGGATGACGGGAACAGGAATGCTGGCCCACGAGGGCTCTGCGGTTCCTCACAATCCCAACAAGCCCCCCGCCACCTGCTCCACCGAGGGCTCTGCCATCCTAGACATTGCTGGTCTTGCCGCAGTCACGGACAACAGGTAACGTTCTAGAGGATTCGTTTTTGTTTTTGTTTCTGGTACAGAGTCTCGCTGTGTAGCCAGGGTTGGCCCCTAACTCATGGCTATCCTGCCTCAGCCTTCTGAGTGCCAGGATTATAGGCATATGCCACCACACTTGGCTCAAGAATTGTTAGGTTTGTAAGACTGAGTGACTGACTGATTGACTGACTATAAGAACTGGACCTGTGCAAAGGCATTTTACCACTGAGCTGCATCCTCAAATTTTATGTATTTATTTATTTTTAAGTTTTGTGTCAGGGTCCTTAATAAGTTGTAGAAGTTGACCTCGAATTGTACCCTTCTGTCTCAGCCTCTCAAATAACTGGAATTGCAGGTGTACTACCATGCCCGGCACATTTGTATCTATATTTTTTTCAATGACAAAAACCTGTGAAATTCCCAAATATGAATTTTGTATATTTCACTTAATTTTTTAATTACTACAGTATCCATGCTGATATTAAGAAACATTAATACAAAAGATCTTATGAAAAGTATTTCTTTTACCCAAATTTCCAGTCTATCCTTTTTCCCTAGTAATGAAATTACTTTTTAATAAAATCTTCTTTTGAGAACAGAGATTTAAGTTAATAAGAGACTATTCAAATGACTTTTCATGAGTGGTTTATGAATTCATATCAGCCTTTTAAATTTAAATAAGTTATTTTATTTGCCTGTGCTTTAACGTCTCCATAAAATCAGTTAATATCTTATTTTCTTCCAGAAAGAATTATAAGTTAAAACACAAAGTAAAAATATTTAGAAATAAAAAAGATTTGAGTACACATGCTTCAGGAAAAGAAAAACTTGTGTAAATATTTTAACACTAAATGTATTGAGGTACCATGAGATTAATGTAATTTACCTTTAGCTTATACAATTACAAGAGGTGCTCAAAGTGGTGGCCACGAGTTTCCACACATTGATTAGTAGGGCAAACTGCTGCTCAGGTGACTTTGGTCATTGAGATTGCTCTCATACAATTTTCCATTTCTTCTCTAAGAGCTGATGGCGTAGTGGGTTTTCAGTGATATACGATGTCCTTTAGGGTCCCCCATATAAGGGTAACACCACCTGATGGAAAAACATGTGCTAGTTTTCTTTTCCGGAAGTGTGTACATTTCTTTTGGCGGACTCCGCGTGTAGCAGGTGTCTACTCCTGTGCTGTCGCTGTGAGAGTGATGGATCCGTTTTACTCACCCTGAAGGACTTGGCACTCCCGTGTCCTCCTTGTCACCTTCTCTTTGGCTTTCTTCCGCTTCCCTCCTTCAGCAGCTCCTCACTCCCCACACCACTGAAGCTGTCTGCACGTTAGTCTTGTGGGTGGAGAGGCCTGAAGAGAGAAGAGCAAATCTCGATCCTCACATTTTCTTTTTGCCTGAGACCATAGACCCGGAGGGCTCACTACATTTCTGTTTGTCCAGATATGAGCCACTGATGCTAAGGAAGCCTGACCGCAGGCGGAGCACGACCCAGACGTGGAGTTTCCGAGAAGGAAAACTGACCTGTGGCCTGCATGGGTTGGTTGTCCAGGTTGGTAACTTCTGACACCCTGAGTTGCAGCATGCAGGGACTGAGGCTGCTTCTTCAAAGCAAGGCCCAACTAGGTTATAGGTGGTAAATTGTTAAGAGGAAGAGAAAATTGGTACAACTCTTAAAACATAGACATAGGCAAGGACTTTCTGAACAGAGCCCTGGTTGCACAAGAAATAACACCAAAAATCAACAAACAGGATCATGTCAAATTAAAAAGCTCCTGCACAGCAAAGGAAACAATCCGCTGAGTGAAGAAACAACCTATAGAATGGGGAAAAAATATTGCCAGCTACTCTTCTGATAGAGGACTAATATCTAGACTATAGAAAAAACTAAAAACAAAAATTAGACCCTAGATGAGCAATCCAGTAAAAAATGGGCACCTGATATGACTAGAAACTTAAAAGAGGTGGTCAGTCAGGTGTGGTGGTGCGTGCCTGTAATGCCTTGTCTGGGGGCTGAGGCAAGACAGTCCTTGCAAAATGGAGGCTTGCCTTGGCTCCATAGTGGGATAGTTCAAGGCCAGCCTGGACTATCTCAAAAACAAAAACAAAAACAGGCCAAAACAACTGTCATCAAAGATTCAAAGAACAGCAAATGCTGGTCTGGTTGTTGGGGAGAAAGGAACCCTTCTGCATTGTTGGTGAGAATGTAAACTGGTACACTTTACAAATCAGTGTGATGATTCCTCAAAAGTCTAAAAATGGGAATCCATCCGACCCAGCTGGTTATCTTCTCAAAAGAGCCAGAGTCATCGTATGATAGTGATAGAGGCATTCTGTGTTTACGGAGCCCCATTTACAACAGCTAACTCACAAAAATGGTTTATATATTCATCCACTAGTGAATGGATGAAGTAAATTCGGTATGTCACACAATGGAGTTCTAATCAGCCATAAAGAGGGATAAATTTTAGTCGTTTGTAGGAGAATCGACACGATAAGACTAAGTGACATTAGACGAGAAGGTTAAGTACTGTACGGTTTCTTTAATATGAGAAACCCAAAAGGTAAATGAAGAGCCAGATACAAGAGGCCATGTTAAGAAACAGGAGGTAGACACTGTGGAGGCAGGAAGGGGACCTGGGAAGAGGGAGAGGGGAGAGTGGTGGGGCCGGGAGGAGCCAGCGTGACCACCGTGTGATATGTGTGCGCCTCAGTCTCCAGGCTGTGTGTCATGCTATGTATTGCCAACATATACCATTAAAGTTTTTTAAAAAAATAATGTGAGAAAATTAAGACCAGTGTCCTGGGAAGTATTTATTGTTGACACGATATAACAAAAATATCATTAAATGGAAAAAATTAATTACCAAGCAATACATACTCTGTTCCACTTTTTTGTTAAAAATCTGTCAAGAAGCTTATTGAGCATCTTACAGGGGAAGCATTTGTGAAGGCAGTATACAACAAAAGTGTTAAGAATGGTGGCCCTTGGGTACAGAGGGGCTTTTTTTTCTTGCTTCGTCTGGGTTTTTTCTCTGATGACATAAATTGCTCGTGTAATTTTTATTCAGTTATTTATTTTTGGTACCAGGAATTGAACTTACGACCTTGTGCTTGCCAGGCAAGCAGTGTGCCGCTGAGCTTTATCTCTGGCTGCTTGTGTAATATTCAAAAGAAGGAAAGCAGCCCAACACTAAGTTAGACGGTTAGTTTTAGACCCGTGGTGTCAATGTAAGAATCTTCTGTACTGTGTGCTAGGAGACGGTGAGCATTCGGCCTCTGCGTGCTCTCGATTCTGTTTATTTCTGAATTCTTAGTATTTAATTGTGGTAGCAAATGTCAGAATCATACTTGCTAGGCAGTTTCCCCTGTCTTTATCCTAGCCAGCCTATTCCATACTAAATCCCCAGGTGCTTTGTAAGCAACTATAAATATGTTTTTGGAAAATTACCACAAGTTTAGATTTTTCTGTTGATTTTAGCTTCAGGCTTAGAATGAGAGAGACTGTGGATAAAGATGAACAGACAGGGAGCTGACTAGGAGGTTGGAGCATATAGCAGAAACACATATGCGCGTCTGCCTTGACCTAAGGTTTTACCCCCAGAATAAATACTTGAACGTCAGGCCCCTGCTGGAGGACAGTCGGTGTGTTTGTCCCTGGTGGAAGCTGGGCTGTCTTCCCTATAGGGAGACTATAGTCCAGGGAACATACACAACTGTATGAAGCCTCTGACTGCTATTTAGTCAGATTTATTTTCTTTATCTCCATTGCCCTGAGCTTTTCTCATCAAAGACAAGTTGCTTACTTATACAAAGCACACATCTGGAATGGATTTGTGATTTTCAATTAGCAGTACAGTTAGACTTCCTTCCAGAGGCAAAGAGGGCTTGACATAATTGGTGGGTTCTGGGTCTGTCCCTGACTTTACTTCCAGTTTATTTCCAAAGCCCATGTAATTCCTGTTCTCTTGTAGCATTTTGCTTCCCCCAAATCCCTTTCTGTTGTTTGTCATTTCTCAGGTCTATTTCTTCATTTCTCTCCTTGTGAATGACCCCATAATAGTAGTATCCAGCACAGCGAATGTGTTTTGGTTAGGGAAATGAGCTCGTTCAGACGTCTGTGGCTGTATAAAATCACTGAAGGCACTGGAGTATTTCCTGACTGCTTCATTAGGTTGTGTGCACTTTCTAAACTTACACAGCAGTCTCAGAGCTTCGTCTGTACTGAGACCTGTGGTGCAGACCCAGCCCGGGGATTCCTATTCCTCATTCAGTACTCACAAATCAACAGAGGGCTCCGGTCCCTTAGTGAGGGTCCTCTCTGGGCCTGACAGCCCCACAGGCCTGGTCCTAGATGTGCCCTTCGTGTGGAGCCTACAGGCAGAAGGTGCTTTTCTCCAGAGGCTGGCATATGTGACATGTGGTGACCTGCCCCGCACTGGGCTTCAGTGGAGAACAGGCACTAACTTTGGAATTTTGGGCTTGATTTTTCAGCCAGTGGCCTTTTGGGGGAGACTTTCAATTCTAGAATTTTCTTCTTGTTGGAATTTTGAGTGATAGTAATATTGTTTTATTTTGAGAGTATTCCAGGTATTTAAATGAATCCTAGCAAAAGGCAGAAAGAAAGCTGCCTTTGGTTCCTCTTACAAGTTTTTTTTTTTTTTTTAATGGCTAGAAGTTATTATGGGGTAGAATAAAACCAAAAGAGTCTATCCACAGCATTATGTCTTACTAGAGGTATGTATGTAATCCCCCAAACGCATAGTCCTGCTGATTTTATCATCTGCAGAGCTGAACAAACAACAGATGCTTTGCTATTCGTTGATCATGACTCTCCAAAAGAGAATTTAAGTTTAGTAAACTGTTTCAAGTGGTGTTAAATTATCAGAATTGGTGTCTTTGCCTTTGCTTATATGTCTTTACTCCAATGTTCTTTAGGCTAAAGGAGGGCTTTCTGGTTTGTTTGATGGAGCTGAAGTTGTTCTTGGTCCTGACACATCTATAGAACTTTTGGGGCCAGTTCCACCCGAGCAACAATTTATTAACCAAAAAATGAGGCCTGGTTCTGGAATGTTATCCATCAGAGTCATCCCAGATGGACCCACTAGAGTGCTCCAGGTAAGGACTAGCATGAATCTCACGTCTTCCCCAGCCCTATAATTAGTCATTCACTATATAGAACATACTTATGCTGGGGATGTGGGTTCCGCTCTCTAAAATGGGGATAGAGATATGACACTGAGTTGTTACGGAAATAAAGCTGGGCATGTTGGCTCATGCCTATAATCCCAGCACTCAGGATGCTGAGGCAGGAGGGTTCATTGTGAGTTCGAGACCAGCCTGGGTTACAGAGTGAGCTCAAGGCCAGCCTGGACTGCATAGTGAGACCTTGTCTCAAAAAAAAGGAAATATAAGTAAAATTTAATGTAGAAGTGTAAGAATTAAAGAAGATAATGCTAACAAAGCCTATTCATATAATTAATGTTATTATACTAATACTTAAATAATTCACATACTAACCCTAACATTAACAACAAAAAGATGTTAAGCACCTAAGCAGACAATTAAAATGTTACAAAGGAGTAGAAAGTATATGGAAAGGACTTGTGTTCCTGGGTTTGGAGGCTGGATGAGCTTCCTATGAGAGAGAGTAGTTAAGCTGAGCACTAAAAGGTAACTGAGGGGAGTTGACCAGGTAGACGGGAAAGGGGGGCTTTGCTTGCAGTAATGAGCACATCCATTCAGCAGTTATTTATTGAGCAGTTGGCATAAGCCAGTGAACAGACATGCACAATTTTCTGCCTTGTTAGCATGTACACTCTTGGGGGAGGTGGAGTCAGTGAGAAATAAACATAATAAATAAAGTGGGTAGTGTTTGGGAAGTTGGTCAGTGAAGACCTGCAGGTAAGGGAGAGACCCTCAGCCTGCTGGCACAGGTAAGAAGTAAGCAGGGGCCAGATTATTAAAAGCCTGAGACGAGCCGGCTCATGCCTGTAATTCCAGCACTCGGGAGGCTGAGGCAGGAGGATCTGTTGTGAGTTGGAGACCAACCTGGGCTACAAAGTGAGCTCAAGGCCAGCCTGAACTGCATAGCGAGATCCCGTCTCAAAAAGACCAAAAAAAAAAAAAAAAAAAAAAAAAAAAAAAAAGCCTGAGACACATACGTGTCTCATACAATGGTTTTTCCAAGTCACCAAGTCAACAAGGATTCGGAGCCTGGCATGATCAGTTCGTTTTCATCATCCCACTCTGGCTTCAGGGTGCTGAACTGGATTGGGGCGGAAGTGGAGGTAGAGGACAAACAGAGTTTCTTGCAGTAATGTGGATGAGAGATGATGGTGACTACACTAGAAGAAATGACAGGCTGAGCGTGAGGACGGGGAGCAACATAGAAATGAGGCTCCTTTTGGAGTGGCATCAGCCAGATGTAGGGATGGAGTGTGGGGGTAGTGGAGAGCAAGGATTCAGGGGTAGCCTTCAAGGCTGATCTGGGCACTGTGGGGAAGGGCAGGCCCGGTCACTAAGAGGTGAACACAGAGAAGCCTCGTGGGGAAGGGAGGACTTCAGTTTGGGTCTTGTTGACTTAAGGTGACTCATAAGAAGATGCCCCAAAGTAAATATAGGTCCTAAGTGCAAAGAGGAGTTGTGAATGTCTTGGTCACGCATCAGGAGTGTAGTAGTGAATTCTCTGAGACAGTGAATCACAGTCCACAGATTCTCTTTAAAAAGTGGTCTGTGCTGACAGCAAAAGTGAACGTGCATTTTGTGTACGTGGACTTTGCACTATAAGTCTAGATCTCATGCAGATGGGCTTGAGCTGTGATTCTCACCCCTGTGTGAGACTCTCAAGGTCGGCTGCTGGAGTTTGCCGGTAGACTTAAAACCACACTTACGTCATTATTACTTCAGTCTTACCATGGTGTTTTGGAAACATTAACTTCCATAAGATTTCTGGACAAATAGCTCCTTTTTGCGGGGGCACAGGGTGGGACTGAGGATTGAGTCCAAGATCTCACGCATGCTAGGCAAGTACTTTACACTGAGCTACATCTCTCCTCTTTCTAAATTTCATTTTGAGATAGGGTCTTGCAGTCTTAAACTTGCAATCTTTCTGCCTCAGCTTCTCAAGTGGCTGGGATTCCAGTTGTATGCCACTGTGCGCAGGCGTATATTGACTTTTGACCTACACAGTTGGCTTGGGTTAGAATGGATTTCAGTGTGGATGTGTGAGTCCTATTTATGTGGTGTTTCGACTTTAGATAACAGATTTCTGCCAGAGGAAAAGTGATCGTTCATCGTATGAAGTGGATGAACCTCCTGTTACTGAACAAGAGCTGCAGAAACTGAGGAATCCAGATACAGAGCAGGAATTGGAAGTACGTTTTAATGCTGGTATTTCTTTCCTTGATTACCAAGTTGTTGAGAATTTTGCTCTGTGGTTTTCTGTTTTCATTCTGAAATTCTGATTACCAGTTTTGCTTCATTCTATTTACTGTTACTGCAACATGATGTGTGACTGTTATGTGATGATAACTAAAGTTTACGTGGAATCAAAATGTAACAAATGTTGCTCATGTAAGATGATGAAAAAAGAAGCAAGCTAGATGATTTGAGTTTAAATAGGGGTTAAAGAACAAGTGCCTTACTTTCTTGCTTTTAGACAAAATATCCAGCACCCACAAGTTAAAGGAGGCAAGGTTTATTTTAGTCCGTAGTTTGTAGAGGTTTCAGTCCACAGTCAGCTGGTCCCGAGGCAGAGGGGCACAGGAGAGGGCCTGGCAGCAGAAAGACAGTCCCTGGCTTGGCAGTGAGGAAGAGGTGAGACTCCCCTCCTTTTTCCTGTCAAGCCTGTTGATTGGTGCCACCCACAGCCCAGGTGGGCCTTGCCTTTTCAGTAAGTCCATCATCCACTCTCAGAGTCATTTGAACCAATCAGTGAATTGATCCAGTTCTGTCTCCTACCCATGATCCAGTGTCACACACCTATGATCCAGTCATTCTCCAAAGCTGTACCTATGAGTGCATGAGGCTTCAAGGGGCCATCTAGATAGAAGCCATAACAGTAAGAAAACTAGATTTGTTTTGTTCCAGGTAACTCTAATATATTTCTTCCCTTTTCCTTTTTGCATTGAAGGGATAATGAAAAGTTTATAAAAGAAGTTAAGAACATGAAAAGGCACATTTGCTTGGTACTTCTTAAGTAATTTTTAAAAATGAAATGCCTGTGTGTGAAGTGCTATGTCAGATCTTGTGGAAGTGCCTTGAGTAACCTACTGAGAGCGTGTGTCCCACATAGGGAGAAAGATTTCCCAGCAGTTACATCCCTGTGGTGCAGGCTGTCCACAGTCCTCCGCCTGAGGTATCAGCATGTCACTCTGCAGTTCTCTCAGAGTGGACGTACCTGAAAAGCAAAGGTTCTAGTGAGGCGATGGCATTTGAGCCAAATGTGGTAGTAGGACTCTGCTCAGGCCATTTCCATCTGCTCAGATGTCAGGAGTACAGAGACTGAAGCTATTTACTTCCTTGTATTCCATTGAGCTATATTTCAGTCAATCAGTGGTCCATGTTTTGATTCCCTTTTAGGTGCTTGTAAAGCTAGAAGGTGGAATTGGTGTGTCCCTAATTAATAAAGTCCCAGAAGAATTGGTTTTTGCCAGTCTTACAGGAATCAATGTCCACTACACACGGATGGCAACGAGTCACATGCTTGAACTCAGCATACAGGACGTGCAGGTAAGGGAGGAGGTTCAGAGTTGTTACCTCCTTGTTGTCTTGCTGACTTCATGTTTGGTGTTCTAAGTACTGTATCGTTTTAGAAGAAATACAATGTGATCTTCAAAAAAAATCATCCTATAAAATGGGATGTGTCCAACTGCTGTTGTCTCATTAATTTTTCTTTCCAGTATAATTCTGAAGATAGTTGGTGCCTAAGTCACTTTGCTGACTCAGTCAGGGTGACACAGAGGAAGTTGACCCATCATTTTCCATCTTGCCATAGAGCCCTGATGAGTAGATGACTTGAAATAAAAAAGCAGGACTGAGAGTCCAGAGAGATCCAGGCAGCTGAGTTTGTTGGACAGTGCACCTGACAGGAGAGAAGAGTTCCTGAAAGGATCTGTTTCCAAACAAACTAACTGTATCCCTGGACAGAGCTCAGGATTTATCATAGTACAAAGTATTCAGCACTCAAGAAGCTAAAGGTCACAGACTGACATCCTGTCAAAAGTTATCAGTGCGTGGAGGAACCAGAAAGCACACTGTAGTGAGGGGCCCAAGGTCTCAAAATTTCAGAAGACACCTTTGTTAATCTGACTTAAATTCAAAAGTTAAGCTGAGGTCTGGAAAGTATAAAAATACCCAGACTTCTGGAGATTATAATAAATAAAAATTGCTCTGGAGGGGATAGAACACATAGCCTGGAAGGAAACTACAGTTGGCCTTCCACATTCCTAGGTGCCATATTTCAGAGTTCAAACGGCCTCACATCAAGACTGTTTCAGAAAGGATTGTGTCCGTAAGACTTTTTCCTTGTTATTATTTCCTGAACAATGCAGCATAACAACTATGAGGTGTTAGAAATAATGTAAAGATGATTTAAGTATTTGGGGAGTATGTATAGATTGTATAGAAATACTGCATCATTATATGTAAAAGACTAGAATATTTGGATTTTAGTATGTATAGGTCCTGGAACCCATCACCTGCTGCTGTTGAGAAACCTAATTGTATTCCTAGGCACATCATAAGCACCATCTCTAACGTACTGAAAGTCGGGGTTGGGCGGAGCTATTGTTCTAGAATTATGCACAGTGTGTTCTTTGACCACATGGACTTCAAGTAGAGATTTAAAAAAAGATAGAAAACTCTCCAAATGTTTGGATACTAGAATACTTTTAAATAACTCATAGATCAAAAAGTATATCAAAACAGAATTAGACATTGTGCTAAATGAAAACACTGCACCTCAAAGTTTGTGGAATGACATGAGAGCAGTTTGTAGGGGAATTGAACACTAAATACTGTATTAGAAAAGAAGAAGGGTCTCAAAGCAGTGACCTCAAGTCATTTTAAGAAACTGTAAAAAGAAGGGTAGATTAAAGCTACAATAGAAGGAATTGCAAAGATCACAGCAGTGATCAATGAACAAGGTAACCCAGTATCACAGTAGAGAAAAATCAGTAGAATCCAATGTCTTTATTCTTAAGAAAATTAATAAGCCTTTACGAAACTAGTCTTACCAGAAGAAAAAGGAAAAAAGGATGCATGCTTGTTGCTGGTATTAGGAACAAGAGAGGTGTCAGGCAAACCAAACAGCGACAGCGCTCTGAGGCTCGGCCTTCGCGGAGCTGCATGTCTGTTCTGTTTCTTCCGCTGGCTGCCAGGCCTCTGTGGTTGTTGCTGTGATTGCAGGACTGCCCGCTCTTGAGGCTGCTGTGGAGCTGGGTCGGGAACAGGAAAAGTTACAGTGCCCTAGGGCTGGCCATCCCCCCCGCCTAGCTCCACTTAATCATCTAAAGTGAATGTTGTGATTATTGTAAACCTTTAAGATTTTGTGTTCTGAAAAAGTTGATTTTGTTGGTGGAGTTTTATTATCATGCTCCCCTCAAAATTCCTATATCTGTCTTTTTGTAACATCATACTTACATCCTTTCTTTTCCTCTAACCTCTATTAAAAGTATATGTCCTCTATTAAAAATATGTGTCCTGGAAGCTACTTGCTTGTGAGCATTTCTGAAAGGTATCCCCGAGTCTTGCCCTGCGGTCATGTCCCTGCATGGGCAGCATACTCTTACTGGCCCTCAGGGCTGGCTCCTTCCCTTTCTGAGCACATCATGGCAGTGCCGAAACTTTTTATGACAATCTTTTCATGTAGCTTGTGCTACAACTGGCCAACATTTTAGGTGAATCACATCCCATTGTTTGAGGACAGATAGAAGCTGAATATCTCACTGCTAGTTTTCTTTGTGCTGTATTTTTTGATATTATAGAAAATATCCATTGCTAATCCTTTATAGTTTAACTTGATAGTTTAATTAAAAAATTTAAACCAAATACCACTTGATTTGACGTGTGCTCCCAGTGACAGAAGATAAACAAACTTGAGAGTTTACTCTTGGGGCCAGGGAGGTACTCTGTGGTACAGCGCCTGCCTGACAAGCAAGGTGGTTGTGACTTCTGTGACTTTTAACAGAGGTTAGAGGAAAAGAAAGGATGTAAGTACCAAAAAAGAGAAAGGTTTACTGTTGTGGTGGTGCTGTGGGAAGAAAGCCTTTAAAATGGAGAGCTGGATGTGGAGGGCAGCCCTGTGCTCCCAGCGCCTGGGAGGCGGGGCAGGAGGGTCAGCACAAGTTCAAGGCCAGTCTGGGCTACATAGAGAGCTCAAGCCCAGCCCAGACTACACAGCAAGAGCCTGTCTCAACAAAAGACAGACAGACAAACAGGAAAACCTAAGTCCCATTCTTAGTGAGAACTGACACTAAGCAGAAGTATGAACCAAGAATTAGTAGTCCTCAGTCCACTTTGGATAGAATGAGTATGCTTTATCCGAAATGTTCGGGACCAGAAGGATTTTGGATTTTTTTTTTTTTTTTGGAATATTTACCTATACATCATGATCTACCTTGGGGAAGACATCCACATTTATGCATGAAATTCATTTGTATTGCCGTATGTATCATATATTTGAAGAAAAGTCTTAAGACCATACACTCAAAAGTGAAATAAATCAGGCTTGCATGTGTAAACAATCATATTGTCTCCCTAATGTAAAAAATTTAAAGAGTAAATAGGATCCAAAATGTGCAATAGATATTGTGCAGGTGAACGGGGAAGAAACTGCTCAAAAGGAAAGAGCAGTTGGCATGAGGGAAAGGAGAAAAGAAAGAGGGTTCTTCTTTGGGTTCTGAAGCATGAGGATCTCAGAGCTTTAGGCGGGGGATGCACGTCCTGTCAGAGGTGTGGGGCAGGCACAGTGGTGAGCACAGAGTGGGTGGGACCCTTGCTGCCAGTCGTTCCCGGATGAGGTTTGTAATGACGTGATGACGGTTTGCTCAGGAAGTTCTTCCCGAGCCCAGGTGTGGGCCAGCAGGTGCTGGAGACGCGACTGTGACCCAGGACACGAACTCGCGTGCTGCCCTCCTGGCACTCAGGGTCCTGGGAGGAAGTCAGTGCTGTGCAGGTTAAAGCCGTGGTGTCCTGAGAGCTCCCTGAGGACCGATGAGCAGAGCCGTCTCTAACTTGGGGGAAGAGAATGGACAAGCCGTGGAGAAGGCTCCTAGGAAAACCATCCCAGTAAGGTTCAAAGGCCCTGAGGAAGGAGGGACTCGCCCACATTTGAGAAAAGACAGAGAGAGATGGTGTGGTGATGGCAGACCAGGAGGTCAGTGGCGTGTGCTGAGGCTGGACATAGGTAGGCCCAGACGCGCAGGCCTTGGGGGCTGTGTGAGAGGCTTGGCTTTGTCCTGAGGGCAGGGCAAGCCACTGAAAGGTGTAAAGGCAGGGGGAGGAGGAGGAGTGTGGCTGGATCAACCTTCAGATCGCTTTGCTGCTCTATAGAGAATACCTCGCAGGGGGCAGGAACGGAGGCTGGAGCCTCTTACCCTTCTGTCTGTGCTCTGAGAGCCCACAAAAGGGATGTCCACTCCAGCTCCTGCAGTGCTGCTGTCCATAAGCCCAGGTAATACCACGGAAAGGGTAAAAAGTTTGTGCCGGAAGTCCTGCATGTGAATTCCATCTCTTCCACACCGTAGCTGTGTGAGGGTGAGCCAGTAATTACTGGAAGTTTCTCTAAGCTTCTGTTGACTTGTGTATAGAACGAGTGGAATACCTTCTACGATGTGGTGTGTTTTAGTTACTTTTCTCTCATTGCTGAGGCAAAATACTGGATGCCCCAAAGTAAGCAGACAAGCTCAGTTTGTAGAGGTTTCAGGCCATAATCAGCTGGCTCCAAGGCAGAGTGGCCTGGCAGAGGGGAAACTGTTTATGGCTGTGGAAGGTACCAGAAGGAGGAAGCCTCTTTCTCTCCTTTTTATTGTGTGCATGCTACCCTCCCTAGGCAGGTACAGCACTTACACCCTAACTCCAGTGCTAGACAATGAACCAATCGCAAACCCTAGATTCAGCTGCCTCTAAAAACTGCACCCCTCCCACGATGGCATGAGGCTTTAGGGGTCGTGCTGACACAAACTATAACAGGGTGGTAGAGGGATGTGAGGTGTTGTGCAGAGTACCTATTCTGGTCTCTTCTGAGTACCCAACAGATGGTCTCTCTTCTTTCCTCTGTCCAGAGTGGATCTTGGTGTGAAGCAGAGAGCCTAGTGGGTGCCCCGCTGTGAGCCTCCTGACCAGTAAACATCCCCCTGCAGCCCTTGCTTTCTGTGGTGGGTCTTGGGGCAGGGGGAGGTACTAGCAGTAGCTCTGTTCCCGCTGCCTGACTGTGGCATTCCTGAGAAGGAAGTTGGCTGCAGCACAGGGAGCTCTTCCTGGTTGGTAGCCACCTGAGCTCCTGGTTCTTTAACTTTGATGTTCTTTATGGGATTGGAAAGGAGAGAGGTTTTCAGCGCCTAAGAGCCTGGGCTCAGGAACAGGCAGACCTGGATTCAGGTTCCACGTTTATCATTGATCTTTTTAAGCAAGGGCCTCCCTCCTCAGCTTCTTCATTTCTAAGGTGGGGCTGTGTGCCGGGAATTTCAGGAAGGACTGCAGCAGAGCCCTAAGCCTGATGACGATGGGCGTGGTGTGGATCGCATGGTTTGCTGAGGGAGTGTGTGTGAGGTGGCCGGAGCTGTGCCTCCCAGGTAGTCCTCACATGGTGAAAGTCTCCTTTCAGTTCTGTAAATAATTGTTAAATTGATGGGTGAAAATGTGTCTGTTATGTACAGTGCTGCAGTTGAAGTATGTATACGCTGCAGAATGGCTACATTGAGCTAATTAGCATAGGCGTGAACCCACGAGCCACTGTTTGTGGCAGGACAGCTTGTCACATCTGATCTCTTAGTGGAGCCCTCCTCTGATACAGGTAGCTTCCCTAACTGGTCCTCCAGTCGTTATTCCTGCTCCTCGGTGCTGTCGTGGGTTCCCAGCTGCTGCAGAGGCAGAGGAGGACTAGCTTACTTTCTGAGGAACCTGCATGCTTTGAGGCACTGCCCAAAGGAAGACATGAAAATTGAGCAGCTGCTGTTTCTGTTTTGTTGTGGCACCTTTTCATACCCTAGGTGGACAATCAGCTCATCGGCACCACGCAGCCCTTCATGCTCTACGTGACTCCCCTGAGCAATGAGAATGAGGTTATCGAGTCCGGCCCTGCCGTGCAGGTCAACGCGGTGAAGTTCCCCAGTAAGAGCACGCTGACCAACATCTACAAGGTGGGCCACGCCACATGGGAGGCTGGCATGTTCAGGGAACAGCCTGCCAGGGTGAAGTCACGTGGGATTGGCGCACTGCTTAGGGGGACGCACAGGAACCCCTTTCCAGGGCACTTTGCATCACAATTGTGTTTTCGTGGACTTTGCAGGTGGTTGGTAGTGCTGAATCCACAGGGCTGGGGTCTTTATTCACCAGAGTCAAGTGTGTGGGAGAGTGTGGGATGGTCTAGGTTGCTCAGATGTAATTCTAAAACTCCAGAGGTCTAGGCACACTGGGAAAGATACATAAGGAGTCTGGCCTTACAGTAGACACCCTGCTACACAAGCCACCATGCTGTGTACTGGAAGCAGTTAGGACAAAAGTGGTAAATGCTCTTGGAGAGGGCCCCTTGCGAACGCTTGCTGTCACTGCAGCTAAGTCTGGAACAGCCGGAACAGGTAAAGGGGTGCTTCCCGTCTTTCTGGTTCTTTACCACCCGTGCCCATGAGACCGAGCTTGGCAGTAGCCCACAGCTCTAAGCCCAGTCATGCAGCTCCTTAAATGAGCTGCCATTCGCCTGAGCACTTTCCATAAAGTTCACCCACCACAGTGCATCCGAAGCTGTAATCCTGACTAATGAGACCCAGATGCTTTGGGAACCCAGCAACAGGGTGGCGAACTGTGCACTAAACATCTGGAGTTTTCGGTTGATTGTAACAGGGTAAGAAATAAGCTAGAGGTAATTTGGCACTATCATTAAGTCACGTGAGTAAAGAATATGACACTGGGAACTTTTCTTTTTCTGTTTATTTTTGTTTCTGAGGCAGGGTCTCACCATTTTGTTCAGGCTGGTCTCGAACTCCTAGACTCAAGCAGTCCTACTTTAGGTGCCCAAGTAGCTGGGCCACTGGGGCCACTGCATCTGACTCTTTGGGGCCCTGCTTAATGGTATAAGTGAAAGTTCCTCTCGTGTTCACCCTAAAATTTCTTTCTCTCTAGCATCTCTTAGTCACGGCTCAGAGATTCACAGTACAAATTGAAGAGAAACTGCTCCTCAAACTGCTAAGTTTCTTTGGCTACGACCAAGCAGAGTCAGGTACAGTTAAATGTTCGATGTTTGTATCTGGGGTTGACCCATGGATGGTATGTTTTAATCTGTAAAAACAGGCAGCCCAGCTGAGTGTGGTGGTGTATGCCTGTAATTCCAGCACTCAGGAGGCTGAGGCAGGAGGACTGTTGCACATTTGAGACCAGTTTGAACTACAAATTGAACTCAAGCCCAGCCTGAACTATATAGAGAGACCCTGTCTGATAAAAAACAAAAAACAGAAAAACAAAACAAAGTAAAAACAGTTGGCCCCCAGATGGTTGGCAGGCTTCCTTGCCACTCTGTAGCCTGAGCGAGCTGCTGAGGTGGTTTCTCTGCTGTCCCTCCAAAGTGGTGGTGTTATCTGAGTCTTGTCCACGAACTAAGCAGCCGCGGGTGGGTCTAGGTGTCCTGGAACAGCCAGTGGTAAGCAGTGTACTATTCCTCTGGGCTTTGCATTTTTTGATTCATCTGCTCTAGTGTAACAGAAATGATGTTAGTCATTTAGCAAACCACTTTGTTGCCTAACCTTTGTTTATTAAACAGACTCAGGGCCAAGAATCAGAAATCCCTCTGGTGGTTCCTTTAGTTTAGTTGAGGAAAAAAAAAAGGCTAATGTCAATTTAGTGGCTTTTGACATCCGTACCCTTGTGCCTTAATGTAATTATCAAGGTTTCTAGTTACTCTCTTTGAGAGTGAAGTCAAATAAGCTGTTGAAAAGCCAACATTTCCAGCGGTACTACAGAAGGTGTTTTTGTTTTTTGAGACAGAGTCGCACTGTGTAGTCCAGGCTGGCCTTGAAATCACTCTGCAGCCCAGGCTGGCTTTGAACTTATAGCAATCCTCTTGCCGTTACAAAAGTAATTTAACTGCTGTCTCCTCATTTTAAGTTCCTCATCATAGCCTTTCCCCTGCTTTTAACTTTCAGGGCCATACGTACACCTTAGAAAGGAGTCAGTAATGCTCAGCCTTCTAAAGCCTAAACTATGATAAACTGAAGACATGATAAGAAAGAGACTTTTGTGTTTGTTCATGTTAACTAGAGAGAAAAATCACTGCAAATATGTACAAGTATAGTACAATGCAAGGAAAAATACTTCCTTTTTCTAATCCTACATTTAGAATTAAGCTTGATTGGGGATTGGCTGAGGATAGCACACAGTGATAGTGTCTATGCCTATTAGCATGTGCAAGGCTCTGGGTTCTGTGAGCCACTTGAAGGCTTGTTGGCCACGTATCCATCCTGCTTTGATGTCTTCCTGAGTTTTAGTTTTTTTTTTTTTGTGCCGAGGATTGAGCTCATGCCCTCGCACACGCCAGGCAGGCACTTATGCCGCTGAGCTAAATCCCCAGCCCCTATGAGTTCTACTTTAAATGTGATTCTTGTATGTTTTTTGTAAGTTGCTCTAATAATTTTGCCCAAGAATTGTATAGTAGTTTAGACTTCTGCGCAATTTTTGTCTGCCTTTCGATAGAGGTTTGCCTCTGTTTTCAGTAGCTCCATCTGTTTCCTGAGCACAGACAGGCAGGTCTCTCGTACAGTTGTGTTTTCTGTAAATAGAATCAATAGTAGCTTAGACCATAGGTTTGTTTGCGAAGTAGGTATGTGCAGTCTCTGATTTTCTTCCTGAGGCATACGAACCTGAAGCGAAACCTGCTGCCCAATACACATGGGTGCAGTGTCAGCTACAAGGAGCACATCACTATGCTTGAGCTGTGTCGGTGCTTGTTACCTTGTGGGTGGCAGATTAAAAACTCTGGCTTGATTATTCTGTTTAAATTGATGCCCGCCATTTGTGCAGGGTACTGCTTGTATCAGTGTCATTTTTTGTGATCTCAGCCCAGTTCTTTTAAACGCATTATTTCATTCAGATTCATTATTTAATTGGTGATATTATTCATTAGTATTCACTCATACACGACTCCAAATCCTTATTTGGATATCATATAATGAAATAATTAAGTAATCTGGCTTATAAGCAACAACAATAGTTATAGGAGGCCTGTGACCAGCAAACGCACTTGTGATCTTTGGCCTTCCCACCTGGATAATTTTTTCTGAAGATGTTATTTGCCACATGACATCAACTCACAAGTTGTAAGACTCAGCTAATCGATATGTATGTGTGTGTGTGTGTTACTAGGGACTGAAAAGAGCCTTTACACTGAGCTCTGTACTTAACCTTTTTTAAATTTAATTTAATTTAATTTTTTTTTGAGACAGGTTTTTGCTAAGTCACTGCATTGCCCAATCTAGACTGAACTTGTGATCCTCCAGAATAGCTGAGATTTATAGTCATGGGTCACCATGACTGACAGTGGTCTATTTTTTTGTTATAAATATGAAGCAGGTCTGCTTTTATAAAGAAGCAGCATCAGGCTGGGCATGGAAATGCACACCTGTAATCCCAGCACTTGGGAAGCTGAGGCAGAAAGATGGCTTCCAGTTCAAGGCCAGAGTGGACTACATAGAGAGACTGTGTCTCAAAAAAAAAAAGAAAGAAAAGTCATATCACAATGCAGTACCTACCACTAATCTCTCAAAAACTAGTGAGATGTTTATATTTTTGATGAATTTTTCAATAGGAATATGACTCTTTGGACCATAAGACTAATAAGATTTTTCTGTGAATTCTGCCTCTGTACTAGAGGTGGAAAAGTATGACGAAAACCTCCATGAAAAGACAGCCGAGCAGGGTGGGACACCGATTCGGTACTACTTTGAGAATCTCAAGATCAGCATCCCCCAGATCAAGCTGAGTGTCTTCACCTCCAACAAGCTGCCACTGGACCTCAAGGTGAGCTGGCCCTGGGGCTTTTTAGCCCTACTTCCTTCAGAAAGCAAGGAGTATGTCAACTATTTGCTTTTTCTGTCTTTTGCCAGCATTTGTAGCAGTTATTTTTATAGGCTTTCTTTCTGAGATGGCTTCTTGACTAATATTTATGTCTTTTTGTTTAATGCTTAAATATAACTTTGCTATAGATCACGAAGTAACTACAGAGAATTACGTAAAGCCCACCTGCTTTCTCCTTAGCTCCTGGCTTCCTGCTAGACTCGGAGAGGACAAGCCATGCCCACACAGCATCTTCCTTCGTGCCCACGACCTGCCCCAGCTTAGTTCTCTCTTGCCCTCCAAGTGTCTGCCGCCTTGGGTCCCTGTTACCACGAATGTCTGCCCCTAAGGAAGACTCAGCCTCGTACTCAGTGCGACCTCGTCTGCCAAGTCTGCCAACCGTGGGCAGATTCGGTCTGCGCACCACCTTCATTTTAGCATTAAAATACGTTTTAACTAAGAGAGAGGGCCGGACTCAAAGCCAGCCCTAAACGTATTTTTTCACTAATTGTGCTGTGACCTAAACATAAGGACTTAAGAAAGTTTTGACCTGTGAATCCTCAAAGGCGGCCTGCTTGGTAGACAGGAGACTGAAACTCAAAGTGTTTGCTGCTCAGGCCTGGGTAGCAGCAGTGAGAGGACGGGAGCCAGGCGATTGTTAGGAGGTCTTTCCGTAGTTTGGCTCTTAACCTGCCCCTTACTGCTTGAACCCATGGGTTTGGCTGCTTTCTGCCTCTGTACTCAGACACACTTTATCAAGCCCGCCCTTTCCCCACTAATCACCGCTTCCCACTCTTTCCTTTCCCTCTGCCCTGTGATGCTCCTGACAGATGCAGCACTCTGGTGTGCGTTTCTGGGCACGAACAGCCGGAGGCCTGAGCCCATGAGTAGGAAATCCGGAGTTTTAGATTCTGCTGCTCGCATGGGCTCTTGTGGCTGCACGAGTGACGTGCGGGGGCCATGGCAAGCGCCAGTGCACTTCCTGGGGGAGCCGTGCTGCTCAGCGCTGGCCAGCTGTCCTGGGGGGCACAATTCAAGCCCCATGTTGCCAGATCTTCATATTTTTTAAAGAGAAGCCGGAAATCTGGATTTTTATGTGGAATCTCCTGGTTTTCTGAACGTTGGCAACCAATTCAAGTTTTTTTTTTTTTTTTTTTACTTTGCGGGCCTAACAAAACACATGTGTGGGCCTCCTGTGACCTGTGGTCTGCCAGCTCACAACTTCCAAAACAGGCCTGTAGGTAATGAGACAGTTGTCTGGTCAGGATTAGATTGTATTTTGACACAGGTAGGGAAAGGCGACTGCTTCTCTGAAGTGCAGGTGGAGAGTGAGCAGCCAGGTGGGCTGGTCGGGGCCAGGGAAGAACCTTCCGAGGACAGTGCAGAGTCATCTCCTCGCCCTGCTGCCCTGATGCCTCATTTGCTTTAATTTCATGTTTCCCAGGAGACCGAGGTACTTATAATTAGCATGGGAGCGAGGGGAAAACCGTGGGGAAACACTATCTTCCTAATATCCACAAGTATCCACTTGACTTCTGCGACCCTTTGCAATGGGCTCATTTGATGAAGTATATTTCCCCAGAACCCTTGGCACTCACCCAGCAAACCAGTGTCTAGCATTTCCTGCAAGTCAAGACTTCTTGTTTTTCAAATCATTGTTCTAATAGACGCAGACACCTGACTATTCCTTGAAAATTGCTCCCAGCAGAGAACTGGCCCAGACTGACAAAAGCAGTGGGATTCTCTGCAGTGGAGGTGGCTCCAGGCGGTGGTCACAAGGCATCGGCGCTGCCTGCGCTCTCCCTACAATGGGCTGGAAATCTGTTCTCAGAGAAGTGGAAGTAGGATTCAAGACTGAAGGCGGGTGCCCACCTGGCACCTAGCGAAGGGACATTTTCAGATTGCTACTGAACAAATGAGATGGCACAGCCACGTTAGCAGGCAGTGCGGGGAGCCCGGTGTGGTGATTTAATGTTTCTAGCAGGATGCTCGGAGTTGAGGCTTCAGAGTGAAGCTCTCAGCTTGTGGAAGTCACCATCTGTGTTTTGAGTTCTCCTGATGGAGTCTGGGGCTCATAAGATAATGTCATTTATTCAAAGAGTTTCCTAACACAGTAATATCCCTTTATTAGGTGGTCCTAGAAAGGGCAATCTGCACTTTCTGATGAATACAGAGTGGTTAGAAGTGTATGCTTAGCAGATGGGGTCCCTTCCCTGAGCAGAAGTCACAGGAGTCTGACTAAAAGGTAACCGTGTCTCCCGCACTGAAGAGATAATTACCTTGATTCTGCGAGCTCCTGCCCGCAGCGGAGCTGTCAGACATCTCCGCGGGGAGCCTCTTCAGGTTTACACTGAGGGTACATTGTTGCCAGATACAGTGTCTGTTCAGAAGGACTCAAAGCATTTCCACATCTGCTGTCTCAATTGGATCCCTGAGCTGGGATGGAGGAAGGGTGAGGTAATAGCTCATTTCACAAATGCAAAGACAAAAGAGCAGCGCTCTCCCCTGCCGGCCTCCCCCTTATTCTCCCAAGTTCACGTGCTAGAGAGTGGCCTAGCAATACTGAAAATGCTAGGTACTCTTCTGTGTGTGTTTGGGGCTGGGCTTTTTTTTTTTTAAGATCAAAGGAGTCCAGGAGCCTGTAAAAGGCTTCACAAGGTGGCCTATAGCCGTCTCCTTCCCATTTAGAGCATTGGGGTATTACAAAAGCAGGGCTTTAATTGAGCAATCTAGTTTGGAAGAAAACCCACATTTTAATGGTCAGAGAGCAAAGGGGTGGGGGTCAGGGGGAATTTCAAACAAAGACACTATTTAAAAAGCCTAAAACTGTCTTCTCAAAGGCTTGAAATAATTTGTTGGGAAACTTCAGACCCTTTACTTTTTTCCTCCCTTCCCTAAATAAAAACCAGATTTGTTAAAAAGAAAAAGGATCCAGTATTGTTAATTGTATTTCAGAAAGTGCCAGAGAGGGAAATATCCCTGTAGTTTTAAACACTGTCCCAAGAGGGAAATAGGCAAATGCCCTGCTTCATATAAACAGTCTCTATGTACCATAAACAAACCTTTAAAGAATGAATTCCAGACAGTTTTGTTTAGTGCAGGATAAACTAAGAAAGAAAGGGCAGGGCTCAGGGCGGAGCCGGGGTCTGAGGCCTTCCACACAGGTATTTCTTCCTGAACTCCGTTAACTGTTCCGGCGGTTTTTGTGGGGGAGGTAGGATAGACAGTCTTCCTATTTTTGTTAAGAACTTCAGAGCACAGCTTTGCTTTCTGCAGAATCCATTTTGAAACAGGAAGCTGTCTGGCCCTTGAGTAAATAAGCACAACTTCGCATACTGCTGTATTTCCTTAGTCATTTGGTTTCTACCAGAAAAAGCCCTGTTTGGCCTTTCCTTTTCCTCCCATCTCGCCTCCTGCGACTGGACCAGCCTGAAGGTGGCAGAATAACTCGTGCCACCCGCTGAGGGCCCAGAGCCGCTGAGGATTTTTACTTGAGGCCAGGCTATTTGTTTGGCTTTAAGCGCCTCCAGAGGGCCAGCATCTGTGGTTGGGGCTTTGGAGATCTCAGTCTTCCCCGCTCTTCAGTGCTTGGTCGCACGGAGGAAGTCAGGTTTAAAGAGTCTTTGATCCACTTCCACTTCTCGGGGAAGAGAGGGGTGCTCAGAGCTGAATGGTAAACAGGGTGCTGCACTGAGTGGCAGCCCCTTCCCATCCCGGGAGGAGGAAGTGCCCCAGAAGAGATGCAAGCCCCGGCTTCCGTGCTTGCTGCCCCTGGGGAGTTGCTGCTGTGAAGGGGGACCGTGGGCTGTTCTAACAGTTCTGTTCTAACAGTTGGCCCCGAAATTTCGGAGCACCGCTCAGCGTCTTCAGTTGCGTGCATGTGAGAGAAAGGGGCCCAGGGAGAGAGAAGCTGGGTTAACCGTGGCCGTTTAGATGCCTGAAATCCTTCGTCCTGGAAGCATTTCTTAGGGGTGGTCAGGGCCTTCCCAGGGCCACCAATGCAGTGGCCCTGTTTCCGGTGCCCGCCAGTGCTGAGTGCTCTGCAGGTGTCTGGCGCGTTCTGCAGCTCCTCTTCCTACTTGTGGCTGCTCTGTTTTTTTCCTGCTGTTTTCTTTTATTCTCAGCTGTCCCTCCTGAGTTGGCCCACATGGTAAAGAGTCAGTTTTTTCTTTGTGAACCCTCTGGTGATATCGCTCGTCTACGTTTCTACCAGGTTATTATTATTGTTATTTTTAAATCTCTTTTAGAAGCCCTTTATAGAAGTTTTGGTGTTGATGAAGCTTGCAAGTATTCATTTTATTTTGTTTTTAAGTGTGTGTATTTTTAATCATAAAAGTTTTTTATTTTTACATTTTTATTGCTCTGTTGCCGTTTTGAATCAGAATTTTAATTTTAAGTTATAAAGAAAGTTTTCCTGTTTTTAATAAAATTTCTTCCATCTTTTCCTTAATTTCAGTCCTCTAGCCCAGGTGCTAGGGATCGAACTCAGGCAGGTGCTGCACCACTGCACTAAATCTCAACCCCTAAATCTCAGTTAAATATATTCTTGTTCCAAAGGAATTTAAAGTAGACTCTGAAAACACATGCAGAAATATTAAGCGTTGTGAGAAACAGAATAGATAAAATTTTACCTTATAATAAATGCATTTTAAATCAGTAGGAAATTAGATTATTATAAAATTGGATTCATTCTTGATATTGTACTTAATGATAAGTTCCAAGTGGATCAGAGATTTTTTCATAGTATTAGCATGAAAAGTGTATTTATATTCACTACAGAAGAGTATTTGCCATACCTTCTAAATCATGTGAAATAAAAATATCAAGGTAGACATACCTTCAGGAACTTTTAACTGGCTGATTCAGAACTTCAACAAAGTCAGAGAAGAAAGTGTCTGAAGCCGTTAGAAAGCTAAGAAGACACCAGGATGAGGATACAAGACTCAGGAGAGGGGATGTTCCAGCGGGCAAACCCACACTCATTTTGTGTTTCTTCTTGAGACTTCTGATGTGCACGCAGTGTGGGCAGAGAGGCACAGAAGCAAGGTGGGAGCAGCTGCAAGGGGCTTGGCAGTGTCTGCAAGGGAAGGTGCCCCATCACCCTCCCGGGAGGTCAGTGTTGCACTGCAGAGCCGGTCCCGTGCAGTAAGGCAAGCCAGATCTGGGGAGGGAAAAGGAAAGAAAAGATCTGCAAACTGGAAAGGAAAATTAATATTGCTGTTTGTAGAGAATACGGCACTCTATCTAGAAAATCTAAAGGAATGTAGAAATAAGTTATCAGAAAGATTAAGTAAATTTGGGAGGATTATTGGTGAGTGTACATGAAAATCAATTGTATTTCTACACATCAGAAACAATTACAGGGGAAAAACTGAAAGCCGTCATTTCCAGGACCATTAAATGCTGTCTTACCTCTTACTGTATAAGAAGTGACCCTCAAATTCTGTGGTTTGTGGCCATTTTACTTGTTCATGGTTCCGTGGCCCAGTCATTTGGGAACCATGGAAAGGGCTGTGCTGGCCTCACTGTGGTTGCTCCTGTGCCCGGGCCATCGGGCAGCTCAGCCGATCCTGCGTGGGCTAAGGTGACCTCACTCACGTGACAAGCAGTCGCTGCTGGCTGTCAGCCGAACCTTCCTCCTTGTGGCCTCGCATCTTCAAGGAAGCTGCTCCCAGATTCTTCCCATGGCAGAGGGCAGGGCAGATGCTCCAAGACCTCCTGAGGCCTAGGCTCTGCACTGCACATTACTTTTTATGCACCCAATGACTGGAGCAGGTTACAAGGCTCATGAAGGTTCATGTAGAGGGGGCATGGATCCTACTTCTCAGTAGAAGATGCAGAGGACTTGTGGATATGCTTCATCCACTGCTAGGGGGAAATCTAGGGGTTGGTTTGTTTGTTTTAGAGATAGGATCTCACTCTGTAGTTCAGGTTGGTCTTGAACTCACTATGTAGCCCAGGCTGGCATTAATCTCACAGTGGTCCTCCTGCCTCAGCCTTCTGAGTCCTGGGATTATAGGCGTGCACCACCATGCCCAGCTCACTTAAGGGGAATATTAAAAAAAAAATGTATGAGACCTTACACAAAAAAACAAGGAAACTTTGTTGAGTGAAATTGAAGCCTTCAGTAGATGAAAGCATATGCCATGCCTAAATTGAAAGATTCCATATTATGTTTTTTATCAAGTTGATCTGTTGATTCAAAGTCGTGATGAAAATTCTGCCATGTTTTGTGGCAAATTAACAAGCTTTTCTGAAATGTATATGCATTTGTAAAGTGCAGAGTAGCCACAGTGGTCCTGAAGAAAAGGAACAAAATTGGAGAGCTTAGGGCCTGGGGTTTAGCTCAGCGGCACAAGAGTCATGAGTTCGATCCCTAGTACCAAAAAAAAACAAGTCGGGGAGTTTATATTACTAGATTAAAAATCATTACAGACTGCAACAGTTAAGGCAGTGAGGTATTGATAGAAGAGCAAAATTAAACAAAAGAGAATCCGGAAACAGATACATAATCATTCATGATAAAATTTACCCTGTTATGCCACAGACAAAAGTTAATGTCTTCAATAAATACCAGCCAGTCAGATAGCTGCAGAACAAAGACTACCCCGGTCTCTCCCTCACACCAAGTCTAGGTATGTTATAGATGTAAGTGTGAAGAGTAAAACACAAAATTTCATGAGTAGACATACAGGACTGTCTTTGTGATTTGGTTTAGATAATAACTTCTTAAAACAGAATGCTTTTATCATAACAGAAGACTGATGAGATGGATTTCCGGAAAATCAAACACATCTAACCAAGGCACCATTTAAAGAGTAACAGCCCAAGTCACATAATAGCAGCAGAGATCTGCCACACACTTACTCACCGAAGTAACCAAATACAGTATATATGGGAAAAAGCCTAGAAGGCAGTAGTAGCAAACAGCTCATTACACCAGAGAGCAGCAGGCTTGAGTTTGGATACCAAAAAAAATGACATCCAAATAGCCAATATGTTTATTAAAATGTATCTAGTCTCAGTTGTCAACAGAAACGAACATTAAAACCACACAGAAGGATCATGACACACCTATCGGAATATGTCTTTTGAAAAGCTGCCAAGTGTTGAGATGTAGGATAAAGGAATTTTGCAGACTGGGAAGAAACGAAAACTCGTTAAACTACTTCATAAAACTCCTGAGCTGCAGATGCTGAGGTTGAACACGTACCTTTGTACCTCTGTGACTCCGCAGCTCTGCTTCTGAGTAGATTCCCACTACAGTTGCGTTCACTTGTGCCCCAAGTGATGTGTCTGTACGAATGACTGTTCGTAGCAGTGGCGCTCAGAGGAGCATGGACTTTGAAATGACTTGGGCTATCATCAGCAGTAATGACTAAACGAATTGGATTTTATTTGCATAACAGAATATTAAATAGTAAACAGCTATAAGCATCAACCTAATAACATCTACATACTTAGTGTTGCTTATAATACAACAAAAGTATATACTAACGATTTGATTTATATAAAGTTCAAACAGGAACACTGGATCCGTGATGATCATTTCTGAGGAGAGAGGGTGGGGTGCTGGGAGTCTGCAGGGGTGCTGGGGAGCAATGAGGGAGGAACAGTAGTCCACTCTCTGACCCAGGTGTAGGTCACATCCGTGTTCTCTCTGAGGAAAACTCATTCTCAAGAGTAAAACCTGACGCACACAGATTCAGAACAGACCCAAAGGAATTAGGTCGTGAAGCCCAGCACGTATGTCTGGTGTATGTGTCTGGTGTATGTGTATTTCCCCTAACATTGTTACCTTCATAATTACATGGAAAATCCTTGTATAGAAATATTAAAGCCTTGACTCCTGCACATGACGTATAGCACTCATGGAATCCAGAATTTTACCACTCTAGAAATCAACACATAGCTGAAGTGTGTCATTTCCTTTTCTCCCTAACTAGGCCCTAAAAAGCACCTTGGGATTCCCATTGATTCGGTTTGAAGATGCTGTGATTAATCTGGATCCGTTCACTCGAGTACATCCCTATGAGACCAAGGAGTTCATCATCAATGATATCCTCAAACATTTCCAGGAGGTGAGCCTGGGAGAGGTGCTTAGTGGCCGGGCCAGAAGCAGAATGTTTGTTTTGCTTATTTGGGAATCGTGATTACTAAGACATCACCACTGAGAAGCCAGGGCAGCAGTGGGGCTCTGCTGGGTCACATCCCACGGAGCTCGTGTTTACCCTGAGAACCCTGAGACAGTGCATTTGATTTACGAGCTGTTTGTCCTGTCCCTCAGAACTGGTCTCAGGGGCTTCTCCTAGGTTAGTCACAACTCTTCATGGTTTAATTGATGCTTTAATAATAACACAGAGTACTGTGAACTCTTTATTTACCAGGCATGGGTCTACTTTCAACAACCACACCAGTGTTCTTAGAGCCTGTGAGATCTTGCCCTTGAGTTGAACTTGCAATTTTTTTAAACCATGTTGGACATTCTCCATTTTGTATTTATTATTCAGACTGCACAGACCAAAATGTAAAGCCAAGGCATATTACTCAATGAATAGATTAGTCAAGGTCATACCAAATGTATTAGCTTTCAAGTGAAAATATATTGTGTTCTTCCTTCCTTTTCTGCCTCCCCGTTGCCTGCCTTCGCTTTCCTAACTGTGACGTCCTGCCTGAGTGTGAAGAGGCGCTCGAACTTGGGTCAGGCAGGCAGGGGTGCAAGAAGAGTGGAGCCTCAAGCCACAGCTGAGGAGGGGCCTGGAAGTCTCCCTGCCCCTCCGCCCCTGCTGTCTCAGTGAGGATACTAGAGAGTACGATGCATGTGCTGATGATGCTTAGAAAGAATCCATCCCCTGACTATTGTTATTCTTCCACAGATCTTTGAACAGTGTTTCTAAGTGCGCTGAGTACAGTTCTTGGTGTCTGTATTGGGAGAAGTTTAGGTGGAGCAAATGAAAGGATAGACAATTTGTTTTGCAGTTGATGAAGACTTATTAGGCAGTTGTTAATAAGGCAGTGGGGATGGAGGCCAAGACAGCTTTCCAGCCTCTCCTTGGGATGCTGATACCCGCGTTTATGCCCTGGTGCCCACTTGACTTTCCTCTACTGCATTTGGCAGGAGCTCCTCAGCCAGGCAGCTCGGATCCTAGGTTCAGTGGATTTTCTTGGCAATCCCATGGGGCTTTTGAACGATGTCTCTGAAGGAGTTACCGGCCTGATAAAGTATGGAAATGTCGGGGGCCTTATCAGAAATGTTACACACGGCGTGTCCAACTCTGCTGCCAAGGTAAGGAAGTGGAGGGGAATTCCGTGATGTTAACCCCCACAAGCCCGTGGCATCATGGACCTTCCTAAGTTCCCGGGAAGACACTGCCGTCATGGCCTTTGCCTCCCTCCCCCTGCAGTGGCTGTCACCAGGGCCAGCGAGACCCCCAGGCCTCTCTTCCTCCTTCCCGTCCCTTCCCACCACTTCAGCCGGGTTCAGTCACTGCAGCCACCTCTTGACCCCGTGCATCTTTTGTGCCACCAGAAGGAACCTGGATTCTAAAACATGAAGTTGAATTGTGTTCTCTGGCCTAAAATTTACTGGCAAACCTTCAGAGCTCACAGGGAGAGTCCCAACTGAGAACTCGTCCTGTGGCGGCTCGGTCCTTCAAGGCATCTGAATCCAGCTCCGGAGGCCAGCGGGACAGTTCTCCTGCCGCTGGAGCCTCGCTGACCTTCTTGCTCACAGATGTCATGTTTAGTGGGCATCGTGTTAGTACACTACCGGTGTCCGGCAGGAGCTGGTGTGGGGTCTGAAGCTGGAGGGGTGGCTCTTGCTTCCTCCCCGGTGCTTGCCGGCTGCACACTGCATTCGGAGACTGCTGGGTCACGCGTGCTCTGGGCTGCGGTGGATGGCAGGGCCCGAGGGGGCCTCTGAGTAGGTACACAGGGACCTGCTTGAAGAGCAGAGCGGACGTGGCTGGGACAGCTCTTCTGCATTGCGTGGCACCCTTCCTAGCCCTGTGCGAGAGCTGGAGATTCGTCCCTTTGGTCCACATTGTTGTCTGGCAGTAACAGTTCTCAGTTTCTTTGAGACAGTGGTGTTGCCGACCCAGACCAAAGTGGACTGTTTGTCTTACGATTCAAAAAGAAAATTCATTGTTGGAAGGAGGGGTGAAAGCAGAAGCTCAGCTCAGGGCCGGCTGACTCGGCTTCGCTGCCGGTCTGCACCCTTCTGCCCCCTTCTGCCTTGACCGGTTTGCGCTGCCTTTACTGCCAGGCGACATAAACTCTCATGATGGTGGCACAGATTCGTTGTGGTTGTTTTAGCTCCTGAGCTTGATATAAACAGATACACCTAAGTATTTTATTTCTTTCTTTATTTTGGTACGAGGAATTGAACTCAGGACCTTGCGCTTCCCAGGCAAGCACTTGTGTGGCTGAGCTACATCCCCTGCCCTGCACCTAAATATTTAGTTGTAACTGCCCAGCTTAAAGATTTTATTAAATTTTAAAAACTATATTGAATGCTGATTAAAATAGGAAGTCTCCTGCATGAAATAATCTGTCTTTGTTGTGCTCCTGGGCTCACTTTGCTACATGCATACGCTCGTGGTGTGGCGAGAGGCTTTCCTCCCTCCTGAAGGGGAAAGCCCTGGCTGCACAGGCTGGTGGTGAGGACAGAGTGAGGAGGGTACTGCTGAAGGTGCCAGCCGGAGCAGCGCGTGGTGTGTAACAGCTGCCGTCAGGCCACCCTCTGTGTCCTTGAGGTGACAGCACACCCCGGCCCCCGGAGGGGGCGAAGCTGGGTGCTGCGATGGCAGGGTTGAGACCCCGTTTCTGCTCAGGCTGGCTGTTAGGGAGCCTTTGACCGCAGCCTTCTAAAGGGATGGAGACGATGCGAAGGCGCCTGTGGCCTCCTGGTGGGTGAGGCCTCTTGCAGTTTCCTCCCGCCTCTTGCGCCTCCTCACCCTTCCTCATGCGTAGACGTCTTATCTGTTTCCTGGGTCTTTTCTCCCTGGAAAGCTTTTCAAAGCTTAAGGGGCCTCTTAAGAAGCTTCAGAGTCCTCCCCGTCCATGTCTTCAGCCCAGGTCTGTAAGGAGCCCCCTGGCAGAGATTGTGCGTTGTGTTGGAAATCTTATATTGTGGTTGGATTTGCATAAGGGGCATTCCAGGGCCTGCGTCTCCCTGACTGCAATCCCTCTTCACATACTTGCTTGCCCTGAGCTCATCAGTAGTGGAGGCACATGCTGCTCTTGACAGGGACTACGGGGTCATCTGTTTGGATAGCTGAAAGCCTGTGCTTGTTACCGTAGTCCATAACTGACTGGCAAGATGAGGAAGCAGCAGAATGTAAATGACCGCTTCACACTGGAAGTGTGGACCAGAAGCTGGTGTATCCCCTGCATGCTCCTTTGGGCTATCTTTGATTCTGTGCAGGTGGCTGGGCTAAAAATCTCCATTTTCTTATAGTTTCATGGGCTGAAATCAGATCTTTAATGTTGGATTGGGGGAATGTTTTGTTTGCTTCTCTTTGTACACAGGGGAAATTTAAGGAAGTGCAAGTGACCACAGTAATCAGCTTTTGGCCTGGGAAGTATTCCTGTAGAGAGCAGTGGAGTCCAGTGATTAAAAGGACCAGGGAGGCCAGAACTGAGCCTCCTGCCCCCGGGACAGCTGGCCCCACTGCTGCAAGGAGCCCAGCGCTGTGACCAGGCTCAGTGGAGGCTGAGGCAATTCTGTGAGCCTCTTAATTATGAAATGGTTTCTAGGAGGAAGGCCTAAAGTTTTTATTGGATTTCTAGAAAGGTTCTTGCCTGCAAAAGATCACAGGCTGTTATTGTATGCATAGAGCTGTGCATAAGGGGAGCTCGGGCTGTAGTCAGGATATTGCATCTCTGGTTTCATTTCTGCCTTTGAAAAATCTTTTCCTTGTTAGTCTTGAGTGTCTTTTTAAGACAAGGCACTGCAGTGTGGCCACTTTTGAGATTTGTCATTCCCTGTATTTTTTGTTTGTTTGTTTAATATTGGCCTCAATTCTCGTATCTCCCTTTGTTGCTATCTGTTCCTCTCTGCTTTTCTTCTTGACACCCAGCCCTCAGAAGTAGCTTCTAGATGCATTCTGAGGTGACTAACTCGGCTCCCCACTGTACTGAGAATGTGTTTTCTACGGCTCCTCTGCGAGGTCTTGGCAAGGTGACTCCAGCCAGCCCTCAGTAGAGCCTCTAAGATCTGACCTCTCTTCTGAGACTGCAGCAAGATGGTTGCTTCTGGAAACCTTTCCTGGAATGTGGCTTTACAAAAGGGATAGCATAGAACGTTCCAAAACCCTTGTCAGACAACAGGGTTCTTTTGCAGCATGAACTGCAAATAGAATGCCTTCTCCAAACTGTGTCACGTGAGTATCTGCACTACTCTCTAACTAACTTGTTTGAAGGCCGGAGATTTGGGGAGACACCTCTCATTGAACAAACTTCCTCCCTCATCCAGATTTCCTACATACTTAAGGAGAATTACTATATAACCACCGTCAAAAAAATGAAACGTCTTTCCAAGCTAAGAAAGCCTCAGATGTTAGCAGTGGGGCCGGTGGTTCCGTTCTCCTTTCTGTTCCTGTGGAATCTGTTTCCTCTGCACAGTGGCCCCTGTTCTCCCTAAGAAAGCCAGCAGCAGCATCTCCTTCCACAAAGAGGAGGAGCACTTTCGGTTGTCACTAAAGAACCTCCGTTCTGTTCCGTCTTCCTGTTCCTCTGTCTTCAGTAAGTCATTATTTTACGGTTTTGATCTGAGTACCTTGTTGATGCAGGTGTGTTTTATGTTCAGAAATGCAGATATTTTAATAGTTTCCCTTGTTTTTAACTGAATTGTTTCATGATAGTCCATTGTTCCTCATGGAAATTAGAATTCTTTGTTCCTTATTTGCTACATTCATTTTACTGATAACTTTTAAGCTGCTATGGTTGGTTTATATCTTTCTCCTTGCTTTGTTTCATTTATTTCTACCAACCATAAATTTTCCAATGCAAACTGTGTAGGTATAAATTTTTGTAAAGAGGTAAGACTTTTCTGTTGATTTGTTGATAATTTTGTTTTATTCTGTTGTCTTATCCATCGCTTTACTTTACTTCAGTGCTGTTTGTTATGAATTAAGTCAACCCTTACAGTTGTGTAGTATTTTCTGCTGCAAACAGCGCTCGTAGAGAAAGGCCTTGGAGCGGCCTTTGGCCCCTGTGCTGCTGTCTGGCTGTTACTGATCTGCGAACATGTCCAGAGCGCCTTCTGTTTGTCAGGCCTGTGTGAAGAGACCCTTGATATACATTGTCTGATGCTTGCTTTTCTCTACCCTGCAAATCAGCACATGAAACTTAGAGAAATTAAGTGACATTTTCAAAGTCACACAACAAAAAGTGATGGGCAGACTTGATCTGTCTATGTCTAGCTAACCTTAAATGCCCTTTTTCCCCCTACACAATGTTTTTCCTGTGTCTTGCATGTTTCAGACTTTTTTCCAGGCACTTGAAAGAACATAAAATGTTAATGCTGCTACTTCCCACTAGAAGCTGATAATCTGACATCACTTGGTTGGCTGGAAAGTTGGCCACTATCACACATCCTGCCCAAAGCAGGACTCTGGGATGTAGGTGCTTGTGGTCATCCGTGGGTGGGAGCCCGGAGATTCACCTTCGCAGGTAATCGGTGGTGTTTTACTCGGGGGATTTCATTGGCCTGAGACAACCGAGGCTGTGTTAGTCCCAGCATATAAAGTAAGAAGTGAAGGGTATGTCAGGCAGCTTTTGGTCTGTGACCAAATACCTGAGAAAAGCAACTTAAAGCAGGCAGCATTTATTTTGGCTCAGGGTTTCAGAGGTTTCCGCCCGTGGTTCCCTAGCTCCATTGCTTGTAGGCCTGTGTGAGGCAGAAACATCAAGGCATTAAGAGCCTGGCTGAGGAAAGCTGCTTACCTGGTGAAACCTGGGAAGAAGGAAGGGGGAAAGAGCCACAGAGGGACGGCCCAGGGGACCAGGTGTGGTCCCCACAGTCCTGCCGCTGGGACTCACTCCCCTCAGCAGGGCTCCACCTCCTCTTTACATCACCTGCCAGTCATGCCTTCAAAGTATGATCGCCAGTGATTAATCCACTGATAAAGTTAGAGACCCTTTGATCCCGTAAGTTAGAGCCCCTCTGATCCAATTATCTTCCAAAAGTCTGTTCTCCAGATACACGGACCTTCTAGGGTCCGTAACTGTAACTGAGACCCAGAGAGGTAAGGTGAGTTGTCCAGGGTCACACAGGTAACTGCA